ACCAAGATGATATTTGAGAATGTTCCACCAGGTCTTTCTTCATTCTGTTCATACCTCTTTTGGCACCTGAGATAAAAACAAAGTAGAAATGCCATTAGGAATGGATGGAGGAAAGCTTATTGCATATTTATTTACATCTACCACCCACAGCCTAAGTTCACAGCTTTGACAAACATCTGCTCAGTGAAAATCTAAGTAGCAGCTTCTTATTTCATTTACTTAGGGAGGTATATAAGACAATGCCTCTGCCTATGTGTGGTCCTGGGCTCTTTCAAAAATTAATCAAATTGATAGTTAAAGTTAGTAAGTAAGGAGCAAAATCAATAAGAAGCTGATTCAAACATTGCCTCAAAAGCCAATCTTGGGAAGCAACAAACCACTGAGTAGCTAGGTAAACTGGTAACTATTCTTTTAATTCCGCAATTATACAAGGACTTGTGATTTCTTCTATGTTGTGGGCCAATTTTCACCATCCGTTCCAGCCAGTGCATTACAACTGATAGGCGTTTTAGTCCAAAACATCTGGAGGGCATGAAGCTGGCAAAGGCTGTTATATAGGCATTATGCAAGGGTCTACTGTCTACAAAAATAATATTTCTGAAGTAGCTCATGTCATGTTTTATAAGTGTGATGTTTAAAAGCAGACTACTGCAATATTCCCCTTTCATGGCTTGCTTCACATACAGTCAGCTGTATGTGGAGCATATATCACTGGGGCCAGGACTTGACCAGTTCTATTGTTCAGTTCTAACTGAGGCGACAGGTAACACAGCAGTGTGGCAACTATGCTACCTCATAGATGGCAAAGCCAATAGTGAGGAGCTTGGCTCCCAGCTTGCGTTCTTTCCTCCTGTTCTTCTGCATCAGTGCAACTAGGAAACTGCACGCAACTTCGTCATCTTCTGGGTCATCATCTTCTTCCAGGAGTTTCAAGCGGTACTGAGGATTGGTCCAAAATGTGTCTGTGGCCCAGCCCAAAACATTCAAATTTAAAATAATATTTTAACACTCAAAACAGTTACATTGACAGTCCCTGTGGTAATCATTCCCCCCTCCAGTTTTGATATATAATTCTTTCAGAAAATGAAATTTGGCATTTTTAATGTATTTGTAGACTTTTCTCTGGGCAAAGCAAACAGACCTGCTTTATTATGAGCTTCACCATGTTTGCTCTCCACACTTCTCTGGAATAAGATGCTCATTTAAAGCAGGGGTGGCTAAACTTTTCTGGTCAGAGGGCCTCATTCCCTCCTGGCCAATCCTCCTTGGATCAAGTGCCAGCAGTGGGAGTGGCCAAAAGTGGGTATGACCCCTGTCTCTCACATGCACACGTGGAAGAAGCTGGGTGGGGCAGAGCCCTTACGTTTTCTTCCCAGAAGATGGGTCGTTGTCTCTTACCAGGAGGGAGAGGCACAGATGGCATGGGAAGTCAATGCAGTGCAAATGCAGGAGCACTGAATTGGCTGCACTGATGAGTTTGCACAATGCTGACCACCCGCCAGGAAGTGAGCAAAGCAGCTCTGCTCCATCCAGAGAACCACTTCTGACACACAGGCGAAGAAAAATGACCTGGCCAAACACAACTGTTTGAAAAGAAAAGGCATCCCGTCCTTGATTTTAGAAAGCACATACATGTATTGCATGAGGCAGCATTTTAGAGGCATCCCCTTCTGTGTTTGAGAGATAGAGGAATACCTCTTCTAAGACAGACACTGTTATGGATCTTTTTATAAGTACTTTTTTCTCCTATTTTTAAAAAATATTCTGCCTGATTAATCAGAGGATTCTTTAAAACATTTTACAGTGGTACCTCTGGTTACAAACTTAATTTGTTCCAGAGGTCCATTCTTAACCTGAAACCGTTCTTAACCTGAGGTACCACTTTAGCTAATGGGGTCGCCCGCTGCCGCCGCGTCGCCAGCAAGCGATTTCTGTTCTCATCCTGAGGTAAAGTTCTTAACCTGAGGTACTACTTCCGGGTTAGCGGAGTCTGTAACCCAAAGTGTTTGTAACCTGAGGTGTTTGTAACCCGAGGTACCACTGTAATGCCATTCGAATCAACCAATATTTTATTTACCTGGATAGTTTCGGCAGCCCCCTGCTGTGCAGCCTCGCACCCACCGCCCTTCGGTCACTGAAACAGTCCAGGTTTGAAGCTTGTCAACCACCAGGGTATCAGGTGTGAGATTACACATCTCCAACTTTGTGAAGTACCTCAGGAAATCTTGGAAAGACATCCTAGAGGTAGAAAAAAATATGGAAGAAACCTTTAATTCCCCAATACATTGATTGTAAGGCATCCAGACTGGCTGGGACAACCCAGTCAGATGGGCAGGGTACAAATAATAAAATTCTTCTTCTTCACCTTCACATGATGTTGCGTACACACATCATTTGAATGCCCATCAACTTGGGGGTGGCGGCCCCCTCAAATATTTTATTGGGGGAGCCAATGGGACCTTAGCCCCAAGAGTTGGCTCCTATGAAGTGGACTAATCTGGAGAAGGGCTTGTGGTTTGCCTCTAGACCAGTGGTTCCCAACTGGGTGTCCACGGACACCAGGAGGTCCATGTAACCCACCTAGGTTGTCTGTAGCACCGTTCACATAACAAAAACTACCATAGATATATCCACATTTTCAAAAGCATGGTTCCATGGCTTAGCTCTGGGGGAAAAACAGCTCACTGGGAATCACTAATCTAAGGCAGTAGATTCTGAGTCAAACATAGGACTGAAGGAAAAGCATATTAAGAGAGAGAGAGAGAGAGAGAGAGAGAGAGAGAGAAACATGGGATATTTACCAGAACTCCCCATCCTCTGCAACTTTATGTTGTAGGCGGGTCTTCTCTGCTTTGTCAATAACATTCCATTCATCTGAACTGCAATATAATGAAGAAGAAACTTTCAGTATACAACTGATTTTTTAAAAGGTAAATGTGCTTCGCTTCTCAAATCATAAATCAACATGCAAACTTTTCTGTGCTAGATCTAGAAATTAAAAGTTTACCCTTTGTTTGTTCAGCAAATGGTGAACTGCATTTAGTTACCTTTCAGAACAGGTGTTTAGGAAAGCAGTGAACGTGTCACATAACTTGATTACTCAAAACTTGATGGCTCACACTTGAATCTACAGGCCATTGAGTGGTATGAGGAAATACAAAAGCGCCATCACTGGTAATGTATCAGTTCAGGCACTGAGTGATGAGTATTGCAGGTAGGAACTCACCCAATGACACTTTACCTGGGCATTACACTCTTTCAAAACAGTTAAGCACACTTTAAAGCATCTTTGGAGAAATTACGTATATATCACTAACTTCTGAATTTCACACCAGAACACAAAATGACATTTACCTTTCTTAGTAAACATGCAGAAGAACCAAAGTGTATTAAGTGAGATTAAAATATCTTTTAAAATCAAATGGCTTGACTCACTTGTCACTCCAGGCTCCATTCCATTCTACTTGCCCCCAAGGATTTCTTAGCCGCACGAGTTTTAGCTTGTCCCCTTTAAATGTTATCTTGGAAGGGGGGAAAACATAATTAATTCAACCAGCCTGTGTAGTATGCATCCTTTTACAGACTCCACCTTAAACAAAAACGGATGCTATCATTATTGGAGTCCTTTAACATCTTCCCATTTTCTCTTCTAAACATGCTTTATTTGCACCTCTGATCTTGACTGACACCAGTGAATATATTCTCTTTTCTTTTCAAGGTGAGGTTGCTTAACCACTTAATTTGTGTACGTGAGCTACATGATTTTTTTGTACCCTAGCAAAACACATTTACTTTTTGCATCTACACTTACCTCTTCCACTGCTGTAACTGAATAGGCATGACCTGTCACTAGTCCATTCGTCATGCGTCTCTCAAACAGCATTGGAACCACAAGCTGTAAAATGCAGAGGAAGCATGTTAAGAATAAGAACGGTGTCATGTGCGGAATTTTTCAAAGGACAACATGTTCTGCCCATTTCCGTTTTGTTTTCTTCTATTCCACCTTCTTGAAAAGGAGAAGGCAAATTGATGTGCATGTCCCGTGATAAAGATGAGGTTTCCTAATAGGGCAATAAGACAGAAGTTTTGCCATTTATATTCTAGAAGAACATCCTGCTCCAAGGTCCATGTGCAGCTTTGCAAACTGCTCTTACAATATACGATATACGATGTCTTTATTGTCATTGTCCCATACAGAACAATGAAACTGCACAGCAATCCACGATTTCTGCAGCAAATCCCAAAGCCAAACACACAGTTAGGCTTCAATCCTATATCCGCTTATTTGGGAGTAAGCCTCACTGAACTTTATTGAATATTAATAGGATTTTACTGAGCAGAGTAAATCGATTTGTTTGCACGCAATAACCTAGGTTATTGGCAAGGAATACAAACCCGTTTCGTCATCTCCTCTGCCTGCTGGACTGAGTCATTTGGAAATTCATTCATATTCTTCAACATTTGGGCAATTAATAATCCAAGATTAGTTTCAGGAGCAGAGCCATAAATAAACCCTGAACTGTCCTGGAACAAAGAAAAGTGGGGAGAGAGGAAAATAATAGGAAGGCATTATGAAAAATAAAGCAGAATAGCAAGATTAGTTAATAAAAGTTGGGAAAACAAGTTTTTATACCTCTATTTCCTCTTGCCCATAGGACAGAAGAATGTATGTTTTCACCAGTGGTGCTTACTAGTGACATAAGAGCACTAAAATGGTATCTCAAATTTAGACTTAAATGTGGGGAATATTTGGTCCTCCATATGTTGCTGAACTACAACTCCCTTCAACCCCAGCAAGCATGGCCAATGGCCTGGGATGATGGGAGTGGCAGTTCAGTCTTATGCTTACTGAATATGAGTGGTATGAAATTAACCCCAGAAAAGGCATGGGTTCAATGGATGTACCTCAATAGAGCAGGCCATGAGTGACCCTCTTTCAAAGGCATGTTTCATGATTTTATAGATATCTTTAGGAACATCCTTTATCTCATAGAACTCTGTTACTCCTCCTGTGAAATCTTCCATGGCCTCGGTGGTGTTACCTCCTTTGAGAGCCTCATAAGAGCCATGGAGCCTGAGAAGGAACAAGAAAACAAAATTAACACTCCAAATAAATTCTGATGATTCATTTTCATTGGGGTATAGATCATTTTTGAATCTGTTCTATTGTAAAATCAAAATGCATCTGAATAATATACATTTGTTATAAGAATAACACATTATTTAATTTACCTCAGTTTAAACAGATGTACAGTTGAATAGGGGTATAATATATGCATATAGTATACAGAAATGGAATGTGTAGAAAGTATATTTACTTTGCATAAGCTTTTTCCAGTAAGGCACTCCAAAATTCATTTTGCTGGGAGGATTTTGTGAAGACCAGTTGACTGCCGTACGTTGGTAAACGGTCATCAATGATAACTTCCACCCAATTTCCATAACGCCAAAACTGGAGAGAAAAAGATGATAGATAGATAGATAGATAGATAGATAGATAGATAGACAGATAGATATAATTTGCAATTATATGTGTGTTAGAAAAAAAGTGATGTGTGGATTGTGATTAAGAACTGGTTTGCTCACTATAATTGGGGCTAGACTTTGTTAGGTGATTGTATTGTTAGATAGATAGATCGATAGATAGATAGATAGATAGATTTATTAAGTGACAGTAGCAAATAAGTCATTAAAATAGGCCTTCGATATCAGTGCCTATTAATCTATTCCATGCTGCTGGTTACTGTGGCATAGCTGAACTGCAAAAGGCAGCATCTTCTTGTGTCTGATCAACAACTCATACCTGGAAGTGAAAGATTCCAGCATAATCTTTATGAAGGTCTGCTCCCGTGGTATGACCCGGAACAGCAACTTCTCATGCAAGGTGAGACAAGCAATGGCAGCCAGGAACCAACAGTCACCTGAGAGGAATTATATAGAGCAGGGCAAATTAAGTGTCTAAATTACTAGGAGGAACAGAGAATGTATGCCACTGAAGGATTAGTGCTTCTACAAATATTTTTTTGGTCTTCAGAGCAATTTGCATTTAACTGGCATATATTAGTTAGGACAGGGCCGGCCCAAGACATTTTGGCACCTGAGGCAAATCACAAAATGGCACTCCACACCATTTTGGGTGGTGGAGTGACGATTTATATCAGGAACAAGGGGGAAATAAAGATCTACATTGGGAACAAGGGGCTGAGTTAAGAATGCTGAATGTGCAAGTGTATGTCTAGAGACAATGGATAAAACAAACACTATTAGCTGTACTGCTAGATAAGTGTTTAATGGTTATTGTATAAAAACCAATTAAAAATTGTTTTGTTTTGTTTTTTGCAAAAAGAGGGGGTGAATGAAGATCTGCATCAGGATCATGGGGGTAAATCAAATCAAACTTACCCAACATTTGAATTGGGAACCAAAGGCCATTGCAGGGGGGAAAGGGACTTGCTAAATAAACTTATCAGACACACAAAACAGCTCCGAAGAAAGGACTTGTACCTAATTCTCCTTGACAAATGTCACTCCTGTTGGCTCCACCAATGATAAAGCGTGGATTCTCACAAATTTCCTATGGAACAGAAATAAATTGCTGAAAAAGTTCACATTACTCTAAACCAACCGCTTATGTGCCACCTGAACCAAGCAAACTGTGGTTAATAATAATAATAATAATAATAATAATAATATGTGAAAAATGCCAAGGCTCATTCACTTTATGCCCAGATCCACACAGTGTGCGCTTTGATAATTATAGACTAAAAGAAATTGTAAGCTGCACTGGCAATGGCTGCAAAACCTCTGCAATTTTGTTTATGATCAATTATATAAATTGATGGAATTGTATAAATATTGTGATAAATTATTTAATGAAAATGAAATGCAATGTTAAGGAAATAAAAGATGGTTGCTAATAAAAGCATTCCATTTTCGCTTACCTAGGAGTAAGTCTCATTGGAAATGTGGAATTTACTTCTGAGTAAACATGTACCTGATTAAGAGACCAGGCTTCAAATCCCCACTCAGCCATGAAGTTCTGTGGGTGACCTTGGGCCAGTTACAGTCTCTCAGCCTAACCTACCTCACAGGGTTGTTGTGAAGATAAAATGGGAAGGAGGAGAACCATGTATACCACCTTGGAGGAAAGGTGGGCTATAAAGGGGTAGTAAATTAATAAATAAGACTAAAATATGTCACCCATAGCATTTTACTGCCATTTAGAAACATAGCTATTTTTCTGCAGCATGCAAGTGTCTTCCCTATTTTTAGTGTATTTATTTACTAGAGTATAACTTGGATTCCATTAAACCATTGTAGAATTTTTTTTTCATAGAATGCACAAATTATAAAATCTTGTGCATTTCAGCCTTGAACTTCTGGTGGTTTTCAGCATGCTTCTAACTGAATACTCTTGATTGAATTTCCAGGGTTTGTTCACAGTAGAGTTTATTGTTTATTTGCAACTATTTGCATTCCCATTTAGTTTGTGTAGCCCACATAGTGTTACTCACAAACAACACAAATCATGGTGTTTCCCCCTGAAAATTTGGATATACCTGACAAAAGGGTTTTTCAATAAATCAGGGTAAATCAGTTGAAGGAGCACGTGGAGCCTCTTAAAATCTCATCATTTCCCATATATCATTTTTTTTATCTATGCTTTCTTTTTTTTTAACTTGGAACGGAAAAATGTCTTTATTACATTTGCAAACATCAAATATAAACAACTTTACGTGAGATAAGAAGCCTACTTACTAGTGGTCTCTTCCACTCAAATTTGACAGGGAGCTTTTGGCTGAAGAAGAGGGAGGAGTCATTAGCAGGGAAATCTGGATCCTCATAAAGAATCTTCTTCTCAAGGCATTTCTTGTGGAGCTCATGAAAGGTCTTTTCCTTTACTCCAATGATGGGTTGGTTGCGGCTGAGGATAGCAGAGTAGATCCCTGCTGGACCTCCGCCTGGTTCAGTTGTTGTGCTCATATGCTGGCGGGGAACCTGCCCAGCCCCAATCTCTTGAACCACGGTGGCACCACCAATAGCCGACGGCATGGAGAACAGGTTTAGGCAAACTTATCAACTTAACAGAAACAAGCAAGTAAGGAAGATCTTACTGCCTGGAAGGAAGTGACAGGAAAGAGGAAGTTGCTCTGCAAACGGTTTCTCAGGCACAGATCTCTCTTTCCCTCCCTTTTGCCTGCAAAAGAGCTTCAAACAAATTTACAAAGAACCACCATGACACCAGGTTGTGTACGTTTCATCCTGAGAAAGCTGCTACAGGAAGCAAGAGAAATTGTTGGGTAACTTTCACCTCCGAATTGGTGTGTGCGAGCGTACCACTGACATGCTTTCCAAAGGTTGCAGCTCAGAAAACTAAAAATAAACTCTCAGGGAGAGTGCCGATGTGGAGGCGGGGATGAAGAAAGTTCAGAGTTGCTTCTTTCAGAAGGACTGAAAGGCAGTTTAAGTCACTTTTTCACCTCATGCAAAAAAATCAAGCAAAGCCAAAACACAACCTAAATTGACAGGATGCTTGATAAACACACCTTAATGATAAGATAAGCTGACATGTTTAAGAGTCTATCATATAAACCATGTTTCTACATACAGTGGTACCTCGGGTTACATACACTTCAGGTTACATATGCTTCAGGTTACAGACTCCGCTAACCCAGAAATAGTACCTTGGGTTAAGAACTTTGCTTCAGGATGTGAACAGAAATTGTGGTCTGGTGGCGCGGCGGCAGCAGGAGGCCCCATTAGCTAAAGTGGTGCTTCAGGTTAAGAACAGTTTCAGGTTAAGAATGGACCTTCGGAATAAATTAAGTACTTACCCCAAGGTACCACTGTATTTAGAAGCAACTTAGCAAAACTAGAATTCAAAGGACTATCATACAGAGGCACCAGCCAGTCCTTAGAGCTGATGTTAATGTATTCAAATTATGTTTTATTCTCTGAGGGAATATTTCCTTCAGCTGCTGGGTAAATCTGCTAAGTTTTCCATCTATTGGTGTCTTGCCTAGCACAAGAAGACATAATTTAATCACCTTAAATAGAAAACAGGAATGAAGAGAAAGCAAATCTATCTATTGAGGAACATGTGCAACAATTTAATCTCTGTGAACTAATCTGCAGGTAGCACTCAACCGGAAAGCATTCTGAAGAATGATATCCAGATTTTACAATGCTATGCCTGCTAATTTATTAATCTCAGTGCTTTTAACAGTACTAAACTGACCCTCCTCTCCTCATTCCTCTCAAAACAGATTAAGGAGAAGAATCTGAAAGAGCACCAGCTGCTCTCGAAGATCTCCTCACAGCAGCTGCCTAAAGGATGGGCTGTTCCACTCAATGCCCTGTTGCCTTATTCCTCTATTTAATTTTGGTTAGGGGGCACACTGGGGTTGTCAAAGGGTAAGCCTCTTTTCACTCCTAAGGAATAAGTAATGAAAAATGGCAAGCTACTTGGTCTGCAATCACTTTATTTTAAACATTCTATTGTGTTCATATTTTATATCCGGGTTTTGTTTACCCCTGATAGTGTGAGGCACATGCAAACTATCTTTTGGCAGTTGTGGCCAGGGGAAATACTAGAAGCAAATTAAGCTCGGTGAGCTCACTGCTTTGCAAATACTCACATTATTCAGGTTACAGCAGCATTCTAACACCACCAGCACCAATGGCAGAATGCCGCAAACTGTGAAAAACATCTGCCTACTTTTATTCTTTTGGTTTATTTCTCTACCAGTGCTGCCACTGGGAGAAAAAGAGAGCCTAAAGCTTCGGGCTCTCATAAGCTGGCCTCATATTGAAAGAATCTTCTGTATCAAGATAGTCATAAAAACTATTTTTAAACAAACCAGCTGGAGCACTGCTATGAAATCCCAGTCAACATTTTTCTGTGGAACACTTGGCACTGCCTCAATGCAATGTTCTGAACATGAGTAAGAATGGTAACCAACTGTGACCACTACAGTTGGGCACAGACAACTGTTGGAGGCAGAAAACCAGTTACTGGGAACCACAGGTGGGGTGGCTGCTAAGCTCCTGATTGACAGCGTTCTATAGGCATTTAGTTGGCAACTGTGAGAACAGGATGTTGGCATAATTGAGCAGTGTTGTGATGTCAGGCTCTCAAACTTATGTGCTTTTTCTTGGGGGTTAAGTCCCAAGTGGAACTTGCTTCCAGTTAAAAATACATAGGCTTAATCTACTACACAAAACACAACAAGTAAAACTAACTTTAGCTTCAACAGACTAACCTTGGTTGATGTAACAGCATGCAAGCTTTCAAGTTACATAGAATCCTTTGTCACTGGTCAAGAAACACACGGATTCTAACAAGTTTGCCCCATAAAAGTTACCGCCTTAATTATTTGGAATTGGCTGCTATGATGTGTAACTGAAGGAAGCTGAACAAAGCCAAGCTACCCAGTCTTTGAGATTGATTTTTACAGCAGTGATTTGTGCCACTGGAACTAGAGCCACATCCTCTACAAGTTAGGGAAGCTTTGGTAACTGTGCCTTGGTTGTCACAAAATGACCTTGGCCTCTATCTTATGCTTATATTTATAAACTGCTATAGGTTTCTGCTGGTCTCAGCAGCTTCTATTTGACAAAAGAAAAAAAAGTGCAGTTGGGCTGAAGAAGACAACAGTAATAATACCATGTGACAACATTTAAACAGTTTTAAAGTATTTCTAAGTCCAGTGACAAGGGACGCGGGTGGGGCTGTGGGTTAAACCACAGAGCCTAGGACTTGCTGATTAGAAGGTCGGTGGTTCGAATCCCCACGATGGGATGAGCTTCTGTTGCTCGGTCCCTGCTCCTGCCAACCTAGCAGTTTGAAAGCACGTCAAAGTGCAAGTAGATAAATAGGTACCACTCCGGCGGGAAGGTGAACGGCGTTTCTGTGCGCTGCTCTGGTTTGCCAGAAGCGGCTTAGTCATGCTGGCCACATGACCCAGAAGCTGTACGCCGGCTCCCTTGGCGAGACGAGCGCCGCTACCCCAGAGTCGGTCACGACTGAACCTAATAGTCAGGAGTCCCTTTACCTTTAAGTCCAGTGACTGGCAAATTTGTACATTCAGGCTGAAGGTGGGCAGTAGAGTTTAAGACAGTTGAAAATAGTTTGAGAAAGACATCACTTCTCATGCTGTATATATAGTTCCCTTCACCCCTGCCAATGCCTTCTCATTTAGTATCTTTAGGTGTCAAGCATTATTTCAAATACTGACCAATCAGATGCCTCTGGGAGGACATGACTGTGATGGGCCATCAACACATTAGTTTTGCTTAGCTGCCATGGTTGCATGGAATGGCTATCAGCTATTCTCTTTTGGGGGGGGGCAGACCTGTAGTTCTCCAGATGTTGTTGAACTACTGCTGTCATCATCCCTGACTGTAGGCCATGCTGCTGGGAGTCTTACAACATCTGAAGGGCTACAGGTTCTCCATCCCTGTTATATGTCAAACAACAAACTAAGTTAAGAGTATTTGGATTTAGTATAGGCTACAGTCCTACAACTGATTGGTTCAAAATTGGGAAAGGAGTATGACAAGATTGTATATTGTCTCCCTGCTTATTTAACTTATATGCAGAATTCATAATGCGAAAGGCTGGGCTGGATGAATCCCTAGCCGGAATTAAGATTGCCGGAAGAAATATCAACAACCTCAGATATGCAGATGACACAACCTTGATGGCAGAAAGTGAGGAGGAATTAAAGATGCTTTTGAATTCTGGTGTTGGAGGAGACTCTTGAGAGTCCCATGGACTGCAAGAAGATCAAATATTTCCATTCTGAAGGAAATCAGCCCTGAGTGCTCACTGGAAGGACAGATCCTGAAGCTGAGGCTCCAATACTTTGGCCACCTCATGAGAAGAGACGACTCCCTGGAAAAGACCCTGATATTGGGAAAGATGGAGGGCACAAGGAGAGGGGGACGACAGAGGACGAGGTGGTTGGACAGTGTTCTCGAAGCTACCAGCATGAGTTTGACCAAACTGTGGGAGGCAGTGGAAGACAGGAGTGCCTGGCGTGCTCTGGTCCATGGGGTCATGAAGAGTCGGACATGACTAAACGACTAAACAACAACAACAGTCCTACAAAAACACTTACCCAGTTCTAAACCCCACTGAATGGCTTACTGTTGAATGTATAGGATTGTAGTGTTAAACTCTGAGTCTTCAGCATGCATTACCCATCCATTTCTGAACATATTTTTACAACCATAAGAGCTCAAAGAGCAAGGTTATCTCCAAGCCACAGAGAAATGCAGAAATATAAGCACATTTATATCGAGTCTTTCTTCCACCATGAAGCTACAGGCAGTGTACATGCTGCCCAGATTCCAACTTGCTTAGCTTCAGAAAGTGCTTGCATAAAGTTCCCTCAAGACTACGCCCTGTGACCAGAATACACACTGTCCTCAGAACAGTACTATGGAATAAGTGAGCAAGAGCCCTTACATCCCTTGGAAAGCAGGCTTATGTGGATCAATTTACATTCACAGCATCTTAAAATGCAGTGATAGCAATTTGTTCAGCAAATCTTGGCTCTGCCAGACATTCTCTCTACAGAAAGAGGGAAAGTTCAGCAGCAGGTGGAACTATGTGCTAAGACACAGCAGGAAAATGTCTTTCAAATGTGTTGCTGCACATTGAAGGAGTTAGATTTTTCTATCCACACTTCAGCATCTGCTTGCTTGTGAATGCAACCAACTTATTTCTAGATAGGAAAACCTTGGACAAGACACTGCCTCCCCTTCTTTGAGAGGCATTGCATGCTCAGCACTGGAAGGCAGTGAATAAAAGGTAGCAGGAGAAGTAAGAGAGATTCTTTATTTCCTTTTATTATGAAAAACCTATTATAACACAGAAATCTTGACTGTAACCTGCTTATGACACTGAGCAGCTTGTGAGATTAAAAACTGTTATTTTTGTTGTTGTTGAAGCCATATAATCTGTATCTGGTCACATTCTTAAACTGGAATGGAGGAGGAAGCAGCAGATATTAAAATGAAGCTACCATGCAAGTTATCAGGTTGAACCAAGGTCTTGTGGGAACAATAACTTAGCATAACAATGGCTGATTCCCCACGTCTGCAAATGTAAGAATTGGCTTCTACCCAGGTCTGGTCTCCACCCTTAAGTGAAACATACAAGTTCCTTGATAAGAATCAAGAGGAACTAGGTAGTCAAGTTAATTTTAGGTGGTGTGCTAGGCAGAAAGTCAATAAAAGTCAAACTGGATAACTTTACCTAGCAGTTGTGGGAATGTTCCCTCAAGGAATAATGCTCTGCCTGCAAGTTGTCTAGAATTTGATATCTTGCACACTATTCTGTAATATATTGGTTGGCCCAATTAAGATTTGCCTTAATCTGGATTTCTGGCATTTTTATTAATGCTCATTTTTACTTTTCATGGAATCCAGTACAGTGGTACCTCGGGTTAAGAACTTAATTCGTTCCGGAGGTCCGTTCTTAACCTGAAACTGTTCTTAACCTGAAGCACCACTTTAGCTAATGGGACCTTCCACTGCTGCCACGCCGCCGGAGCACAATTTCTTTTCTCATCCTGAAGCAAAGTTCTTAACCCGAGGTAATGTTTCTGGGTTAGCGGAGTCTGTAACCTGAAGCGTATGTAACCCAAGGTACTACTGTACTGTACTCTGATGTGTTCTGCAATATCTATGAATCATTCTAAAATATGGGACAACACTTAAAATATGGGGCAACACAAGAAGGTTGCATTTTGTTTAGTTGTATACCATAAAATGAGACAAACTGCGAAGCTTTGTGTTTTGATCTGACTGAAGTGCTCAGGAAAAGAAAGTTTGAATCAGCCAAATGCTTAAAAGATCCATTGGGGACCTCTCTGTCATATCTGAGTCACTCCAAATTCATCATGATACTTGTTTGGTTTGTTCTTGCAACGGAAACACAGTGTCCACAATGATACAGGCTATATGAACTATGTTAACTGATGAATGTTCGCCCAAGACTTCATTTTTTCCCAAGTAAGAAAACTGGACATTGTTCTATGGATAAGGAAGTCTCTGCAGGAAGTGAATATGGATTATAAAAAAGAGTTGTAATTTTTCCTGTCAAATGCCATCTTGCTGAAAAAATTCTATGTTTTACATTGGTGGGTTTGGTAGAGATTCTTCCAGGCTATTACCTTCTTCGAAATATTCATTATACCAATAAAAAACTGTTATTCTATAATGCTGAAAAACAGGTTTAGAGCAGAAGTCTTTAAAAAAGCAAGAAAGCATCACTTATTCCAGATATTGTTGCATGGCTCTGAGGCACAAATCCACAATTATCCTGGAAGCCAGCCGTCTTCACCTAACAGTTATTGCAAATGGTATCGGAAAGTCATAATTCAATTAATTAAATGTAACTTTGTTTTGTCCATTTCAAAAGAGTGAACTGAGTCACCCTCAACCATTATTGTTCGGCTTTCCTTCCAATTCTCTGGTTCTGCTGTTTCACTTGATATGAAGCGCCCAGTCAATGCCAACATTTAGTGAAAGCTTCTGAAGGGTCAACACAGAGATCTTGGCATCATATGTGAAAGTCACTGCTTGGTCTTTCCCATCTGAATGTCAACAGAATTAAAAACACACATGTTATATTCATTTTTAAAATCTACTGAAGAAAGACATATATGAAACTCATAAGGCTGATCAGAGCACAACCCTAGGTTACCCCTGCTGCTCTGAAGCAAACTCCAGTACACCAAACAACCCTTAGAATAAGAGCTTGTCCAAACCTCCAATTGCCCTGCTGCTTTCTCCTGGGAAAACACACTCTTTAATGCTGAATCAGACCAAATTGCAGCTGGATTTTCTGCAGATTGCCATTTGTTCTGAATCAGTGGTAAAGAGTGGAGAAAGCTGTGAGGCTAACACAAAACTGCTTTCTAGGCATGGGACAAGCAGGTGTGTGAATGAGCCTTTAGATCAGCGGTTCTCAACCTGTGGGTCCCCAGATGTTGTTGGACTACAACTCCCATCATCCCTGAGCTCTGGCCTTGCTAGCTAGGGATGATGGGAGTTGTAGTCCAACAACATCTGGGAGCCCACAGGTTGAGAACCGCTGCTTTAGATCATATCACTGGGGCTGTGTCAAGATGGGACATTAGCTTGCAAATGGGTCATTCAGATCCAATTTTCTGTGTGCATCTTAGGTGTGTGAGAGTCCACACATTTTTCGTTATTTCACTCACTATATTCTTTGCTATTCTGCAGTTCCTGAGTATTTTTGTGTGCCCTCCCCTAGGTAGCTTACAGGATTAAACTGTGGTTTATTTGATCGTAACAATTCTCATATAGCAGCATCACTCAAGTCCTGGAATAATGAAAACAAACTGGGACTGATTAGTGCTCCGAATGAAGCGTGTGCTTTCAGACAATTCCTCTTCTCCAACTGATATCCAACTTCTGCTCAAAACATCTCAGGATCTGACTGAGTGGCGGAAAGGGGCTTGGGAAATCAACTCAGTTCTGAACCTCTTCAGGTGTTTTTTTCCAAACCTTCCCAAAAATCTCCAGCAGCACAGGAGATGGGAGAGTGAGAGGAAGCAAGGGGACTTCCTTCTGCACAGAGATGCTCGCTGCTTCCTGCTGTCCCTGCTCCACTGATAGGTCTCTGTGCAGCAGGAAAACCAGTGCCTTAACTGAAGGACTCTAGGGTGGAAGAATCTTAAGAAGCATCTTTAGATGGCGTAAAATATTTCTGTCTCTTACCATGAATGCTAGCCGTCACAGAAGATGGTTGTTTTTTTATTCCCAAGATCAATATCTGCTCAACTACACACTTTGTATGAAATTGCCCGTTTTCATCTGCACACCTGTGAGAATCAAAAGACAGAATCAGAATCTAGGGTATATGACAAAATGGCTATGTCTCATGTGTGTACTGTGTATGTTTTCTTCTTGAGCATACTGCCTTGTCAACAATAAAAATAGGAATTTATTTTTTAAAAAGTGTGTTTTGAAAATCTATGGATACGTGAGGGGTATTTGGAAAATAGTTAGCTATACTGTGAAGGTTTTGACCCCTAAAAGCAGTCTGTATTTTAAACAAATACTTTAATTAAATAAGTTAAGCCTCTTTATACTCCTCCCCTCTCAAAAGGACCCTTGTTGGAAATGGTGTGGCATAGTCAGAATCATAACAGGATGAACCATTCACTCTACACAGAGGTGGCTTTAGGGGAGAACAACCAGTTTGGAGTCTTGGGGTCGCCTCTGTGGATGCTGCAACTATGATTTAGAATGGAGCGAGAGAGGAGAAGGGATGCTGAATTTTGGCATTGTACTGAGTGCTGCTGAAATTTGGGACCCCGAGATCCTTCTACCATCTGAAGCCCACCTGATGTTTTGAACTATAACTCCCATCAACCACTGCCAGTACTGCTAGGAGTTGTATTTTGCAACGTCTGGAAGGCACCAGATTGGGGAAGGCTTTTACACCCTTTATGGCTTCTGGACTGAGAAACAGACATCAGCAGAGCAAAATTCTCCTGTGTTTCTTACTATCCAATCCTGTAGGATTTGCTGCTCATTCTTTGCACTAATTTGACTGCCAGTCATTTTATTTCCCCCTAAATACTGTAAATCCCTTCTATGTTCACTACACCAGGACCATGCCAGAGCAACTGTCATTCACTTTATGTAACATTTCATTACATTGTGAGCGGTGGACAAAACGTATTTTGCCCAGCTCACGGTGTAGTTATTAAAGTATTTCTCATTATTAAACTACCGGCCTAGGATTCTTAACACCGCCTTCTGCCTCTGCTTTTTCAGTGCACATTACCTAGATGAGAAGACATTCTTGTGGAAGGTGAACTTCCTGAGCAGGAACTTCTTCTCGTGGAGATACTGGAACGAATGGCCATCATCCAGATAAAGCTCGCCCATTGCAGACCCCTACACAGCAAGAAAAAATGTCAAACAGCTAACAAAGCTGTACAGGGTTACTTCTATTAACTGCCACGTGTTGATTTTTGAATGGTTCAAAACACTTCTGAAGATCTTAAGGCCAATCTATGCATTCAGACTAGAGACAGATAATAAATGAGTCCTGTCAGCAGAAGCCGTGTGCAAGGACTTCCGTTTGGGTAAAGGGACTTCCTCGCCTCCAACCTGTCCTCCCTCAACATTGGCTCTTGAAAAGAAACAAAAATATGTCAATAACAGTCAAACCTCGGTTGTTGAATGTAATGCGTTCCAGAAGCCTGTTCAGCTTCCGAAATGTTTGACAACCGAGGCGCGGCTTCTGATTGACTGCAAGAGCTTCTTGCACTCAAGCAGAAGCCATGTCGGAAGTTCGGCCTCTGAAAAACGTTCGAAAACCAGAACACTTACTTCCAGGTTTTCGGCATTCGAGAGCTGAAATGTATGATAACAGAGGCATTCCGGAACCGAGGTTTGACTGTAGTAACCATACACAAGTAGATTTTACTGAAAACAGTTTGTCGGGTTTATGTTTAAATCTGCACAAATTTAAATTAATTTTGAGAGAATGAAATTTGACATGATCTAGTTTAATCTTGGTGTGGGTAGGAGAAAAGGCATGGCTGCTTACAGAGGGAAAACAGGAACCAAGGGCATAGTGATGACAAAATGGAGGGTCAGAACAGATACAGGGCTGGAAATTTCCACTTGCACTTGCACTTTTTAGAAATCTAGCAAAATATACAAAGTAAGTGTGTAAAATATAATTTCACAGTACCTTTGTATCTAAGGCAACACGCAGTTCATACGGAACATCTACCATCAGTTCTGTAGATTTTCCTACAGAAGTCTTTAATGGTATAACAGTTCCCCCACGCTGCATTACAGGAATCTGCAAACAGGAAAGGACAGAAAAAAATTAAATACAGTAAGCTTCCTTGGAATGAAGGATAGCAGACAACAAAACACATCCCACAAACCTGGTCCTGTGCACCTTTCTTTTCTGGAGCAGTTAACCAATCCCAATTGCATAGGTGTCTTATATTTCAGGGAGTAACTGTTTACATATGATGAAACTTAATAGGGCTTACTTCTGAGTGAATATGCATAGGATTTCAGTCTTAGTGACAACACAACTGACTTGCATTCTACATCCTTATATGGGAGTAAAACAATGAAGCAGACACATATAGGAGGTTGCAGATATTATATATTGAATATGACAGATTTTGTAGCCTCTGAAAGGAAAATAAAATTTCATATTTACTTATACCGTACATTCGAAATTTGAAGTTTATTATTTTATTTCATAGTTTATTCTTTTATTTCATGGATGCCAATGAATACAATCATGTTCTGAGGAATAACAAATAGAATTACAGTGGTACCTTGGTTCTCGAACTTAATCCATTCTGGAAGTCTGTTCGACTCCCGAAACTGTTCGAAAACCAAGGTGTGGCTTCTGATTGGCTGCAGGAGCTTCTTGCACTCAAGCGGAAGCTGTGTTGGACGTTCGAAAAACGTTTGAAAACCGGAACTCTTACTTCTGGGTATACAATGTTCGGGAGCCGATTTGTTTGTCAACTAAGTCATTTGAGAACCAAGGTTCCACTGTACTGGATGTCTGTATGCTTTTATATGTATATATTTCTAGATAAATGTTGTAATTTAAGGTGGAAGTGTATTCAAAGCCTTCAACGGTCAAGCCTTCGGGCCTATTCTGGCATTAAAAACTACATTACATTCTTGCATTAAAATTCTTTCCTCATAGTATCTTCTTAACCTTGTAGATTCAAACATAATTGTTGTCGGTGTTGGGTGCATATACAACCCTATCCACAAGTCTTTGAAGCAAGTCCCTCCCCCCCCCATTAGTCAAATCAGTGATATAAAAACACAAACGTACACTGTTCAGTGTCACTGGAATCTTTACTGTGCCGTGACCTTCCAGACGGATAAATTTTCGAAAGTCATACCAGATCTGCAGCAGGATAAACAGGAAAAAAGAAGAACCCTGAATGAGTTCTACAAATTTAGATCCCACCTCCTTACCTTGCTTAAGGGACACCATGACATAAAAGCCTGACAGAATATCAAATCAACCAATAATTCACCAATATCCACACATGTAAAAGCAATAAGAAAGTGATAATAAAACCAGAGTATGAAGAACAATAATCTTGTAACACCTTAAAGATTAACACATTTATTACAGCATAAGCTTTCATGGACTACAGTCCATCAGATGCATGAAATGTTACCCTGAGATATATGTATATATATTATATACACATGGGGACATTTGGTCAGGTCAGATGAAGGAGGGTTGTACAAATGAGAAATATAATGCAGAGAAGTACAGACATGGAAAATTGCATACTTAGCAGCGGTGGTTCACAACACTGTTCTTGGTGACACATCAGCAGCCTGCTATGTGAATTACCAGCGTTTACATCAATGCCTATATATTTTTTGTATTTCCCCCTAACCTCAAATTTTACACCCCCTCTCAAAAAAACCAAAACCCATGGGTTGTATCCAATGCTGTCATTCTGCTCATGCAACAGACTTCCACTCTTGCAACAGACTTCCAACTCTTCTGTCTCACCTGCAGTCCCCCGTGCATCCTCAAATTTTCCTCCAGAGGGTTTGGGGACATTTTGGAGCAGATTTTGGGGGAAGCAAAGGGAGGGCAGAGGAAGCAAAAGTTCTGTTGCATGAGTGGAGTGCTATTCACACAGAGCTAGGTACAACCCAATGTATACAATATACAGTTGCAATTCCAAGGCCTCCATGGGACCTGCATTTCACCCGATGCATGAAGTGTTATGGTGAGTTATGTTACACTTCATGCATCAGATGAAATGTAAGTCCAAGGCTATGAAGGGCTTGGAATTGCAATTTTTCGGAAAGCAAAGCAACATCTTGAATTGGGACCAGAAGGCAGTGCTGTTGCCACAAGCATGTTTGAGAGCTAGTGGGGGGGGACACAAGGAGCTACCCCACTGATCGCCAAAATCCATCCAAATATCAACCAAAGTACTGAATACGCACAATGCCTGCTGCAGCACTTTCTAGAACAGTCTAGAAGCCATTTGGAAACATAGGTCACTGCGGTTGCACCATGAGGGATGCAACTGAAGGAGTATTAGCCCTTGCAATTTGAGGTCCAACTCTTACTGAATGTTTAAAATACATTTTATTTAAAACATTCCTGCCTTGCTCTTTGTTGCCAAAAGCAAGTTCATATTGTGTAACAATCAAATATATATAAAACAACAGCATAAATATAAATCAGTATAAAAACAAGGCTGATAAACTATTTGTCTGAATGCTGTGCTGAAGCTTTCAGAGGAAGCTAGATAAAGCCTTTCCTCCTCCCAGGAGGGGAGGGGTTGTGAGCGGGAGACGATTCCCGCGTCATGCAGGGGCGCTCCGCCCCTGCTTCAACTCCAGGGCTGGCGCCACGCCCCTCCCAGGTTGAGCACCCAATAGGGAAGCTCGGCGGGGGCGTGGCTTGCTGCTCAAACGCAGCCGCGCCAGCCATCCCCACCATTGCACACACATTTTCTTCGAGTCACCCACCCTCCACTCCCTTTAGATTAGCTGTTCCTGAGACTTTGCTATGGACCTCTGGTTGGTCGCCCTGTTTAACCAGGGGGGCCTGGTAGGAGTTTTTTTCCAATTGGCTAAATTGGCCCGGCCTCTTGGTTTTTTTCGCCTACCTCGTAGCAACCGTCACAACTTTCGTGGTATTTGGCGGTTAGGCATTGGAATGTGTTGTTGGTGTTTCGGGGGGCAAGGTGTGGCCATCGCCTTCCCTGACAATTTTGGGTATTCCGCTAAAGGAATCCGGCGGTCGTGGATCCTGTCCGATGCCCGTGTGGCGGGGGGCCATGGCACGACCCTCGGTGACATCAGGAAGAGAGCCTATAGTTGGATTAGCATCAACAGGCTTCCCCTACTGGTGGTTAACCCCTCCTCAGACTCACCCCTCTACGAGTGGGTGGAGTCTAATGTTCCGTGGTCCAATGCCTAAGCCAATAGCTTCTCACATGCTGTAATCAATAAAGTTGTGGCCTTTACCTTACCCATTAACCTTACATTCTGTGTCCACGTGTCTTTATTCCCCAAGCGGGGATCGGGTCCTCGAATCACAACTTGTTTTTTATTAGAATATTGCTTAGATTAAATCTGGTTATGGTGAGGGCTGTTTTGTGTAGTCCCAGATGATGTACTTATATCTATTGCAGAAATGCCTAGTAGCCTAATTTTGATTGAAAGCCCCATAGAAACACAAGGGTATATAAAAAAGGGAAATAAAGGAACTGATAATAGTTTTCATTACCTCTTGAGGGCCAGGCAGAAAGACATCAACTGCAGTGACTTTTGGTTCAGTGACTGGATACACCAACAAAGCATTTCCTGAATTACATAGAGAAGAAAAGCAATACTACTATGGGATTATATCATTATCTAGCCATTTGCTGATATTTCTACCATGGATTCAGTATAGCATTTGGAAAAGTAGTACCTTCTTTTCTATTAGAGGTGTGACTATGCCATTAAAAAAAAAAAACTTGTCTAGAATATGCAAGAGGTCTTGTTTGAATATGCAAATAGCAGGTTCCTAACAGTTCATCCTTTCTCACAAAACTTTCCAGTATTCAAAGATGCTTTACAAATTCTAATTTGTCCTCACAACAACCCTGTAGTTTCTGAGGTAGTGATTTGCTAAAGGGAGCTTTCTGACTGGGCTGGAATTTGAAGATGGGCTTTTTGTACCCAAACCCAGCCTGCTATCCACAGCATTACAGAGGATAGCCTTGAGCTGACAGAAGCGATTGACATTAATCTGTGAGGAAAATTATTCAACACATAGTATAAAACAACTTCAATTCTTTCCTAAGATTAAGAGGCAAAGATTAATAATAATAATAATCAGAATGCACTCCATAAGGAAATGCTAGAATTACTTTTCCCTCATTATCAGAACACTCATTGAGTTCACATTTCTTCTTCTGTAGTTATTTCCTGAAGATATGGGGTGTGTCCCAAGGAAGGATTCCCACGAACACCTCTCCATACCCATCATGAGAGGTCCAGTGACTGTTTAACTAGCTTTGCCAGCCAAGGAGACCAGAAGCAATGAGTGCAGAATGAAGCAAGCTCACATCTGGTCTATGGAAGACTGGGAATTCTGAAACTATAAGCCTGATCTCCTCAGAGTTCTCTGGATGAATCCTAACCACTAACATGAGACATCTCCCTCATCCCTTCTAGTTTGTGTGCTGCCTTTCTGTCACAGCTGTTGCATCTTCTGATTACACCACTGCCATGTTTTATAAAAGGTTCCTTCAACCTTTAAACTTACCAAGCATATACTCATCTTCGATGCCAAACGTTTCCAGTTCCTTGGGGAATTCTACCCAAACAGGCCTATGTAAAGGAAGAAAGTGGAAGCAGCAAAGACTTTTTAGAAGACGTGCACTAGTTATCATATCAGAAACCAAGGGTCACTATTTTCTGTTTATAATTTGAGTGTTATTTAGATGCTATTTTAATCATTTATGATTCACTAGGATTTATAGTAGTCCCATAACGACTTACGAAGCAGAAATGAGTCTCTTTAATTCTGAGCTTACCTCATGACTGGCTCTGCAACTGTATGTGCTCGATAAAACAAAGCATAGAGATATGGAAGAAGGGAGTAGCGCTCCTTGATAGCATTTCTGATGATCCGCGTGTTCTCCTCACCAAACAACCAGGGCTCACGGCGCTTGGTGTTCATATTGGCATGGCCTCTAAAGAAAGGCTGTAGGGCTCCAGCCTGATACCATCGAACTAGCAGCTCTGGTTCTGGATTTCCAATAAATCCGCCCACATCAGCTGGATTTCAGAAAAAGTATGAATTGGTTTCTGAGAAAGGGTTGGAAAACACAAACTTCCCAGATTCTTCCCCAGTTGGGCTGTATTTCCAGAAAAGCAATTTCCCCCCAACACAGAAACTACTTCAGAGAAGAAGGTATAAAAAAACTACCGGAAACCTGTGACCTCAAACTGGATATGCATGTACAGTGGTACCTCAGGTTAAGTACTTAATTCGTTCCGGAGGTCTGTACTTAACCTGAAACTGTTCTTAACCTGAAGCACCACTTTAGCTAATGGGGCCTCCTGCTGCTGCTGCGCCGCCGGAGCACAATTTCTGTTCTCATCCTGAAGCAAAGTACTTAACCCCGAGGTAATATTTCTGGGTTAGCAGAGTCTGTAACCTGAAGCATATGTAACCTGAAGCGTATGTAACCTGAGGTACCACTGTATTCCAAAAATCAGGAGAAAGGATGTTAAGCTCAGTGGTAAAGCACATGCTTTGCAGACATGGCTCAGCTGGTAGAGAGGAGGTACAACATTAGCTTCCTGCAAAGTGTGTCACTGCCACTTAGCAGGAGGGAGAGGAGGTGCAACCCCCTGTTATGCACGAATATGCAGCTGTCCCACATGGGAATCAAACCTGCAACCAACTGAGCTATCCAGGTATGCAAACCATTACTATAAAGTGTGTGCTTTACCACTGAGTCATGTCATTTCCAGTTTGCAGCTACAGGTGGTTCTACCCCACCTAGGAAGCTGTCTGTGATTTTTTGTGTGAACAAAAAGCACCTGGTTCATACCCTGGAATATACAGATCAGGCCGGGAAAGACCTTGGGGAGGCTCTGCCTGTCATCATAGACCATACTTGACTAGATGGCACAATGATCTGACTTAGTATAAGGCAGTTTCCTATGTTCCCTGTGGATGGACGCCCTCTTAAGGTCAGCTATAACACACCATATGAAAGTTAATTTATTTAGATTTTTAAGAAGAAAAAAGTTAATCAACCGAAATCTCCAAGCAGTATACATTAAGGAGTATAAAATCATTATCAATGATACCCAGACAAAAACAGCAAAAAAGAAAGAAAGAGTAAACTGAGACTAAACTCTGTGTCTGGATACCGTTGTTGAAATAAATATGATTTCAGCCAGCATCTAAAACAATACAGTGAAACTTCTTTCATTCATAGAAATAATTGAGGCTTTTGAAAAGGCACAAGTGAAATGAGCTCAATTGCTTAGTAACATGGAGATTGCAACCCAACACGTCCCTTACCTCCACAGAAAGAAATTCCTGCCATACTGATTGTCAGCAACATTGGAACGGAGATTTTCAAGTACTGCCATTTTGCTTTATTGTCTCCAGTCCATACGGCACCTAGAAATATCAAGTTCACAGACTGTGTTTGTGGACATTGGGTGTTAAGTTCAAAAGATATCCATAGGTTTTACTTCTAAGCAGATGAGCATGAGGCTCATGCTATATGTGTGCAGATGTACAAATCCATATGTTACCCCTATCAGCTGTTTGATAATGACTCACATGAACTGCATTGTGTGATAGGTCAGCCATGCATCACATATGATCCCTGTTCTGGTGTCTGCATGGTGACAAGATCAGTGTCAGTTGCCACACTGTTCTTGATTTAAGAAGAACAAGGATAGAGGAAATGCACCCTAAAATCAGGCCAGCAGGTTTTCCGCTCAATCCTCACCCTCTGAAAAGGAAGTTGGCAAACAGACTGATTTCAGTCTGATCAGCACATGTGTCTTTTTGATGGCAGCATTCAATACATGGGTCATTGATATAATAACACGATCTCTCAGAACATCAATGAGTGAGTTACAATCTGGGTTTTCAGCGTCTTAAAAATCTACCTATTGCAAAAGCCTGAAAGCTACAGCCCAATATTAGGTTGCTATTTATTACTATTTCCAGCCCTATTAGACTCTTGAATTCCTTATTTAACTTATAACATTCCTTCTTTAACTTATTTGCAGTACAAGAAGAGGCAACAGCTTAATATTATGAGAACTCCACAGCATGACAGATGCTCCAAATGTCTAAAGTCTCAAATTCAATCATTGGCATTTCAAGCTAAAGGGGTTTCAGATAGCACGAGCTGGCAAAGACCTCGTTCTGAGGCCCTGGGAACCAACAGAAAAAGATACAGTGATTTGTTGACGGGATTTCAAAAATCCTTGTGCAAAGTTCTAAAATGAATTCCGCCAATGTCCCTCAGGAGGAGGGAAGGAAAATAGTATTGTGAGGAACCCCAAGAGAATCTTGTCCTCAAAAGAATGTTATTTGCTCCCAAGACACACCTAGTAAGCTTCGATCAAGACTTAGAAGAAAGTTTCATTCATAAGAAATGTTCTTAATTGTTACAGAATATGATTATTTAGACTTGTTAGCTGATTGTTATTGTTATGTACTGAAGTTCTCACCCTGGGTCAGCAGGGGGATACTGTAGATAGTTATGCAAATGAAGGATCAAAAGTGACGTTCAGTGATTGGATAGTTTGTATGCAAATGAAGGATCGAAAGTGACGTTCAGTGATTGGAGAGTTTTAGAAAATGGCAACAGTTACATTGTTCTGGAGCTCTATATAAGCAGGCTGACTGAGCTCCTCAGTTCAGTCCTGTTCTGCCTCTGAATAAAGAAGAGCTGTTTGAAGAATCACTGTGTTGTCTGATATGTTCACTCACAACCTAACAGTTATACAAAGGGTTTCCTGCATTTCCCCCCGCACCCTCAGACATCTGAGAATTTTCTGTACGTTTGGGGAACTTGTCTCTCTCACACACACACCTGATTATAAAACAAGACTATATTTGAGGTTAGCCTGGCTAACTGGGGAAGCAAAGTTTAAAGATCATTCATTCATTCCTTACATTTTCATCCTGCCCTTTCCCCAATGAGCTCTTGGTGGCACACATGATTGTCCCTTCCACTTATTTTAGCTTCACAACAAGCCTGTGAACTGTGAGATAGGGCAGGTTGAGATGGTGACTAGCCCAAAATAACTCTGAGTTTGATGGTTGTGTGGGGATTTAATTGATGTTTGAAGAGGATGCTTGAAAAGGGGAGCTATGTCGTATTAATCATCATTCTTCCTTCTTCTATGCTTACCATACTTTTGGGAGCCAGCAAAGAACGAGCGTGTGAGAACAAAAGGCCTCTCCAGCCCCCCACTTCGTCTGATCAGTCCTTCTGCAGTTGCCATTTGCTGAAACACACCAGAGGAAACATGTCTGCTTTAACACAGCTGTTATAACTCTAGTACAGAGAGGAGGCCAGCAACAGTAAAAATACAACAGCATTTCTGGACTGAGAAGAGCCAGATAGAACACCTTAAAACAGCAACAGAGAAGGCTGACATGAATCAATCGCCCTGCGGCTTGTACAGGAAAGAACAGGAGCTGGCAAGACTAATTTTTTAAACACACGATCTTCATACAGGAAGGGTTATTGACAGTATGAGGCATCGTTTCTAAAAGTAAACAGATGAATTTAAACATGGAAGGAATACAGAAAAGAATGATCTGTTTTTGAGGGAAATGGGCTTATACAGTCTAAGACTAGTACAAGGCAAAGTATAAGACAATTCTGAGACATACTTCTTGTTGAAGCCATGATAAATTACTGTAACTATCATTTAATGGTATGCTTTTGTTATGCTTAATTAAGAAGAGTTAAAATGTATGTTAAAATGTAAAATATACAATAACAATAATTAATCATCACAAATCAGTAACATGAGGATTGGAATTGAAATTGTTCACCTGCAAAGGCCATACCTGGTAGAAACCATAGAGATTATGGACTTCTCGGTGTTCCCATTTGCCATAATGGACAGCATCCTTCTGCATGGTTAGCTCTACTCCTCTGAAGACTGAGGGCTCATTCATATCATTCCAGGCAAAAAGGATTTCAGTGGAACCCTATCAACATTTTAATTACATCAAAGTTGTTGGTTTAATCCACAATTAACACACACACACACACACACACACACACACACAGTCTGGGTAGGTATACACATGCTTACAAAGCTCTCAAAAATGTAAAGCAGACTACTCTAAGGAGAGGAAAGCAGTTGTCAGAGAAGCTTGTCTTGGACTCTTATGGGCTTCAAGATTAGGTGGGATCTATCTACCCATTAGGGATAGATTAGGGATACCCATAGGGATGCGGGTGGCGCTGTGGGTTAAACCACAGAGCCTAGGACTTGCCGATCAGAAGGTCGGTGGTTCGAATCCCCGCGACGGGGTGAGCTCCCGTTGCTCGGTCCCTGCTCCTGCCAACCTAGCAGTTTGAAAGCATGTCAAAGTACAAGTAGATAAAAGTACAAGCTCCAGCGGGAAGGTAAACGGTGTTTCCGGGCGCTCCTCTGGTTCACCAGAAGCGGCTTAGTCATGCTGGCCACATGACTCGGAAGCTGTACGCCGGCTCCCTCGGCCAATAAAGCGAGATGAGCGCCGCAACCCCAGAATCGGCCACAACTGGACCTAATGGTCAGGGGTCCCTTTACCTTTTTATCTACCCATTAGAATTAGTGTTGGGAAAACTAATCCCATCAGCAATATAATTAGCTTATTAAATTACTAATCCCATGATAAAAGCTCAGATAAAGCTTCTCTGTTATTTTTAAATCTCTTAAGTATCTATGAAAACTGGTCTTGGTACCCATTTATAAACTCTTAATAGATTCAACCTGAAAACTGCGTAATTTTGAGTTTTGGCAGCACCACCGTATACAATGAGTATATCTCAGATATTTGCTTTGACATTTGTTTCTGACAGTGGCAACCCTACATTTTTTATCAGCTGCTGGCTTCTTTAGAGGTTTCTAAGCAAAATGCTTATAGGGTTCTTTTCTTCTTTCTTGGGCACCCTTGGGCAACTGGGACCAGAATGAATGAAGAACATGCACAACACTAGCAAGTTTCCTTCCAGGTTAGCATCCCAAATGGTAAAATTCCCATATCACGTTCAACACAAAAGGATTTGGAATTGGTTAGACGCTACAGTTCTCCAATGGAACTTGCATGAGCCAAGTTGTCCCTTTGGTGTCATGTGCAGAAACGACTGTGTGGAAACCTTCGCTTATCTTAGTATATTTTGGATCAATCCTCTTCCTCGGTCATCAAATGAAAGTCCCTGTTTCTTACTTTTTAAGAGCTTGGTTTTTCCGCCAAGGATCCTGCCACACAGGGTCATGAGAAAAGAACACAAACCTTATATGCGCTGAAGGCAAATTGATCTGCATACCATTCTCGGACTTCAGGACTGGTGAAATCCAGGTAAGATGAGAGACCTGCAGGTGTGAGGAAATTATGACATTTGCAGGACTTGATTCAGGATGGCAGCTTATAAATATTTAAATAAATAACATATGGCCTTTATGCTGTGGTTGACAAATACAATGCTAAAATCTCCTATTAATATTCAAGCAAATACAATAATACAACAAAGGGTTTTTACAGCAAATACTAGCTTCATATAAGAGATTTTTCCTCAGAACCACAGCATAGGAGGAAAGTGTTTAATTTCCAATCCTTGCCTGCTGCAATCCTGATAATTATCAGCCACCAACCCAGCTGATGCTATTTTTTATTTAACATCACCTATAGTTTGTCTATTTAACTTCCAGTGGTGGAGACTGGAAGAGTTCACTATATTACCCTCTTTGCATCTTTGTGCACACTCTGCAATGTTAGTCTTGTTGTTGGACAAGGGTCATCATGCTTACAGGCCAAATGTCTATATCTTCCTATACATATAATAAAAATGTAAGGTGTCATCATGCCCGCCCAGGCAAACGGTGGTGGTGGGGAGGTCCTTCACATAGCTGCCCTGTGAACTGCCTGCTCCCTCCTTTAAAAGGGACAGAAGGGGAGAGGCCTGGGTGAGCTGTGGGTAGATAAGGGAGGGGGTTGAGTTGTAAAGGGGACTTTGTCAGGTGAGGGGGAAGGGCAAAGGGCTGGTGAGCCGAGTGAGCAGGGGGAAGCAGCTCCTAGTCTTAGAATTTTGAAGCTGATGCCATCATTGCCTTGCCATGATAAATAAATAGAGACAAAGGGTCTCTTGGATCCAGCTGACTAACACCTGGTAGCAATACCTGTTTAAATAAAGTTAGAGGTATTAAGGATCAAGAGCTTTTTAAAAAAATGTCAGTGAGGAGTAGAAGTCATTTTTTTCCCCTTCAAACTTCTGACCATAAAAAACCATTTAACCCTTTTTAAAAAGGAATTATATATCACATTAAGTTTTCAACACAGATTTGAAAAAGGAGAACAGAAAGACAATATCACACACACAATTAATGTACAGAATAAAACTTATTTCTATTTATTAATAAATTTTAACTTCCATAAATGTCAGTCATCAGATTTGTAAAAGTAAAGGAGGGGCTTTATTACCTGGCCAACAGATGCCTTCGAAATCTTTGCCTTTACGGTCTTTTACAAAGTAACCTCTTTCTTTTGCTTGTGAGTATATGGTAAACAGAGGATCAACTTTAATATGGGGATCCAGAATGACGACCAGCTGCCAACATGAGAGACGGCACAATATTATCATGTATGGATTACCATTATTTACATCCTGTCTTTCAGAATACAAAACCTTCCGAGGTGACTTACAGGTAACATTAAATTACATATTTTAAAAAATGCAACAGACAGTATCAACGTATTAAAAAGTCGGGAATCACAGCTCAATGGATGCGAATGGATCTGGGGCGGCCCTCCCTGTTTCACCACCTGAGGTGAAATGGGAGTTGCTGTCTCCTTTCCTGCCCAACCTGGCTCTTGCCAAACTTGGCAGGAGCTGGGGCGCTCCTGGAAGCTTTACCGCCTGGCTTCTGTGGGGCAGACAAGCAGCAATACCGCATGCCAGAATAGCACCCTCACAGCAGCAGAAGTGGTCAGGAGGGTGGAGCACTGCCTTTTTCACTTGCACCATCTGAAGCGAGCGCTTGATCCCCAATCTCAGGGGCGGACTGCGTCTGCCTGCCGCACATGAAGGCCACAAGAGCTGCAGACCTCCAAAGAAATTTTTCTCCCTACTTTCTCTACATTACCCACCTTGCGCTTTTTCTTCATAAGTATCTGCTTCTGCATCCTCTCGGGATTGCCAAACTTCTCCTTATTCCATGTGAAGTACCGCTTGCCATCTGTGTGCTCAATGTCAAGCCATATGACATCATATGGGATGTCATGCATATCGAAACCTGCATCTACCCCTTCCACGTCGTCCTCGTCTTCGTAATTCCAGCGGCACTGGTGGTAGCCAAGGGAGAAGAGTGGGGGCAGGGCTTGAGTGCCTAGCAAAAAAAAAAAAAAAAGGGAAAGGGAAAGGGAAAACAATGCTATCATCCAAATTAAAACCAAAGTCACAATTAAGTGCTAAATATTTATTTTTGCTTGAACTTTCTCAGCTGCACTAGAGGCATTAAAAGTGTATAAGAAGAGTCTCGTTGTAATGAAAGCAGCACAGAATCCTTTTCCTTACTTTGAAACTAGAAAGTGCTTCAGGCTGCTAATGTAGTTTTGTGAGCAGTTATTTGCCCACCTGCCAGAGGCTACGTCCTGAAGGCACATGGTATGTCCTCCTTGCTTCAGCTAAGCAGATCTGGGCCTGCACAACACTGTCCTGAGTTCCACGATATGTGAAAAGTGAGACAGAAACAAAATACAGGGGGTGGGGAGATGTTCCTTTTTTGGTGAGTGGCTTGTCAGTGTTACCAGTGAAGTTGAACCTGTGACACAGATGTGGTAGATGCAGACAGATGGAGGTATGAACTTGGTAGTGAACTGCTACTTCTCTCTCTCTCTCTCTGCCCCCTCCGACTCTATTACAATGGTTCTATATCTTTAACTGCTTAGAAATTGTCATGTACTGAAGTTCTCACCCTGGGCCAGCAGGGGGATACAGTTTTCACTCAGGTCCACATATGCAAATAAGGGCTTAAAAGTGACATTCAGTGATTGGATAGTTACAGAAAATGGTTACTGTTGCGTTCTAGTGGAGCTCTATATAAGCAGGCTGGCTGAACCCTTCAGTTCAGTTCTGTTCCGGCCTGTGAATAAACAAGAGCTGTTTGAAGAATCGCTGTGTCCTCTGATATGTTCACCCACAACTTAACAGAAATAGATCTCTCTCTCTCTTGCATACACAAGCTGGGTGTGCCACCTTAATGTTTATTCTTGCCACTTAAAGCAGTTTCAGGATGTACAGGTGAAACTCAAAAAATCAGCACAATTATAACAAATAAAGGCTTGACATATCTCGCTTTGCATGTCATGAGTCTATCTCCTATATTAGTTTCACCTTTTAAGTTGAATTACTGAAATAAATGAACTTTTCCATGATATTCTAATTTTTCGAGTTTCACCTGCATTTGTATTGTAAGACAGTACCTGTCAGTTGTGCATACTGCTTAAAAATATCAAAGGGTTGGGGCCCCATTAGGATGAAAGTGTCAATGATCCCACTTTCTGACATCCAGCGCACATCAGTTTGAGGAAGCACTCTCTGCTTCGAAGTTTCTGGAGTTCTGGAGGACAAAACCTGTCAAACAAAGCAATCAGAAAAAGGTAACGGTACAGTGGTGCCCCGCAAGACGAATGCCTCGGAAGACGAAAAACTCGCAAGACGAAAGGGTTTTGCGGTTTTTGAGGTGCTCGTAAGACGAATTTCTCTATGGGCTTGCTTCGCAAGACGGAACGTCTTGCGAGTTTGTTTCCTTTTGAAGCGGGAACTGGGCTGGCAGGGAGCGAGCAGGGGAGCGACCTACCTTTTCCAGATGGATCCTCTTCTGGAGAGGGCACAGAGGAGGCAGGTGAGCTGGGATCCAGCGGATCTGGCTGGGTCTCTGTGCCGCCTCTGCCTCTGCCTCTCTCTCTCTCTCCCCCTCCCCACGTGGCTGCTCCATTTTGCTCTAACTGCGTGAAGGCAGGAGGAGGCGGGACAAAGGAGGAGGAGGAGGAGGCATCCACTGTGCTTGGGCGGCCGCGAAGGCGCCTTTGCGGGGGTGGGAAGAAGCCGGGAGCAGCTGCCGAGACTGTGGGGAGCCCGGCGGCATGGCGCAAGGTAACGGAGGGAGCAAGGGAGAGTCCGCGCCGGGCGCTTCGTGCGTCCGCCCTCGGTTCCTGGGCTCAAACTTCCTTTGGCACCTCATGGAGAGAGAGGGAGAGGAGCGGGCTGGGGCTTTGATGTGGGACGCGGTTTGGCGGAGCGAAGACGCGGCAAGGCTTGGCGACAGAGGAAGGGGGGCTGTTTTCATGGGGAGGTGGGAGGGGGTGTCTTTGCCTCTTCCCGGCAACAGATCCTCCAGGCTGGGGAAACTCCTCCTGCTGGGGAGCGACCCGCTTTGTGCTTTGCCCGCTATCCCATTATAATACAGTACCAGGGTGCATCCGTGCTTCGCAAGACGAAAAAATCCGCAAGACGAAGAAACTCGCAGAACGGATTAATTTCGTCTTGCGAGGCACCACTGTATGGCTTTTGATACACATGGAGTTCCCACATGGTGAGTTTCTAGGTGCCTGTCATCACTCCGCCTTTCGTGCCCCAGCAGAGGTGAGAGGCTGTCCACTCAGTATCCATTCTGCACTGCTTGCAGAGTTCTCTAGAATGTCACACTAACCCCCATGCACTGCAGAAGCACTTCCATGCAGGAGCTAGATTCCAGCGCTGGTCTCACCTCCATTGCGGCTTTGGTAGCAATCTCCACCAGAGTTTCTGAGGAATTCAGCCAGAAGATCCCAGCGGTTCTGCCAGGTTTGTGAGCCAAGAGCAAGGGCACTGCACCATAAATGCCCATTTTGCTGTGAACTTTGTATCCGAAGACATCCAGGTTATAAAGCCGGTAGACATCACCATCGCTGGAACAGACAGACAAGATGTTTGCACAGAGCACTTTGCTGATGCTGGAGGTAGACGCTACTTCTGTTTTTGTCCAATGCAAGAGACTGATGGCTATAGATTTAATACTTGCTAACGGCACCAGCAGAAGCAGCTGTCCACAGAAATGGTTTATTATGCTGTAACTGGAGTGCATTACACTGTACTTGATGGGGGATGGGGCTCCTCCAAGGCGCTGGGATGGAGAAGGTGATGCTGCTCTTCCCCGTGAGCACAAGCTACGCTGCTGGGGAACAACATTCCCAGAGGACACCCCTGAACATTTGCTTCCCAAGGTGACCTAGTAAAGGTAAAGGGGCCCCTGACCATTAGGTCCAGTCGTGACCGACTCTGGGGTTGTGGCACTCATCTCGCTTTATTGGCCGAGGGAGCCGGAGTTAAGCTTCCGGGTCATGTGGCCAGCATGACTAAGCCACTTCTGGCGAACCAGAGCAGCGCACGGAAACGCTGTTTACCTTCCCGCCGGAGTGGTACCTATTTATCTACTTGTACTTTGGCATGCTTTCAAAACTGTTAGGTTGGCAGGAGCAGGGACCGAGCAACGGGAGCTCACCCTGTCGCGGGGATTCGAACCGCCGACCCTCCGATCAGCAAGTCCTAGGCTCTGTGGTTTAACCCACAGCGCCACCCGCGTTCCTTAAGGTGACCTAGTAAGGGACCTTAAAAGGGAACAAGAGCACTTCCCCAAACTTTGATTCTGAACAAGCAAATAAGGGAGAGTAAAGCAAATCACTGCAGCCCCAGAGAAGAACAAGACAGCTGAGGTGCCACTAAATCATCAAATCCTATGAAGAGGGGAAGGCAAAAAGAGAGGGGTTTTTTTGGGGGGGGGCTTGCCAGAAAAGAAAGAGATGGGATAGCAGACAGACAGCAAAGCCATGCTGAAAACTCCACCCACTTTTGGCACTAAATCCCAAGGGACTTTTCTTGTGAATCAACTAGCCTTCAATACTAATAATAAAGAAATATACAGGATTGTACCATAGTCTTCAGCTCACTGTTACTTCAGAGGTGAATACTGTATTGTTTAAACTCTGCATGTTCTACAATGACAATTAGAACTGGGATTTGAATAAATACAGACTGTAATCTCGGTCGCTCTTTTTTATAGTTGTCTGAATGCAATTCTGGCTCCTGGTGAGATCACTGCTGCTCCAGTTTAAGGCTGTCAGCCCCTTTCTAAGCATGTTTGCTCAGAGGTGAGTTCAGCAAAATTCAATTCATAACAAATATGCTTAGGACTGCAACCTACTGATCTCTCCTGGTCTAGGTATCCCTAGACACCTCTGTACCTTTTATTAGCTTATTTGCATACTATAAACCTAGCAGAGCAAAAAAACACCACAGCAATCTTGAAAGGAACAATAGAGCAAGGTGTGAAAACAGGTGTGGGATGAGGCACCAAATAAAACTGTCCCAAGAACTGGTTTTTTCTTTTCTTTTCCTAGATGAGGTATTTGGCAAAAGATGTATTTGCTTAGGGTGGAACTATCGGGGAAGAAAAGAGCTCATCAAACAAAGCAAAGGTCAAGTTCAACTTGTCCCGCTTTCACTCTGCATTCTCAGGCATCTTTGCTGAGATATGAATGCCATGTGCAAGGATCTACTGATGAGGCTTTACAGGGGAGGAGGGCTCCTCCATTGACGTCCCTTTCCATTATTTACCTGCGCATTAGTACTCTTCCACTGCCACTGCCTGAGCTGATGCAGTAACACAGAAGTTTAGATAAGTTCTAACAACACCACTGGGGCAACCCAGTCAGATGGGCAGCATATAAATAATAAAATTGTTGTTGTTGTTGTTGTTACTTGGAAAGGTCAGTAACAAATTGCTAATACAGTCATACCTTGGTTCTTGAACAGAATGCGTTCTGGGAGTCTGTTTGACTCCCGGAACCATTTGAAAACAAAGGCACGGCTTCACATTGGCTGCAGGAGCGTCCTGCAGCCAATCGGAAGCCACACCGGATGTTCGGCTTCCGAAATTCCTTCAAAAACCGGAACACTCACTTCCGGGTTTTAATCATTCAAGAGGCAATTTGTTTGGGAGCCAAGGCATTTGAGACCCAAGGTACGACTGTACACAAAGCTGTTTCTTTAGCGGATGCAGCTACTGTGAGTAAAAGTAGCATTTTTACATTTATAGCCTACCCATTAGCCACATCCTCTTCTCTGTTTTTTGAAAAAACAAGAACCAAAACCAAACAAAAACTCCAGGATGTCTGAGAACAACCTGGGAAGGGGAAGCTGTGTGAAGAAAAATGGAACCGATGCTGCTGAGGACTAGGAAGCTGCCTGAGATGAGGGCCTGGGAGGCAAGAAAATTAGAAGAAGCATGGCATAAGAAAGCAGTGGGCACTGTAGCAGAGATTTGATTGGTGGAGGTGGCAGAGGGGGAAAAGGTGTCCTCAAACTCCATCTTGAGGAAAGCCTCATATAGGGCTTAAGGAGAAAAAAAGTGCTCCATGCTGTGAGTTGGAAGGTCTAGAGGCAGAGGCTGCTTCCAGATGGGTGTTTACTGTGAGGCAGGTGCTCCTCATGCAAGCCAATTTTACCTGGCATCTATGCAACACCAAAATGCCATTCTGCATGCCCCGTCCCACTGCCACTTGCTGCCAATGACCCACTTGCAACATCTGTATGACCCATTCACAGGATCAAGCCCCAAGCAGGAAGCACCCTGGACGGCTAAAGAAAAAGAACAGAGCAGGCAGTGCCAAGAGAATCAGAGGCCTGAAGATTGAAGGAGGCAGCAGAACTCTTAAGGGAAAGAGGAGGGAGAAAACTGAGAAAAGGAGAGAGTACATTTATTTCTTTATTCAATACATTAAAATACCACTTAATTACTCACATTTCTAAGCAGCATACATAAAACCAATGCACGGAAAACGGAAGAAGAATGGTTTAATTGTGCGCCTGAAGTTCAACAAGGAGGGTAATCTCAGTTTGGGAGAGAATTCCAGAGACTTGGGCAAAGCTGCCCTTTTGTCAGCGTTTTATGCATACATAGTTAAATTACCTGGTGTTTTTAAGGAGAAGTGTCTCTGCATGCTGAGGTATTCCATAGACATGTTCAAATCCATGTAAAGAAAAATCTAAGCCTATACTGCTGGGACCTGTAAGAAGAATCATAGAACTGTAGAATCAGAAGGGAAGCAAAGGGATGCAAATATCCCAACCCACTGTAATTCAGGAATCACAGCTCAATAATCGCTGACAAATGGCATAAGAAAGAGTATGAAGTCAGAAAACCACTCTGGAAACACATGCCACATAAAATTGTCAGGAACTGCCCTCTGCTGAGGTTCTTTGTCACCTACTCTATATATATATGCACACTTAGTGGCTTATATCCTGATGGTGCTAAAACTGGATTTACTCAAAAATCACAGAGGTATACAAGACCAATGCGTTTAGCACATATGTGCTCACCATTTCCAGCCCCTGCAGCTAAATGTACACAATCTGAACCACAGCGTATAACAAGCAGAGGAGATGTTAGCTATGGAAAAATGGCTACAGAACAAACAGTGCCAGGTTATTTTTGCAAGTGATCCAGTCGACATATGACACACGAATACATATATTACAGATATTACAAGCAAAATTGAAAGACACTATACTTACCATTAGCTTTGATGTCTGAAAATTTGCCAAATTTTTCTTCCCAGAGACCTAAGTCATCTTGATTTTCCTGCTTGGATAAAAATTATCCAAATCTAAGCTATAGGGCAATTGTATTCATGTCAGCTCTAACATCCATGGATTTCAGTGGGGCTTACTCCCACAAGAGAGTGTTTAGGGTTGCAGTTTTACTGACTCTGGTCAACTGCCAACTAAGGCCACAGTCCTAATTCCACCACCCTGGAAGAAAGCCTATTGAATTCATTAGCAATGCTAAACTAACTATTCCCAGTTAGAAGGACTGATTTGTCTTTTGGAGAATCCATAAGGCAAAACTCTACAAATAAAAGCTCAGTTTACCTTAGAGGAATTAGCTGATCCTTCTTTCTCTTCTTGCGATGTAGATTTCCTAATTAACGCCCCCCCCCCCCCAAAAAGAGTGATCAGTTTTTATATTTATATATAGACTTGCCTGCAAATATGTACTAGTAAGAGTTTTAGGACTGCATCCCAAGATAATTTAGCTCCAGTTGGATTGCGGAGACAGTGACATATCATACCTGCTTTGCGGGGCTGGCTGGAGGTGCTCAAAATACAGCAGGCCATTTGAGTTTGTACTCCATACAATCTCACCCTTGCAAACAAACTGTATCTGAAAAGGATTTGCAGTGATGTGAAGTTGCTGGTCTTCATTGTCACAAGCCAACACAAGTTTGTCTCCATCCTTCTGCAATACTGTTAGACTGGAAAATGGGAAAATAGCAGTCACAGATAAAACCTTTGAAAGCTTGTTCCCAAATGCAAACAGCTGCAAATTAAGAAACTGATAATTCTATTTGAACAAAAAACATCAACTTCTAATTTCATTCCCAGGGCATAAATGACTTTTTCACACTTAAATGCATTTCCGGCCATATAGATCTACACATTATATGCAAGGGTGAGTAGAGCAACAACCCACCCTTGGATTTTGAGGTAACTCAAGTTATGATGTCACTGAAAATATAGCACAATCTTATACATGTCTACTTAGAAATAAACCCCACGGATTACAGCCCAAATCACATACATGTGTCCTCAGATTCCATCTTATTTAGCAAATTCTGCTTCATCACTTACCTGAGGCAGACAGGTTCTTTAACGAGAACATCAGGGACTTCATATCTTGGTTTGAATGGCTCTTTCTCATTAATTTTAAGCCTGAAAATATTACCCTCTATTTCAGAAATTTCTACTAAAAGAGGTTCCTGGGGATAAGTAGAAAAAGAGTAACAATTAGAATATTCATGCGGCTGATGAATCACATTGATTCATTTATCTACAGTTACCATAATAGGGGGGAAAGCCATGGTGGAAAGAGTTTCTCCTGGTATGTTTTGGGTCACTAGAAATAAAAGCATTTAATCCCCTCTTGCATGCATCTGTTTGCACAGCAGCAAAGATAAAGCATATAAAAATGGAAGTCCAAACCAACCACAGACTTTTGAAGAATATTTTAATGTTTACATTGTTTTTAATTCATTCTATATTTGCTTTAGTATCTTATTTGTGGGTTGTTTTGAGTATGTGATGGCAAAGCAGGGTAGAAAATAGTTATTAATAATTCTCACACTTTAGCATTATTGCTTTTGAGTAAGAAATAGATGACTGATCTGAGATAACTGATTAATTGTATACTTGTCAAGAAGCTGGGAGATCATGTGCATCACTGATGTTGCTTAATCGTAGTTACCAGTAGATTAAGCCAGAGTTTGCAAACTAATGTCTAACCATAGTTAGACTGCTTCAAAGCTATCCACAGGTAGCATTTACCCTGTTGAAGGTAGTACTGTAATATGGTTAGTTCCAAAAAGTATGGAGAGAGGAGCATTAATGTGCCAGAGAGAGAAGGAGCTGTTAGACCCACAGGATGATCCCAATCCCATAACCATGTTTAGGAAGGTTGCATCTGTACCAGGTCCTGTTCTTTAAAATAATAATTATAATAATGTTAAGAGTATTTGGAAAAACACAATCTTGATGCCTTACCTCAACTGACATTTTTTTACAGCACCACCACTGTGGGTTAATGTGCTGAAAAGGAAATGTTAATATAGGGGATGCATCAAAATTGCTATCGGTGGAATCCAGTTGGTGACGTTCCAATACAGTGGAAGCATCTGCTATTGGAATAGGAGGGAAAACATTTACTGTCCCCACTGCAGCTAAGCTCCAATGAGTTGCGGGACTCACCAAGTCAGGGTGGTGAGTGCCATGGGAGACTGCAGAAGAGAAGGGAATCTTCAAAAATGGCCCCACCTCCTTTTCGGTAAGCAGAATTTAAAGTAGTGATAAAGAGTGCAAGCATTTCTGTTTGCCTGATGGAACCATCCCTCCTCTCTTCCTCCCATGTGTTATTCTGGGGCTTCTTCTGCCCCACCAGCTGATCTGGGTGGTACATGGGAGGAGGGGAAGGGGAGAGGCCCCACTGAGATAATGGGACTTGTGCAGGCTCCCACTGGCACAACTATTTAGTTGAATCCAGCCCAAGGGTACCAACTGGGCCCCACCCTGTGTCTTTTATTTCAATTATTTGAGGTTTATAGGGGTTTTTTAATCAATGTTTTAACATTTTTAACTATTTTTTTATCAATTTCAGTAACGAACTTTGGAAAGCTAGGAGACAAATTGGTTTAACAAATAAACGAACCCACTTCTTAAGAGGATCTCAGAGTAGCTGTGGAAGTAAAGCTTTAACTTCTCACTTGCACAAGAGATCGGTAGTTCCCTGGGCATGCAAGAATCTCAAAACTGAGTAAATATTACCTGAGATATCATCAGTAAATATCTGAGTAAACATTATCTAAGAAAATGAATATTATCTGGGTAAATATTATCAGTACAATATTACATGAGCAATAATCTATTGTAAAGTGTTCATTTTTTTCCTTTATCAGTGACATTCAGACTGTATGCCAACCTTGCATTCTTCACTGACTATTTGGAATTTGACACAGCTGTGGGATAATTCCACTGTATCCAGCAATGCTCGGTATAAGGACTTCCCAGGACATAAACATTTCTGACGCCTAAAGGATAAAGAAGAGAGCACAATCAAATTACTTATTTAATGATCCAGGGTGCAATTCTGCTCACTATTAGGCTACTTAAACCGCATTGATTCCAAAACGGCTTAAACAGTATTGCTGCCCAGATTTACATGTTTTCAGAGCTTCATGAACTAGTAACAGTGGGAATCAACGATCTACTTAGGGTTTTCCATATATATGTTAATATATATCATCCTAACCTGAAAACTGAAAATGCTATTCAATTCTCTGGTACAGCTTTCCGCAGCAAAGCACATCTCACTATTTACAAAACCAACTCTATTCGTGATTTTAAAAAATACTTAGCGGTGTGACCATTGCATGCAGTATTTTCTCCATTATGATATGCTGGAAATCTTTTAAGAAGTTTTGATGGCAACAAACAGTACTGTTTTACTGGTGCAATGTCCTGGAACTCTGGAAAGAATATAATGTTATGCACTTCTGGTACAGTGGTACCTCGGGTTACAGACGCTTCAGGTTACAGACTCCACCAATCCAGAAATAGTACCTCGGGTTAAGAACTCTGCTTCAGGATGAGAACAGAAATTGTGCGGTGGCAGCGGGAGGCCCCATTAGCTAAAGTGGTACCTCAGGTTAAGAACAGTTTCAGGTTAAGAACGGACCTCCAGAACAAATTAAGTTCTTAACCTGAGGTACCACTGTAGTTCTGTTAGCGCAAGCATTTCTGCTTCCCAGATGATGAAATAATCCCATTTCTTCACCCCTGTACTAGGGGTTTTCCCAACCCTTCAGAGCAGATTTGGGGGTAGTGCGAGGGAGTATGGGGCAGGGAGAATGGGAGGGAAGGTGATATTAGGCTAGCTGGAGCCCTTCCCTGGCTTTTCCTAGAGCACCAGGATAACTGAATCTAGCCCTCTGTTTTCATAGTGCTATGGTTTGCAATGTGGTGTTAGCACAGTAGTCATGTGCCTTTAAGAGTGATAAACACTCACATTCCTTACCTGTAGAAGGCAATTTGATTGCATGTCTTAAAATTGCTTTTGCTCACAGCCTCCTCTTCGACACTAGAAAAAAAAAATGCAGTATAATTTAAGGTGATACTGAGAAAATGAATAAGCATCCCTCTCATGGTGACCATGTTAGCATAAACTCAGGGTGCATGTTAGCATAAACTCAGATGGTTGCTGTTTTCTGGGTGGAATTCAATTCCATACCAGCAACTTCAGGTTGTGCAATTAAAGTGAAGTTGGCACTGCAGTGCAACAACAAGAACAAAAAAAAGACTTTTTGTGCTTAGGAAAGTGCTGGGAAACGCCATTGGAAAGTCTGGGGTAGCAATGGCTTGATCTAACCTTTGCACAAAATATCCAAATGAATGCATACTGAACAACTGACAATGTATAATCTTCCTGCAAACTTTGTGTGGACAAATCAGGATAAATCATAATAAACAGGTCATCTAGAAGCGACCTCAGATTGTCCGTTATAAAGGGTGTGCTGTGCAAAAGTAGCCTCTAGTCACTGTTTTCTAGTTACTATGTTATATAAATGGAGCCTGCTAGCAATATTTTGGTATAAGAAACTGTTGCTTTTCTTTTCTGTGACACTGGAATCACTTGTTATCAGGCAGTTATTAAATATGAGCTTCTAGCTGTTTCTTTCACTTATTCTTAATTTTTCATTTACTTGTGTAAATACTCTCTTACAATTATAACCAGTGCTTTTTTTTCTAAAGAAATGTTTAGGGGTACTCTCATTTTTCTACTCATATTGAAATACTGCCTCTCAATGAGGCCCAACTTAAATTCACAAAATGTTTAGGGGTACGTGTACCCTCAGAAAAAAAGCACTGATTACAGTATAACACTTCATTATCTATCACTGCATGTTACCACTCACATGTTACCAGCTGTATCTACGTCAGAAAACAAGTTAACTTAAAGGTGGGTTAAGAGCAAATTTTTCTCTTTAGAAGCATGCACTATGATTTCAACTTAGGTTTGCTAAACAACTACTACAGAATCATATGGTATTTTACCTTACTTCTTCCTGGCTACTTGATGCCATGATATCCCACTCCCGGAGCTATTTTTGAATAATCACTACCGTCGCTGCCGGCTAGAAGCGGAGAAAAGCCCCCAACCAATGGAGAGTTTTGGTTTCACTCTCCCGCAGCATGCTGGGAAATGGAGTTTTTGTTTCTCGTAGTCCGGCCCACCGGATATCTTCGCGAAGTGGTATGGCAGGAGGATGCAAGAGGTTTGATATTTGCAGTGTCTAGACAGCTAAAATTGGCTCCCTGTCTTCTAATCAATACACTCAGCTCTTCGTGTTGCATATTAATATCTTTGTCAGTAGATACACAACCTCTTGCTGCATTTGAAGCAAGATTCTTAGAGAGTACACGTGGGGTTTTTGGATGAGATTCTTTGCATGCTTATTGGACTGACTGTGATACACTTCCAATAAAAATGGATAGGATCGCACTGTTGTGATTTAGTAGGCTTGTTTAGACATATTATTTCAGAATTTAATATAGCTAATGATCATATGCCCTATATTTCATTTCACCTGCTTCTTCAGGAAAGGCAAGACACAAACATGATGTACAAAAGCAGGTGAGAGAAAGTCACTCATCTAAGCAGACACCCCCCCCATTAATCACCTGTACCCGTAAAGAGTTTATCATGAACTCTGACTCAAATGAAATTTTGCAAGGTGTCAGGTGCGAGTGGAATTAATAACTCAGGTTAATAATCATATTGTTGCGAGGCAACCCAATCTCCAAGCAGTGTGATACCCCCAGGGTCCGTGCTTCCTTTGGAGTAAGGTATAGGCAGCAGAGACTGTGGTGTCTTTCTGCTAGATGGTTTATTTACCCCTCCTCACCCTCCCACTATGTATAAGGGTCTGGTGACTTCTCTTTCAGTGTATCTAAAGAAGTGTGCATGCACACGAAGCTCATACCAATCATTAACTTAGTTGGTCTCTAAGGTGCTACTGGAAGGATTTTTAAAATTTTATTTACAGGTGTATATGTATATATATATATCTCAGCCTGAACCAACAATGGAGGAGTTTGTCACATTAACATCCCAAGAAGACCATGCTTCCCACATAGCCCGCAGCCTATTCAAACAGAAATCAAACATTGCTCGGACTCTCTGCCTTCCCAGCTTGCTCTTTTTTCAGCTTCTACCTCACCTCACGTCCGAAGCATGACCGCGGCCATGACGTCACGCCTGTGACGTCCCCGTCCCCCGGTGACGACGAGAGGGCCGTGACGTGCGGAGGCGCCGCGCCCCGCCCACCGCGATGCGCCGCCCGAGCCAATCCGGCGCGGCCCCATCACCCTCCCCGGCCGCTGAGCCTGGCGGGCCTGGGGGCGGAAGGGGCGGGGCGAGAGTGCCGGAGCGGGTTCTGCTCGTGACACTTCGCTGCGGAGGGGATGGCGGCGGGAGTGGCGTCGCTCTGCGGGATGCTGCAGCCTCTGTGGCGGCGCCGCCGCCGCTCAGGGCCGCTGCTGCTGCTTCTCCAGCTGCTGCTCGTGTGGCCGCCGGGCCCCGCTGCGGCCGGCCAGCTCTCCAAGTGGCGGCTGCCGGTGCCCATGGTGAGCCAGCAGGGCCCCTCTCGCCGCCTCCGTCCCGTCCGGCGGGCTGCACGGACGGGTCCCCGGGAGAAAGAGGGCTGGCGGGGTGGTGGGGACCCGCCGCCTTGGGCGGTTCTGGCGGCTCAGTTTAGGACCCCGGCGAGCGAGTCTCCTGACCCGCGTCGCCAAGCTGCACGTGTGAGCAGCGCAACCCGGAGCTTCCCTCCGTTCCTGCGCGCTGCCTTGTCGCTGCTCCAGGTGCATCGAGGGCCGGGGGCCTTGCCGGCTTCTCGTCGCTGCTGCAAACATACTGCCAGCGCAGCGTGACTGCGGGGAGTGCCGATTTTACGCACCCGGGCAAGGGTTTGCTCTACTTCCTCGTTTTGAACACCACGGTTAATTCGATCTCAGACCCTGGCCTCCTAACCTGTGGTCCGTGAAGTAATACCCAGGAAGAGTAGCTCCCTGAGCAGGTGCAGAGTGCATTTTCCTCGTCACCTCATTATTCACTCCCCTCCCCCCCCGCACTGGGAGATAAAGAGATAATTGTTCCTGTGGTGCTGAAACGTTGCCAGGCCGAGATCTCAGCCCCAGACCAGGGTTTTTCAACAAAAATTGCACATTAATCACAAAGAATCGCCTGATGCTAGCTGCTAGTAAGGAATGGTTTAATACGGATAATTGGATCTGTCAAGAGTGGTGAACATGCATGGGTGCGCTGTTTGTACAAAAGTGAGAGACGGTACAGGTGTTGTTTTTCAGAGATAATCTGTGCAAATAATTGCTCATGTGAGCAGGCAATGTAGGAGGAACTATTCATGGAGAATCACAGTAGTTGTGTCTTGTACACAGTAGTAGCTGCTGTAATCTTATGTGTGTAGCTGCTCCAGGGTTACATTGCTCACAAAAGAGGATCACTATTCATTTGTGATGGAGGTAGTAACAGAATCCAGGACCTCATCTTTTGCAGCCAGAGTCCATGGCTGGAATATCATGAGGGGTTTTTTTGTAGTGATAATATACTCTTTGAAGGATTCCCATCAATTTTATACTTATTTAATTTCCTCCACACCCACCAGAGAACTTTGGTATGTGTGCAACACTCCTGTGAGGTAGGCTAGCTTGACACAATGGGTGTTACTAGAATACTGAGTGAGCTTTGTGGTTGGGTTGGGATTTGAACATGGGTCTTCCATTTCACCACATTGGCACCATGTACCATACATGTGTAGCCATTTTTTCCTTTATAGGCAGTCTTTAGTATCTGATGTACATTGTATGCATCACAGCCTTGAGCTGCTCAGATACTGAAAGCGTCTCTTTTAAATGACGCTGCCGAGTTGCCAAATGCAATGTTTACTAACTGATCCACATTTAAGGCAGCACACATGCAAATATGTGAAAACCCACTGACATGAGAGTGTTGTCACAAGTTAAATGAACTGTGTCACCCTGTTGTCAAAACCAAACCCTTTATCCTGCAAAGTAGAGTGACTTATGCTAACACCAGATAATTTATAATGATCTGACAAACACTGAAAAGAATTGCAACTCTCCTGTTTCCTGTGATTTTTGCTTCTGGTTTATATGTGTGGCCAAATTATCTTCACTGCTTGGCTGAACGTTAAAAGATGAAGGATTGGAATAGACCCACTGATTTCAAGACTAAGTCTGACTCAAATCTCAATGCTTTTATCTCCTGGTTATGAATACTCTGCGGTAACTTAGCACTGGATAAATTGTTGACTATAGCTCTGAAGAGATCAAAGGTATATGAATAATATGTAATTAATTAACATGTCTGTGCCACTCTTCATCAGAATTGAGTGCAGGTAGTTTGCAAAATTTTTTTTTTAATACAGTGGAATCCTACACATGTTTTCCTACAAGTTAATGCCACTGTTCAGTTGGACATATTCCCAAGTAAGTGGGTACATGGCTATTAGCATTTATGTGGTGTTTTTCCTCAGTGCTAAAAGCACTTGTCATACATCATCTTAATGATGGAGCTGTACAGTTTTCTCCACATGACTAGTAGAGACTGAGGAGGAGAGACTGGTGCTGGCCGGGGCTGATGGGAATAGCAGTCTTAAATATCTGGAGAGCACCTGGTTGGCAAAGGCTGGCTTAAAGTATCAACTGATTTTGTGGATGAGTAAGATTTGACATTAACACCTGATGCCTGCATGTTTCACCATCACCACCAACAAGAATCGATCAAAACGGATCACCTTCCTTACTTAGGAGTTTTTAGCACATGCATGTTCTTTGCTTGACAGCATCAAGTAATGACATGCTTGTGTAAATGAGCCTTCATAGATAAAATACCAGCATATCCTGATGGTGACGCATGTAAATATGAAAAATAAAGTAGTGTCACTTTAAATAACGGGGCCAGATTCAACTAACCTTTAGTGCTAGTGGAAGCAAGTGCAAGGACCCCTGCTAATGAAGCTGGGCTTCGCTCCTCCCCTCCCTGCATACCCCTTGCATTTCCTCCAAATCCGCTGAGTAGGGTTGGGAGAATTCCCGGAATAGTGCACCGTTTGGGAGGAGATGGTTCCATCTGGCAAGTATTAGCGCACTGTTGAATTCTACCCTATAATTCTTCGTGGAATTCATTTAGATGTGACCCATCAAGCACTGAGTAAACAAGTGGTATACAGTAATGTATGTACCAACTTGTGATGCCTCATCTGTCTATGTTTACTCAGATACATAAAAAGGTAAAGGGACCCCTGACCATTAGGTCCAGTTGTGACTGACTCTAGGGTTGTGGCGCTCATCTCGCTTTATTGGCTGAGGGAGCTGGCGTACAGCTTCCGGGTCATGTGGCCAGCATGACTAAGCCGCTTCTGGCGAACCAGAGCAGCACACCGAAATGCCATTTATCTTCCCGCCGGAGTGGTACCTATTTATCTACTTGCACTTTGACGTGCTTTTGAACTGCTAGGTTGGCAGGAGCAGGGACCGAGCAACGGGAGCTCACCCCGTCGCGGGGATTTGAACCGCCAACCTTCTGATCGGCAAGTCCTAGGCTCTGTGGTTTAACCCACGGCGCCACCTGCATCCACTCAGAAACATAGTAATTAATAAATAAGTAATTTCTCATTTCAGTAGGAATTATTCCCTGACAAATGGGCAGGTGGCTGCAACTTTAGCACTTCCTATACCTACCATTAATACAGCAACATGTAAGAGTACAAACGTAATGTGTATACAGGAGTACTTGAGATCAGAGGTGGGAACTCATGGCTCTCCAGTTGGCCTCCATCTCCCATCAGCCTCAACCAGAACGACCAATGGCCAGAGATGATGGGAGCTGTAGTTGGGCACCATCTGGAAAGCTACAGGTTCCCTTTTCCTGCTTTAGAACATGCTTTTACAGATACATAGGAGTTTGACATTTTTGGGGTAATATAATATATTCTTATTTACCTAGTATTATTGCCAAGTAAACTATATACTAACTAAAGTTTTCTCATATATATATGATGGCCTTCCATTCGAGCTTCTTCTGTTTGCTTCCTTTTTTCCTCTATAGGAGAAGAATTTATTTCACTTTGGAAAGATTCTCTTCAGCAACACTACCATTTTCCTAAAATGTAAGTGCATTCATACTACAGCTTATTGTATAATATGGCAGGTATTTTGTAATAGATGAACAAGGCCCTGTTGGCCTTGTTTTTAAGACATCTGAAGGCAACCCTGTATCGGGAAAATTTTAATGTCTAATGTTTTACCATTTTTAAAGGGCTGTAAGCCACCCAGAGTGGCTGGGAAACACAGCCAGATGGGCAGGGTATAATTATAATTATTATGATTATCTTTATGAATTTTTATCATCATACAAATTTCATAAATATTACAAAATCACATACAAATTAATACAATCACCAGAGTAATTCACCTACACAGTCACACTACACAAGAATAATTTAAACGCACAACCTACATTCACAGTCACTCGGCATTCACTCTCCTTATACCCACCAAATCACTCTACTCAATTCTCCCTTTAATGAAACATTCAAACATTCAGCTAAGCAGTAATCATGTACCAAAAAATAAGTCTGCTAAAAACAAAATTGGCATGTAGAGCTTCCAAGCATTGCCCAAAATTTGTTTGCAAGGCTAATCAGTGTAATGTCCATGGACCATATAAAAAGGTAAAGGGACTGCTGACCATTAGGTCCAGTCGTGACCAACTCTGGGGTTGCGGCGCTCATCTCGCTTTATTGGCTGAGGGAGCCGGCGTACAGATTCCGGGTCATGTGGCCAGCATGACTAAGCCGCTTCTGGCGAACCAGAGCAGCGCACGGAAACACCATTTACCTTCCCGCTGGAGCGGTACCTATTTATCTACTTGCAATTTGACGTGCTTTCAAACTGCTAGGTGGGCAGGAGCAGGGATCGAGCAACGGGAGCTCACCCCGTCGACGGGATTTGAACCACCGACCTTCTGATCGGCAAGTCCTAAGATCTGTGGTTTAACCCACAGCGCCACCTGTGTCCCTTGGACCATATACATATAACCTAACAATGCCCCCCCCCCAGGTGATTGATTTGTTAAGTTGGCTACATTGGTTGTGCATTCTGGAGGTTAAGCTTTGTTCAGCATTTTACTGCCTGTCCCTGTTATATAGATTTTATTTCTATTTCAAAAGGGCAGCATGCATAAAAATGTTATATGTTTGTTATAACTATTATAATTTATATACCGCCCTATACCCACAAGTCTCAGGGCGGTTCACAGGATAAAATTACAATATAAAAGCACAGAATACATAATCCAAATAAAAACAGAAACAATTGAATACCCCTCCCCCAAAAAGAAATCCTCACATTTTAAAAGGGCATTGGATGACAATCAAGCAAAGGCCTAGTTAAAGATGTATAGTGTGTGATAGATTTTCTGGTCAGGCCACTTTTAAAAACACATAAAACACGTAAAAGGCACGATATAAAATGGCACAGCAGTGAACTGTAAAGCTCATTTGTTAGCCCTTTTCTTCTCTTGATACAAAGGGAGTCATTTGTTAGTGTGAGCTTGTGGCATTTCATGTTTTGTCCTGAAGGTTGCGTTCTTGGCATTAACTACCCTGTTTATCAGAGTTAACCATATGGCTAGATGTTTGGGATACAGCTCTCTCAATCTTCCTGCCTCACTGCAATGTAATAAGCTGAGGTTCCAAATTATGACAGGCTGCTGTGTCAGCAAAGCACTCCTTTGTATGGAAAGGATCTTGCCATGCTGGATTACTTGCGGTTAGTGCAAGTGCTGTGCTAGTCTATCATAGATGGGGATGATATGGTATGTTGAGTCCAATATTTGGATTAAAAAGCATTATTGTTATAATTGTTTCCAGATTGCCTAAACAGATAAGATGTTATTCATAAAGCAAAAAGAAGACATGGGTTGTTAAGGGAAGCCCTCATAGTGGGGTTAATGAGATGCTATCAAGAACCTTTTAGTAATACAAAGAGAATATGATGCTTCCTGTGTTTCTTAAGTACCGTACTTCTCTTATTTCTTTAGTTGAAGGCGAGGAAAGTGCATGCGATCCGTCTCAAGGCTACAATGTCAGCTGGTACTTGAGGTATTGTGACTGCTACAACGAGGTCTTCAATTTTGGGGTAAGGAATTGGCATTAGGAACGACTGAAGTCATGCAATCTGTTGCTTAAATTATGCAATCTGCAAATTATGCAGTAGCAAATAACCCCAGCTGCTGTGATAGTTGATCGTAGTTCGTTAGCCACTGTTGCCCGACTTAGAGCTGTGCTAACTTAATTGATTTATGTTCTACCACATCCTTACAGGTTCAGGATACGCTATTTGGCCTCTGTCTCCAACAGGTTCACAAACTAAATGTGAGGTTGGCTGTCTTGAGGGAACAAAAAGGGGCAAACTAAAAGTAATATCCAGGCCCACGAGCAGAGTTCTAGGGTACATGGCTAGGTCATTGCAAAGTCATTGGCCCAACACTTTGCATGTCCCTCCCACTTGGCTTTTAAAAAACAGGGGAGGCAGCACATCATTCATGTGGTTCTTGTTCCATGTGAGAAGGCTGAGCTTGCAAGTGTGCACTCCTACTGGGGGCTGGGAGAGTCTGGCACAGACGACAGTGTGACCTTAGTACAGTGGCACCTCGGGTTAAGAACTTAATTCGTTCTGGAGGTCCGTTCTTAACCTGAAACTGTTCTTAACCTGAGGCACCACTTTAGCTAATGGGGCCTCTCACTGCCACCGTGCTGCTGGAGCACAATTTCTGTTCTCATCCTGAAGCAAAGTTCTTAAACCAAGGTACTGTTTCTGGGTTAGCGGAGTCTGTAACCTGGAGCATCTGTAACCCGAGGTACCACTGTAATGGGACCCAAATTCAACCCTCCGCTTCTCCCTCCACCTCGAATTTGGCCAGCCCTGCTGATTGGCCAGCCTTCACTTCACCTGCCCTAGGAACTTCTCTTAGGAGGCGGGACTGACTCAACCAACTCCTCCTCCCTTGCTGGGACATCTGACACCAACCACAAAGCGGAACCCTCTCTCATGTTGCTGCTTGATTTCTCCCCAATAATGCCAAGGTTGCAAGTTCGAGCCCCGTATAGGACAGCTGCATATTCCTGCATTGCAGAGGGTTTGACGAGACGATCCTCAGGGTCCCTTCCAACATTATGATTCTGTTATTCTATTTTCCCTGCCCTGTATTTCATGGGAGGAGTTTGCTACTTAAAGGGGGAACCTTCCTGGAAATTGTAGATATAAAATCAGTGCCCTTTAATGGTGTCATGAAAGGAGCAAACGAAGCTGCCTTGATAGAAGACATTTTGACCGTCCAACCCAGTATTATCTCCACTGTCTGTAACTCCTTAGGGTCGCAGGCCACAATGTCATTCCTTCAAAGTGTTGTAACAGCCCACAGGCATAATTTCAGTATTTCTGTTTTAATATTTTGCCTAGCACTCAACTGTATTTTTAAATTGCATTTTTATATGTATTGACCTTTCCCTTATGATTTTATGATTGTAATATGTGTGGCCCGCTTTGAGATTTTGTTTTTTAAAAGTTATTTTAAAAATGAAAAATCAACCTGTCTTTCGCATCACCTGTTACCGGATCCATTTAATGGGGTGCCTGGCATTGATGTTTTAGGTGAGCTGCAGGGTTGGATATCTTTTCAGTTTCTTAGCTGCTTGTTGAGTTAACTCCTTGTTTTCACGGACCCTTCAGTTAGATAGAGTCATGCCATGTTGTCTTGACAGGATGAGCAGGCAGAAGTTTACGTTGGAAGTACTGTAGAAAACCGGCCCGGCTGGCCAGGATACTACGCCATGTCTTCGCGCTACTTCCCCAACTGTTCTGAACTCTTCAGACCGCAGGTAGGGTGGAAGGAGGCAGGGTGGGGGGAAATTGTTGGAGCTAAGGTTTTCTGGTGGCTTGAAGGTACACATATATCCATATTACGGGCCCTGAAAGAGCTTGTGGCATCGTGCTGCCTTTGCAAAAGGCCATGTGAATTACTAATGGACAGAAACTCCCCGAAAGATGGTGTTACAAGGAGACTGGGTTCTGAGTGAAGTGTGATGTTTCCATTTATAGGTCCTATTTGGCCTGTACGATGGTTTGGGTGCATTTTATTTGCATTTTAATTATTTTTCTATTCTCTTTTTTATGTAAACTGCACTTGGAGCTTTTATTGAAGGGTGATATAAAAAAATGGCTATAACTAAGTAGGTAGAATGTTGCTGCATTGTTGTAATATGACACAATATGGAGTTTTTTGGGTTAAGTAATTATATAGATATCAATATACAGAATATTTCCCCTTTTTCTTTTTTGAATTATATTATAAAATGTTAATATGTATTACATATTTAATTAAAAATGCTTCTTTTATTACTGTTTTATTAGAGGGCATACATTGGGACAATATACATTTTTTAAATCTAAAACTTCTGCGTCCTTGAACTCAGTCCCCACATAGTTCTGTGTCATTGTAACACTATGTAAAGAGTAATTTTGTTTATCTGAAATTCTATCCATTTTTTAATATCTTCTGGAACACACACAAAAGTATGTAACGCTTTGCCTGCATGGGGGTTGTTGTTTTTTTTGGGGGGGGTGTCTTTCTGTATATGTGTGTATATACATGCACATAAAGAGTTTTTAATTTTTTTTACTAGATTTTCTACAAAGAATTTGTTCACCCAGAACCCCTCTCAGGTGGAAAACAAGAGGATGGAGCAAACTATACCATTGTATCAGAGAATTCTGTAAGTATGAGAGAGGTGATATATAATACAGGAGAGGATCACTTTTGTGTTGGATCGTTCTTGGTCCCTCTGCCTGGCTACTGTTGGCTTTGTGTGCTGCTGATAATGTCTGTGCTTGGCTTTCCCCCATTAAAACCACTAGGATTTGAAAATGCCTAATGCTGATTTCATAGTGAACATGATAGATTTGTACAAACTGTATGCTGATTTGTGGCTTAGATTAGATTGCACTCCTTTTCTTTTTCTTTTTTCTCCCAGGCAATGAATGCTGTGATGAGAACCTGGCAAGATGGGCCTTATATCTTTATTGTGCAGATTGGAATTGTATCCTCAAAGGATGCCAATGTGAAAACTAAAAGAGCGACAAGTGATGAATTGCCAAAAGTTACAGCTTCCTCTGAGCCACAGGGAACACATTTTCACAGTGAGCCATGCGCAGTAGTTCATTTATGTTTGAAGTTTGTTCTAAATGCTTAGACACCACTCGCTGTTTGATCTCCAGGATTGTATCTGCGGCAAATTTTCAAAGTGAGCCTTGAGCTTGCTGCAGGTGTAGCTGTGGATGCCAAGTGTTGTTGGACTGGATTCCAGAAGGGAAGGAGGCAAGAGTTCATTGTTATTGTATACCAAGCCTTGGGCATTCAAGTGTAGTAATGGCTGCAGACACTTCAATTCTTGGAGTCTATTTGATACTCTCTCCCCCCCCCCCCCAGTTGGCACTCCCTTTTCCTTAAGAGCAAGAGAGAGAAAATGGTAGCCCCATATTTAGCTAGCTAGCTAGATAGATACAATGCTTTTTCCCCCTTAAAAATGTTTAGAGGTACTCTCATTTCCCTACTCATATTGAAATACTGCCCCGCAATGAGGCCAAACTTTGATACACAACATGTTTAGGGGTATGCGTCCCTCTGTACCCCCCCCCCTAAAAAAAGAAATGGATAGATGTTTAAAATCCCAGGTATTTCTGGAATGTTGCCAGTACATGGGGACTTCTTCATAAATTTTAGTAGAGAAAAAGGAGAGGCTCAGACCACTCCTTGTTCTGCCATTAAAGGATGTGTATGCAGGCAGTAATCTGATTGTGCTTCTTCCTGTATTTGAATGAACAATCTGTTAAAGAAGCAGTTTGCCAGCTCTTGTACTACTAGCTTATGTGACCATTACAAGAGTAGAGGCTGTTACTTTCTTTCTCAGTGTACCATGATCCAAAACAAAACAAAACAAAAAAAACTTCCATAATTGCACTGTGGAGAACAAAAGCAAGAAGAATTCTGGAATATCCTTACATGAATTCACTGAATAGAATCTTTGTGGTCACTGGTTATTACTGCTACTATTAGTAAATTGTTGTGAGTTGCTGCTTTATGTTTTTAGTGGTTGTGTTGTTTTATGGATTTCATATATTGCTTTTATTTTGTTTGATTTTGCTGTAAACCACCCTGTGGTCTCCTAAATAAATAAATCTAATATATATATATATTGTAGAGCTGGAAAAGATGCAGAAAAAGTCAAGCAAAATAACCTGGCGGCTAAAATAACTGCCCGAAAGGTTACAATGCTTAGGGCTTTTTAGTTTGGGGGGGGGGGGGAGGTGAATAGGAAGGGACATTGTGCATTATAGGGAAAGCATGGAAATATATTTTTTTCTTCCTCATAATATTAGAACCCAGGGCATCCACTGAACAGTGAGAGATGAAGGGCAGGCAAAAAGAAGTACTCCCCCCCAAAAAAATAAATAGTTGAACTTTGAAATTCACTGCCACAGCATGTGATGATAGTTATTAACTTATATAGCTTTAAAATGGCAATTAGACGAATTCATGGAGGATAAAGCTATCAATGACTGCTAATAAGTTACGATGGCTATATTCTGCCTCCCAGGATTAGATGCAGAAAGCCTCTGCGTATCTTCGGGTGGGGAACCAAAGTGTGAGCCTTTCCCTCCTCCTTGTGGGATTTCCAGAGGGATTTGGTTTGCTGCTGTGCAAAACAGGATGTGGGACTATATTGGCTCTTGGTCTGATCCAGCAGGCTCTTCTCATGGTCTTATGTATTCCTGATTCCCTACTTGTGCTTGTTTTTTGGCAGTGATTGTGGAAGTGAAGGGTCCGTATGAATACCTCTCCCTAGCAGATTATCCTCTCATGATCGTAAGTTAATGCCCGTGGTTTGTTTCAAGCACAAATCAGTTTTCACAAGTCTGGATGACGAGTGACCATTCTCAAGAAACTGGGGTGGGGGGTGTAGCTCTGGGGCTTAAGCCTGGCATCAGATGTCACTGTTACTGAACATTTTTTGAGTGTTGTCGGCACTGGACACTGTGCAGAACACAGAAGCGAAAGGGTCCCTACTTTAATAGCTTAGAGGCTGTTTCAGATACACAGGAAAGTGGTAAGAGGTCAGAGACTGACAGTGAGTGATGGGGATAGCATAGTAGAGGAACAGGTAAGTGTGGGTTAGGATGGGTCAGTAGTAAAATGACTATACAGCTATGGTTGAGAAAACAGACACAGCTTGAGAAATGGAAAGTGAGTGGTATTCAACTAAATTTTACTCAGAGTAGACCCATTGAAATTAAGGGACTTCACTCAGGTTCATTGATTTTTAAGGTTCTGCTCTGAGTAAATGTTAGTTGAATACCACCCAGTGTTGTTCATCCAGGCGCCCATGATGGATAGTTCTTTGCAATAGTTCTTGCATGTAGTCTTTAATCGTCAATGTCCAATTCACCTTTCAAGTCAGTCCTTCCCAGGACACACTTGGACCTTTTAAAATGACATGGCAGTATGCAATATCTTTTAAGACCCTTTCTCTGAAAGCAATCATGTAAGCATTTTCTTGCAATGTAGAAGCAGGTATTGTCAGTATAGCAATTAATGCAGAAATTGAATTTCTCAGGTACAATTTTTTTGCCTCTCACATGGTAAAATCGCTGTTGCTTGTTTTGTATTCATTTCTCTTCAGTGTGTTGATGCCTTTTCTATTAATGCCAGGGTGCTTTAATGTTGCCCTCTTTAGACAACTCTGCTACCATGCAAGAGAACCATTGATCCTTCTTTTTGTGTAAATAAAGTGGTATTGATCTTCTTTTTCTGGGGAAGGTGAAATCCTTTTGCTTCTGTCGGAGATGAGATGTTTCCTTGTAAAACCAGGAAAGTGCCTCAAAAGGATCTCATTAGGTCATGGAAACAAAAGTTTATAGATACAGTCAAACCTCGGTTTTCAAATATCTCAGCTGCTGAACATTTTGAAAGCTGAACGCCAAAAAACCCTGGAAGGGAATGCTTCCGTTTTCGCGCATTTCTCAGTTTTCCCCGTTGAACTTGCTGACAGCCCTTTGATTCTCAGTTTTCAACGTTTCGGAAGTCAAACGGACTTCTGGAATGGATTATGTTCCAAAACCGAGGTTCCACTGTACAAACCTAGGAGACAGAGTCAAGCTTAGCTAAATTCAGTGAAATCTTTATTAGGGCCCGGTGTTAGAATGTGGCATACAGGGAGAAGGGAGAGAGAAGATTAGCATTTGTAGCAACACTACCAGTCGAGGGAGGCACACAACCAGCAGTAGTTTGCGGAGGACACATTCAAACCTTGTGCCAGCCTTGCCTTTATTCTTTTTGAATCTTAGTCCTAAAATATATTTGAGGGGGCAGTTCCCTCATGCTCATTTTCACCTCCCACATACTTACTACTTAAACTGTGAAGAATTGTTAGATGAATAAATGCAGATAAGTAAACAGCTACAGAAATTACAGAAATGCTGGTTGTAACTGGTTGAAATTGATACCCTTCTTTTGTCTCTGTTTCATAGTTTTTCATGGTGATGTGCATTGTATATGTGTTGTTTGGAGTTCTGTGGCTTGCGTGGTCAGCCTGCTACTGGCGAGACCTCCTGAGGATCCAGTTCTGGATTGGTGCAGTTATCTTACTGGGAATGTTAGAGAAAGCTGTTTTCTACGCGGAATTCCAGAATATCCGCTACAAAGGAGAATCTGGTATGTGGGAATAACATTGTTAAATATTTCTGAGGACACAAAAGCATGGATTATTTGAAACCGTTGATCCATTAGCAACTTTATTTTTAGTGACAGAGTAGAAACATACAAATCTTCATCTCTTGTCACTATCTGTAACTGATATCTGTCAGTTTAGCTTTTGTGGAGGGAGCAGTGTTTATTTGAGGAAGACAGCTAGTCATGGAAACATAAATCTTATTTCTGAAGTGGTTTTGCATCCCAAGCCATCCCTTATGTGTGTATTAGTTAATGGATATTATGCTAAACACATTTACTTCAGAGTTTTGTGGGGCATGCTTCCAAATAAGTGTGCTCAGGATTTCAGCCATTTTGCAGATATCTCTCTTACCTGCATATTGTTGTACAGTGTATTTTATCCTTTGCATTCTTTGTTCACAGTCCAAGGGGCATTGATACTGGCAGAGCTGCTCTCAGCACTGAAGCGCTCACTTGCTCGAACTCTTGTGATTATAGTGAGCCTGGGATACGGCATCGTCAAGTGAGTACTAGTGTTGGGCAAGCAGCAAAGTGCTCACCCCGAAAATCATTTATTCTCCTCGATCATTAGGATCAAACTCCCGAGTGTCCCTCAAGGGTGCGGGTCCTCCATTTGACTTCCACTGCCGGAAATTCCCAATGCCAGGCCTCCTCAGCCTGCTACCACTCTCCCTCTTCTAAAGCCCAGACCCCAGATCTTGGGGAAGGGGGGCTGGTCTGTAGGAGGTGAAGGAGGGCTCCAGTGATGTTGGGAGAAGGCTCAGAAGGAAAAGATGTACTCTTTCTCCATTGAGGATGATGGGACTGAACCACAAGTGGAATTGAGGGGAATGGTCCGTTCAAGGTGGGCTGTGTCCACCTCATTCTGCTTGCTGTAAGTTGTGCGCTTCTCCTTTGAATGCTCACCCCATTTGTAGTGAATTCTAGCTTGTCTAAAATTTCATACATTTTGAATCTGTGTTGTCAAAGGAGTTAGATGCAGTTCACGTCTACTTGACCAATTATGATGGAAAACAGTTAATACGGCAATATGAGCAATATGAATAAAACTGGCTAGGACTTGCTCTTGGGTGTGTTTCACATCCACATCTGATATCAGCAGTCCTAGGATAATGGAGGTGATTTGCAGCTGATATTATTGCTCTTTTATAATCCAGAGTTCCCGGTTAGACCAGTTACCTAGATGTGAAAATGACATTAGAGATGACCTAGATGATATGACTGATGTAATCTGTACAGCAGATATATGTCTTCCCATTGTTCTTCATTTCTCCCTTTATTCTCATTTCAGACCTCGCCTTGGAGTTACTCTTCACAAAGTAGTTGTGGCTGGAGCTCTCTATTTATTATTTTCTGGCATGGAAGGTGTCCTTAGAGTCACAGGGGTTAGTAATCACTTGCTGCAATTTCATACCTCTCATATACAGACCTTCGCTTCCTACTAGGCAAGGCTGTATATACACAGGTTCCACTTACTGAACACAATGCATTCCGTGGAACCCGTTGGTTAGGCACACGTTCACGTAATGAGTCCACAATTTCCACTATTTACTGTGGAAATATTTCTAATGTGGGATTTGTGAGATCTCCCCCCCGCCCCGTGGTTTTTTCTTGAAATGGCTGCAGTTAATCAGCAAAAGATAGACAAAGGAAAAAACAGATTTGTCCAATTTCTCCTGCTCCCTGATTTGTTTGATCTCGCTTCCACACCCATCCGTCTGTGGTTTCTGCCCCAAAGTGGCTACTGCTGAACAGCAAAGCACAAACAAACTAGGAAGTAAGGAAGTTGACTGTTCGGATGTCTGAATCTGCGGAGTATATTTATTTACATGCTGATAAGTGAATTTTTGGGTAGCGGGTATGCAGTTAGCGGGACCTGCGTATAATAGGTAATAAGGGATATTTTTTACTGTGTATCTGGTCTACACTCTTTCCACTAAAACATGTTTAAAAAGAGGCTGTTTGCCCCTTATCTAACTGTACTGTAATGTACTGTAAAGGCTTGTGCAGATTAATATTGACTTCATTTTTGTCTTTTGTGACTCAACCCTGCTTTGTTCCTATTATATCTGTTGCTTCCTGTGTGTGTGTGTGTGTGTACGCGCGCGCGTGCGCGCGCACACACACACACATTCAAAAGATAAATTTCACTGACAGTTCTTCCTCACTTTCATTTGGTTTGCATTTCTTCATTGCTATATGTTGTGCAGCTGTGTAATGTTACAGCCCCGTGTGCAGAAAGGTGATTATGCCTCTAATACAGGAACCTTGAAAAGACCAGCTAACCAGCTGTGAATACATTGTGTAGATAATTCAGATCTGTGTCATGTGGAATAAAGTAGAGATAGTGTGCATTCTTAGCTGCAGTAAAATTAGAAAAGGAACTTCCTTCTTTTTCAGTGGATTTTAGCGGGTGATTGTGGTATTCAACTAAGTCATAGAGTGGGCCCATTGAAATCATACTCTGGGTGTGATTTAATCAGATATCCTCCATAGGTTATATTACCTGTTTCTAAAAATGTAGCAATATGTTATTGGAAATATTTTTGGCAATTAGGAAGTATAACATTTTTGAAATGTTTTCCCTGAGTTGGGTTTTGAATAATAATAACATGAAGAGGAACATGAGTTTTACATAAATCATGCACAAGTCAGTGATAGCAAATAGACCTGTCAAGTCGCATGGCTTTGACTATCCTTTGAAGAACATTTGCCGCTGGGTGACCTGTTGTCCCGTGCTTGATAGAGGTCAACTGTAGCAGCCATTGTTCCTCAGTTCTGTGCTGGGCCCTGTTTTGCAGGAGTGGTTCATCTTTTAATCATGCATTTATCATGTATTTCAGTAAACTGATTCTCTTTTTGGTACTTTTCCAGTCTTTCCATGGTGTTACAGCTGTGGTAGCTAACTTCGGGCTGTCTATCATTGACTCCTGTATTATTTATTGGATATCCTTTCAGAAGTGCCATAGTACGGTTTGCATTTATGAACAATGTCAGTATAAATCCTGGATGTTTGGTGATTGAGAAAATATGTTGTACGAAGAGGTATGGGAAGAAGTGAACAGCTAGTTAAATTACCCTTGTATCATTCCTTCCTAAAGCTTTCCTAGTTTGTTTTTAGAGCTCAGCAGTGAGTAAGCCACCTTATGAACGAACGGCAACATTTGCCAGAGCTATGAGCAACAAGCAGATGGTCCAACCACAGAAATTTCAGCATCGGTGGGGTGTAAATCTCAACGGTGTACTGAAATTCCATTGATTTTGATGAGATTAATGCTCCTTTTCTTCCCTTTGATTGTGTGTGCTGTAAATGTTACGGTTTATGGCTGGGTGGGTATTTTGCGCTATGTGAGTTCTTGTAAAACCAGGGCAATCTCCCCTCACTGCTGCTTGATGGAATGATTCTTGCTGGGTGTCAGAAATATGCAGCTTTCAATAGATCAATAGCTTTCCTGTCAGGCAGAATGGCTGGACAGTACTCTGGTCCATCAATGGAGCCTTAAACTCCCGGTGCGGTTTTGGATCTAGAAAATATCTTAATGCTGTGAATCTGAGGGATCAGGACTCGTATCTTTCAGCTTTTCTGCAGCATTTTTTTTAATTGGCTTAATACTAATCTCTTTTTTTCTTTGAACAAAGAAAATACGTATTTGGTGTTCTACATTAATGTAATAACTGGCAATAATAATAATAATAATAATAATAATAATAATAATAAACACCCCACCCATCTGGCTGGGTTTCCCCTGCCACTTTGGGGAACTGCATGCTTGGGGTTGCAGTCCTTTACACGCTTCCCTGGGAGTAAATCCCACTGAACTCAGTTGGACTTCTGAGTGGACATGCTTAGGACTGCGCTGAAAGTCTTGAATCTTGCTTCCAGTCGGCCTTGGTCTCAATGCCTTTTTCTCTTTGTCTCTCTAGGCACAGAATGATCTTGCCTCCTTGGCTTTTATTCCACTGGCTTTCCTAGATACTGCCCTCTGTTGGTGGATATCCTTCTTCACTGGCTTATTTCAAGGACTGCTATTTCTTTGGAGTTGGGTTTTCATGGTGGGTGGTATCTATTGCAAGTGTTCTGCCCGATTCTGTTGTTGCTTTATTTTCCTTCACAAACAAAATTTCTTTAAGGTGGTCATCCTAACTACACTTCCAAGGGGAAAATCCCCATTGAATTCAATGGAATTTTCTACAGAGTCAGAATGCTTAACGCCACACTCACAGTCTGCTGACTCAAGAACATGGTTACTTTTACAGCTAACATGGCAGATCTGATAGAGTAAGAAATGGCTGCCAGTTTTGGAGATGACCTTGGTGCAGTGATGTCACTGGCTTCTGATTGCTGAGGGGCTTCCTTCGCATTTCTGTAGCAGGAAGAGCTATCTCTACTGAAAACATTGCGTGGACAGGCGGAGTCCCCCAAACCCTGGGCGGCCCCATGTGAAATAACGACTCAAGACAACGTGCTATGGGATTAAAATTGGCCACAACTTTATTATGTTTCAGATGTGGGTAGACCTTGGCTCTGGCATTGGGTGTTTATCCCTCCCAGTCCCCCACCGGGGATCTGGGGAACATTAGGGTTATCCAGTGTGTGGGGGGGGGAATGGGCTGGCTCTGGAGAACATACGTTCAAGCAGAGCAAGCCCGTCTCCGTTACGCCGCCATCGCAGGGGAGAGCAATGACAACCTCTAGGTGTACGGCCAAAGCCTCCCCTCAACCAACCCCTTTAATCGGGAACCCTGGTATCGCTGCCGCAAAGAGGACGGGGGCATGGGTCACCGTTGCACGCCCCCCCCATTTAGGGAAGATAGACTAAAGGATTCCGCCTAAGGCCTGATACCGCCAAAGTTGTGGTGTTTTGCTACGGGAAAGGCAAACCTGCCAATTCAGGAGAATTCCTTTCCGGCCCTTCAACAGCGACCCTGACGTAGCAGCACCCACGTACCTGTGGAGAAAAGGTTAAGCTGCAAAAGAAGTCTTAACTGAGGGTGGGAGAAGCTCTGGAGCCAACTGAGATTCCCAGGTAAGATCCTCTCCCTATTGTGTGGGCAGGTGGTCCCTCCCCCTACCTGGCCTGATCACCTTGGCAACACTTCCCCAGGCAGGATTGGGCAACTGGCTGAGGTAGGCGGAGACCTCCAGGTATCCCACCTGGGGAAGGCAAAGCCAAGCCTGTGCTAATGGTGCCGCATAGGGTCCAGGGGGCTGTGCGCAACCACGCAAAGGGTGCCCCCCATTTAATGTGGGGAGCGGTCATTATGTGCAGGCTAGCCTTCAGAAGTTGGACGACTAAAGTGGGCAGAGTTGTCCCTTATCTGCAAATACATAGCTCTTCCTGATGCAGCCTCATGTTCTTCTGCAGCCCTCGTGTGGACACCACTGAGCGTTGTGTTCACATGTGTGTGCTTAACACTGGAGATGTATTGTTTGAAAACAAGTCACTGCATTGATGCCCTGGTATCATAGAGGGTTCCCACACCATCGCTGCATATTCTGTCTGTGTGGGTGGGCTTATATGCCTTCTTAAAGTGAGAAGCCTTTGAGGATCACCATACCAAAGCATTTTTTGTAGCCTTATGTGAGGACCACAATATTTGAGTCACTGCTGAGTGTAAGTGGTAATTGAAGCACAGTGTAGGAATAATGGGTGTATAAGTTCATTCTTTATTTTAATAGGCTATCATTGCTTCGGGGTTCGTAAGCTTCAGGTTCAGTTTGATATGTTAGTATTTCTGTGTATATTGCATCTGAATACCTTTAGTAATTGGGCTATGCCTGTTGTCCAGCTTGCTTTTTCTTGACTTACCATACATATTCATCAGTTTGACTCAGACAATGAAGTTGTTAAAACTTAGGAGGAATGTTGTGAAGCTCTCTCTCTACCGACACTTCACCAACACTCTAATTTTGGCAATAGCAGGTGAGCTTTAGAAATATTTCCTTCCAAAATGTTTTACAGGACCTTTCTGAGCCAGATGTTATTTGAGATATCTACCACTCCATTGTTCATTCTGTCATGTCTGTGTTATAGTTTTCCCTCAGTTCAGTGCCTGTACCCTAAATAGAAAGTGCGGAGAGCTGTTTGACAGTGGTGCGGACTCCTTCGGAAAGTGGTGGACTCTCAGAGGTTTTAAATCAGGGGTTTAAATTCATGACCATTTGTCATGAATGCTTTAGTTGAATGTTCTCCTTGCAGGGGGTTGGACTAGGTGATCCTTGGAGTCTCTCTGAATTCTACAATTCTATGATTCTTTGAAATAAAAGGGGATGCCTGAAAACAAATAAAAAAAGTTCCAATTTCATGACTTGTTAGCCATGTTCGGACACAACGCTGAGTCATTAGCTAAGGTTAAATAAATCACATTGTGCATGAGCATTCCTGCTTTGTTCTTCCTCTAGTGGGGAAAAAAACAACATGAAGTGGCTGGCTTAGTGTTATGTCTGAACTTGGACTTGCAGCTTGTTTCTCTCCAGGCAAACCGTGAACTGAAATTAAAGTTTGTTTTTGGCTTCCTGGTCATGGCTTGTTTCTTAGTGTTGCCTGCAAACCAGTGTTTGTTTGTATTTTGTTTCTTCCAAGCAAACCCATGCTTTGGATACAATGCCAAGCCAGCCATTCCTCGCTCCAACAGGTCTACTGAACTTACTATCAAGCTGCCACAGCAGAATTTTCATTCCCCTGTCTTTTATTTTCATTTTCAAGGTTTTTCTCTTACTATACAAAGTCTTTAAGAGCTTGGGATCAGTTAAGTAAGCCCCATATATGCTTACTTATCATTCCACATTGGTTAGAAGTTGATCTTTCAGCAAGGCAGCCCCTGTGTTTTGGAACTCCCTTCCTATTAACATCAGGCAGCTGCTCTCACTGTATTGCTCTAGACACCTGCTGGAAAAGCTATCTAGATATGTAATTCTAAGTCTGCTTACAGATGTAGACTTTGCCTGGATAAATATGGCAATATTTGGAACGAGTTTATACAAAATGTAGTAGGCTGATAATATTTACATACTGTAAGTGATAATAAGATCCAATTTATAAAATAATTTATGGGTTAGAGTATTTTTTGTATATATTCATATAATATTTTCCTCCCCTTTACACATTTTTGTGCCTTTTCTTTTTCTTTGTATCTCTTTATTTCTTTATAATTGAAAACCTTTCAATAAAATATTAGCATAAAAATAGATGTATAATTCTGCATTTAAATTTTGCTAGCTTTATATGTGCATTATTGATGATAATTTTATATTGTTTTACATAAAATGCTTAGAGATTAGTCTAGATTCAGCAGTTTAGAATTCTTTCTAAATAAATATTTTTAGACAGATTTTAGATACAGAACAAATGCTCAAAGGGGCTTTTACTGCACAAAGAAATGTGCCAACTGATGACCACAAGCCCAATAACACACATTGCTGCTTGACACAATCCCCATGGTTATAGATGATTTAAAAGCAAATAACCTAAAAGGTCTTAATCTTAAAAGAGGAGTTCTGCAGTTCATTTGCAGTTTCTAATATTTCAACAAATGTGTGTGTTTATCTTCACTCTTTAGCATCTGTTGTTTTTATCATCTGGACCACTATGAAATTCAGGCTGGTAGACTGTCAGTCGGTAAGTGTGATGTGACTTTTCCCCTACCCCAAACTGCTATGGAGAGTATGCTTTTGTTTGATAAGCTGGGGGCTAAGGATTATGACTGAATTTAATACAAACTCTGTGCCTTTCTTCTCCTTGAAAATATTGGCATTTCTCTCTCTCTTTTTTTTGAAGTGTCTTTCCTTCCTGGGTGTGTATCTTACCTATCTTTTAATAACAGGATTGGCGGGAGCTGTGGGTGGATGACGCCATCTGGCGACTTTTGTTTTCAATGATCCTTTTTGCCATCATGGTTCTTTGGAGGCCGTCTGCCAACAATCAGAGGTATAACATTATCTTTTATTTTTTATTATTGAAAACAATAACACCATAACAGTCATGTTATGATCCACAGCAGTCCTTGCTAACCTGGTTCCAGACACTGATGGGAGTTGTAGCCCAACAACATCTGGAGGGCACCAGGTTGGTGAAGACTGATTCAAAGCAGCCATCTTGTCTTGTCTGACTACAGTGGAACCTCCCGGAAGCATTCCGAACTGCCGCGCCTGCGCATGTCCGCAGTGTGATTTAGCGCTTCTGAGCATGCGCAAGCGGCGAAACCTGGAAGTAACCATTCCGGTACTTCCAGGTTTCTGCAGGACGCAACTTGAAAAGATGTAACCTGAAGCAGATGCAACATGTATTTCTGGTATCCAGTAACTTTCAGATGTAAAACATGTAACCATTACACATGATAATAACACGAGTGGTGCTGTAGTCTCTTGGGCTTGCTGATCGGAAGCTTGGTGGTTCGAATCCCCACAACGGGGTGAGCTCCTGTTGCTCGGTCCCAGCTCCTGCCAACGTAGCAGTTTGAAAGCACACCAGTGCAAGTAGATAAAGAGGTACCACTGTGGCAGGAAGGTAAACAGCATTTCCGTGCACTCTGGCTTCCGCCATGGTGTTCCATTGCACTAGAAGCAGTTTAGTCATCCTGGCCACATGACCCGAAAAGCTGTCTGTGGACAAATGCCGGTTCCCTCGGCCTGAAAGTGAGATGAGCACCTCAACCCCATAGTCGCCTTTGACTGGACTTAGCCGTCCAGGGGTCCTTTACATTTACCTTAATAAAGAAAGAAGTCTGTGAAAAATGTTTGTGTGTGTGTTTGTATTTCTGTGTGTGTGTGCTTTATTAATTTTTTTCTTTCTGAAAGGTTTGCTTTTTCACCATTGTCTGAGGAAGAGGAGGAGGATGAACAGAAGGAGCCAATGCTGAAAGAGAGCTTTGGTAAGAAGAAAATCTTCTGCTATATAAATGCAATTTTAGTGCCAGTGGCCACCCTGATAACATTGCCCTGCTTCCTTCTCCCGGGAATTGCTTCCCAACAAGCCTATCTCCAGTGCACTTACCTGAAGCCATTTAACTGGGTTCTATATTCCTTCCCCCTCTGAGCGTGGCAAAGAAATAAGATGTTGGGGACTTCTATTATAGATTCACATTAAAGCAATAATAAACTGGAATCATAATCCAGGTGGCACTGTTGAATGAGCTTTATTTCTTTCTGGTATCCTACACAGAGGGAATGAAAATGAGGAGTTCAAAACAAGAGTCAAACGGAAACCCTAAAGCCAGCAAAGCAGTAAGTTTGATTCTCTCATAGCTAGTGTTGGAGGTGGTGGTGGTGGAACTTTCAAGAAAATTATTTTAAGATGCTTGACTAGATGATAAGCTGCTCCTAGGAATCTGCCCATACTTCATATGGCACAATTGGTGCCCAGTGTTGGCTTTAGGTGTGATCCCCAGAATATAACTGTATACAGGCCTGCTGTATATGAATTATCTATTGTAGCCATATTAACTAACTATTTTAGAATTAAAGAAGGAAGGGAATGTGTGTGTTTTTAAATTGAAAATGGCTCTTGAGTATTTTGGATATTACATGTTTCTTTAATTGCCCTTTAAAAGGAAATTTTTTGATAGTTTTCAGCTTAGTTTTTTCAAATCTTTTTGTAAATGATAGATTTTCTTTTTAAGATGTCGTAATTATTTATATCCTCCACAAAAAATAAGCGGAAGAGACAAAGGAATGTCAAATATAGTTAATCACCTTTTCTGTAGGGAAAATTTACACAACATATTTTTGGTGGTTTCATAGCAAAATGTTATGTAATGTTATTTTTAAGTAGAATAACCATTTCTGAATCACATGACCTCTTTTTTAAAAATAAAAAATCTAGCAGGAAGATGATTTGAAATGGGTGGAAGAGAATGTTCCTTCTTCAGTGACGGACGTGTAAGTACATGTAATTTGACTTATATTTATAGTAAATGTCAGGGAACTGCCATCGGAAGGAAGGGAGGTGAAAGGACTCAGACAGGTTGGAAGAGATTCAGCAGCTGAAGAGGGAACCAGCAAGGGAGAGAAGCTGAACTGAGGGAGGTGAAAGGGCTCAGACAGGTTGGAAGAGACTCAGCAGCGGAAGAGGAAACCAGCAGGGGAGACAAGCTGAACTGAGGGAAAGGGAGCTGGGGGATGGCTCAGAGATACTTCCAGCGAAAACAGTGGTGAGGTTTCCGGACCTCCTGTAGCGACACCCACTCCTCGCCGGAAACTGTCACGCAGAGAGTCCAGAAGACGTGTTTCCGTTAAGGAGCTTTTATGTTGGAAGCGATTACGAAAGCAACCACTGTCGGAATCTTCTAGTGACTAAGAGGAGCCATCTCAGAGGGGCTCAGTCACAGACAGAGGTTTGTGGACTTGAACAAACTCTGAGGGAATACGATTTTACGCACAAGCAGCTCATAATCCCATCACAGCATTCCGACAGTCTTTGAACGCAGCTTGTGCAGGAGACGGCATAATAATGAGCAACCCAGCAGGAACCGGAGAAGCAGGGGCTGGAGCGGGTCCAAGCCTGGAAGAAAGGTACCGGGTGTTAGAGGTCCAGCTGGCGCTGCAGACGGCGAGGCTGGAGGAGAGGAGGGCTCAAGATGCAGACAAAGGGAGAAAGCCACCCAGCTCGCCAGAAAGGTACCAGGATTGGTGCAAAAATTTGGGGAGCCCAAAGACTATCATAGCTTTCGGACAGAAATGCAATATGCCCTCAATCTGCAGTTTGATGATTTCCCTGATGAGGAATCACGAGTGGCTTTTGTGATTGGGCATCTTGAAAAGGGGCGAGAGACTGGGTTAGACCCCTGATGGCAGCGAATAGTGACGTCTTAAAAGACACGATGAAGTTCTTTCGCGCCATGGATCTGATGTTTTCCAGCGATATTGAAAAGGGAGTGGTGCGCAGACAGTTAATGGCTTGCAAACAGGGAGCCGATCTGTACGTGAGTACTGGACTGAGTTCACCATGCTGATACACAGATTGGGGTGGGACTTATCGGCGGAACCCATTCAAATGCTCTTTGAAGAAGGGCTTTCTTCGGCTGTGAAAGATGAACTTTCCCGGGCGCCCAGGGCGGAGTCTATGGACCAGCTGACCAAATCAGCGCTGGCCATAGGAGGCGCGCCAGGAGGCGAGAGCATTGGAGAGGCGGGAAGGGAAGGGGAACGTTGGAAGGAGTTCCGCATTCCAGACATTCCAGAGCCAACTGTCCCGCCGGCAGAGCCGATGGAAATCGGAACAGCGCGCGCGCGCAGTTTCAAAGCCCAGTGAGGGGAAAGAAGGATGGAAAAGGCGCCCGGAAATGCTATCTCTGCCAACAGCCAGGGCACTTTGCCAGAGTCTGCCCCCAGAGGAAGGAATGGCAAGGGATGGTGGGAGCTGTGGAGGGAAGAGAGGAAAAATACCGGAGCAACTAAAAGCCAACGCCTGGCTGCCATTGTCGGGGCACAGCAGCCAGGCCAAAGAGCAGTGAAAGTGCCCACTCCAGAACCTCCTAAACCCGCCCTAGTGATAGAAGTGACACTAGAGCTCCCAAACGGACACCCTCTAAAGATAAAGGCGCTGTTGGACTCAGGCAGCTCCTGCAATTTCATGAGCAAAGAGTTTGCAGCTGAACACCAGATACAGACGCTCCCTTTAAGCAACCCCCTGCAGGTAACCACGATCGATGGCAGGGAGCTGTTGGGAGGAGAAGTCAGCTTGCAGACCGTCCCAATGATAATGAAGGTGGCAAGGCACACTGAACTGATAGCTTTTAATGTGGCCACCTTGGGAGGAGCTCCCATTATATTGGGGATGAGCTGGCTAGCGTTACATGATCCGCTGGTGGGCTGGCATCAGAGAGTGGTTTCTTTTGGGTCAGCACATTGCTTAGAACATTGCAAAGAGGGAAGGTTTTGGCAGGGGCCCAAGCCACCCTAGCAGGGACTGAAGTGAAGGAGAACGTGAAGGTACCACGACAATACGCAGATCTCCGCGACGTCTTCAGCGAAAGGGAAGCTGACCAACTACCACCGCATAGAGCCTTTGACTGTCAAATCAATTTGCTCCCTGGGGCACAGCTCCCTGTGGGCAAGCTGTACGCCATGTCAGACAGAGAGATGCAGGAGCTAAGAGAGTTCATTGACAAGAACCTGAAGAGAGGGTTCATCAGAGAGTCCAGGGCGGTGGGGGCAGCCCAGTGTTTTTGTGGACAAAAAAACACGAACAAGCCGAGACTGGTGTGTGACTTCAGGGCCTTAAATGCAGTGTCAGAACCAGTGGCCTTCCCGATGCCCAGGATTGACGACATTTTGACAAGGGTGCGAAAGGGAAAGATTTTCACCAAGCTGGATCTAAGGGGGCGTACAACCTGATACGAATAAGGAAGGGGATGAATGGAAAACCACCATGTTCACCCCTTTAGGGGCATTTGAATACTTAGTTATGCCCTTCGGTCTACAAGCAGGCTCCGCAACATTTCAATCGTTTATGAACCACGTCCTGGGGCCGTTGCTTTACAAGAATTGTGTGGCCTTCTTAGACGACGTGTTGGTGTATTCTGAGAATGAGGAGCAGCATGTGAGAGACGTCAGAGAAGTGTTGAGCAGGCTGCAAGCCAGCCTGCTGTGGGTGAAACTGGAGAAGTGTCAGTTTCATACCAAGGAGGTGGAATTCCTGGGGTATCGCCTGTCTGACAAGGGGTTGGCCATGGATCCCGGCAAGGTCCAGGCGGTACTGGAATGGAAAACACCCAAAACAAGGAAGGATGTGCAGAGGTTTTTAGGGTTTGGGAACTTCTATCGTAAGTTCATCCCAAACTTTGCCCACCTGACGGCGCCCATTACGGACTGTCTCAGCAGTAAGAAGAAGTTCGTTTGGACGGAGGAGGCGGAGCAAGCATTTGAGGAACTAAAAGGGCCTTCGCCTCGGAACAACAGCTCCTGCATGTGGATTTACAAAAACCGATGAGAGTGGAAACTGACGCATCAGACAGAGCGGTTGGGGCGGTGCTTCTCCAGCCAGGGAAGGAGGAGTCAGAGTGGAGACCGTGTGCTTTTTTCGCGAAAGCTGAACAAATCCGAGAGGAACTACACGGTGTATGACCGAGAACTACTAGCCATTCATGAGGCGTTCCGGAGATGGAGGCACCTGCTAATTGGCGCACAACATAAGGTGCAAGTGTGCACTGACCACAAGAACCTAGAGTATTGGAGGACGGCACGAGTGCTCAACCAACGGCAAGTGAGATGGGCCCAGGAATTCTCCAAATTTAACTTTGAGATTTGTTACGTGCCAGGCCCAGAGAACATTAGGGCGGACGCTCTCTCACGCAAACCTGAATATTGGGAGGGGAGGGAGCACCCGAAGAGAGACATGTCATTCCAGAGGACCGCTGGGTGTGTGGGGCGGCATTGGTGGGACAAAGAGAACTGGTAGAAGAAACAGAGAATGATGAATACGCCCAGAATAAGCTCAGAGGTCTTAGGGATGGGGAGAGGAATCAAGGGGTTTCGAGGAAAGAAATGGAGCTTTGTATTACAAAGGGGCACTGTATATCCCTGAAGGAGACTTAAGGGGAGGGTACTCAAGCAGTTGCATGACAGCCCCACGGCGGGGCATTTGGGCCACCAAAAACCATGGTGTTGGTCACCAAGGAATTTTGGGGGGCGAAGGTTGGGGAGGATTTTAGGGAGTATGTAAGAGGGTGCGAGCAGTGCCAGCGAGCCCAAGGGAAAGGCGGGCGCCGGCGGGGCTATTAGAACCCTTACCAACACCAGAACGACCTTGGGAGGCAGTGTCGATAGATTTTATGACTGATCTGCCGAAGTCCAAAGGGAAAACAGCCATCATGGTGGTGGTAGACCTACTAACAAAGATGTGCCACTTTGTAGCTTGCTCGCATGCAGTCACGGCGGAAGAGACAGCGAAGTTATTTGTAGAACACATTTTTAGGTTGCACGGGGTGCCATTGAGGGTGGTCTCAGACCGAGGAAAACAATTTACTTCCAGGTTCTGGAGGAAGCTCATGAGCTTACTGCAGGTGGAGGTCAACTCTTCGACTGCCCGGCACCCTGAAACCAACGGGCAGGCGGAAAGAGCAAACGGTGTCCTCCAGCAATACCTGAGGTGTTATGTCAATGACAGAGAGAATGACTGGGTAGAAAAGTTGGCGCTGGCGGAATTTGCCTACAACAATGCCGAGAATGTGTCCACAGGGATGAGCCCCTTCTTGGCTAATTATGGGTGTCATCCCAGGGCTTTCCCAGGGGAGAAGGGGAGAGATGGAGCGTACCGGCAGCCGAGCATTTTGTAGAAGAAATGGAAGCAATCCACCGTCAGCTCCAACTCAACTTAGAAAGGGCGAAGGAAGAATACAAGAGGCAGGCAGACAAGAACCGAAGGGAAGGTGAAACCATAAGGGTTGGAGATAGGGTGTGGCTGTCAACCCGAGGGTTGCCGTTCAAAGGAGGTTGTAAGAAATTACGACCCAGGAGGTTGGGTCCCTTTGAGGTCATTCAACAGGTCAACCCAGTGGCTTTCAGGCTCCGGTTACCCAACCACATGAAACTGCACCCAGTATTTCACAGGTCGTTACTGTCACCGTACGAGGGGACGAGAAGGGATGGACACTCGGGGACCGGTCATAGAAGAAAGAGAATGCAGCAGTCATGTGGCAGAAATCCTTGATGCCAGGTGGATTTGGTAGCGTGGGAAGGAGAACCGGAGTCAGAAAACACGTGGGTAATGGCCAAAGATATCAATGACGAGGTATTGATAGAAATGTTCCATCAAAGGTTCCCGCGGAAACCTCAGCCTGTGGAGAGGTTCCGGAGGGAATACTTTGGGACCACTGAGGAGGAGGAGGAGTTGGAAGGATTCCCAGAATCGGAAGGGGACGGGGAGATGGACTCGGAGGAGGAGGCGTGCTTCGAGACCAGGAACCGCAACAGGTGGAGAGAAGTGTTCGAGACATCGGAAGATGAAGGAAGTTCATTCCGGGGTTTTGCCTCCTCACCGCCCGTAGAGGAGGGGCGAGAGGGGGTGAAGGGGGCCCTGGAGGGAGGTGGATGTCAGGGAACTGCCATCGGAAGGAAGGGAGGTGAAAGGACTCAGACAGGTTGGAAGAGATTCAGCAGCTGAAGAGGGAACCAGCAAGGGGAGAAGCTGAACTGAGGGAGGTGAAAGGGCTCAGACAGGTTGGAAGGACTCAGCAGCGGAAGAGGAAACCGGCAGGGGGATACAAGCTGAACTGTGGGACAGGGAGATGGGGGATGGCTCAGAGATACTTCCAGCGAAAACAGTGGTGAGGTTTCCGGACCTCCTGTAGCGACACCCACTCCTCGCCGGAAACTGTCACGCAGAGAGTCCAGAAGACGTGTTTCCGTTAAGGAGCTTTTATGTTGGAAGCGATTACGAAAGCAACCACTGTCGGAATCTTCTAGTGACTAAGAGGAGCCATGTCAGAGGGGCTCAGTCACAGACAGAGGTTTGTGGACTTGAACAAACTCTGAGGGAATACGATTTTACGCACAAGCAGCTCATAATCCCATCACAGTAAATATACTGGAAGCAAAATGAATGAAAACAGTAATAATTTTCTCGAATATTGGTAATGTTGCCGGTTGCATCCTAGAACTGGTGTGGACTTTTTCTGGTTTCTGCTTGTGGGGTGCCAGCTAGCAGTCCCTAATACAGACTCCTAATCCAACTTGTGACCTGCTGCTACTTGCTGCTGCAGCCGATGAAAGTCCCTGTTGGTCTGCATTAGGGACAGGGACTATTGCCAATTGCATTTATTGTGCTTTCTTTTATACTGTGCTGTAAATCTTCATTTGGTAAAATGTACTTTCTGCTCTAAATCTTGGGAAACTACCTGCATTTCACGCTAGCACTATTGCAATAAATTCCCAGTGATAATGTTTCTTGTCAGTACTGTGCCTGTTGTTAAAGTTCTTTCTTTCTTTTCATTCCTCTCAATCCAGTGCTCTCCCGGCGCTTCTGGATTCTGATGAGGTCAGTAAACAAACCTTCAGCAGCAATTTAAGTCTTGTGACACAACAGGGGAGTCATGAGCCCAAGAATTAAGGAAATTATTTTGGCTTCTCAAAACAGAAATACTCTATCCGTTCCAGTCAGTGCATCAAGGAACTAATAAAAGCAAAACGGAAGCACTGTTAAATACAGATCAGAGCTTTTATATGACTTTGGAACTTTTAACCATCTGATTTTTTATTTTATATGGTTTGCTATATGGAGCCACTGCTTTTTTGACAGTATTTGAGGGCAGGGCTGTGGCGCAGTGCCGGAGCACATGCTTTGCATGCAAAATCAGATTCAAATTAGGTAGGGCTAGCTACCTTCAGTTGCTACCAGTCAGTGTGGACATTACTGAGTTACATGAACCCAGTGGTCTGACTTTAAGGCAGGTTCCTGTGTTCTGTTTCACACTTTTAATTAGGGGCTTGCCGTTTAATAGACACAACACAAAAGAAAAAAGGGATGAGGACAATAAACAAAATTCAGGATACCAAACCTGATTGATTCCATCTCCGCTCATGAGAGCTGTATCAGTTTTGAATTGTTAATTTGTGGCCTCAATTTTGCTGTTAGCCGCTTTGAGTTTTTCAGGGGGCAGGATAGCTATGTTTTAAATGAATGAATGAAGTTACTCATAGTTAAAGTTTGATTGAGAAGGAGGACTAAAATGGAGTGAAGCTTTGTGGGCTTTTGAAGAGACTTGAAAGACTAGAGAAATGATTTCACTGAGGAATTCTGGTTGTGCTCTAGGCATATGGAGTGGAAAGGTGAAATGGAGAATATCCTTTAAGAGCAAACAACCTTTAGGCAGCTAAGTGTAGTAGAGTTTGTTGACTGAAGGTCATGGGAAGGAGTACATTGGGATATTAGGACAGATTGGGTGGAACAAGTTTAGAAAGCTGTAAGGGGCAAGGACAAGGGGTTTGTGTAGGCAGTAAAAGGAACAGGAAGCCATTGCTGGGATTTGAGGAGTGATGGGAGATGAATGCTGCAAATTCAGCAGACAAATTCTGAGCATTACAATATGCATTCCAAGCCCATAAATAAGCTTTCAGAGTGTGTTTCAGGAAAACACATTTTCTGACAGTTTCTGTTCAGTCTCTGACCCGAGACATGTATGACTACCGTTTGCATACACTGTGATTTCATTTTCATTTTCAGTATGGTAAAGTTCCTTGCAGTGTAACTTCTATCCATTATTTTTTGTGCCAAATAGTTCTTCTGGGTGTGCTCCTTTCGGATATTTTCCAAGCTTTCAGTCAATCTTTAGGACATGTAACAGTTTTCACTTACAGCTCAAAAGAATGTTCATCACATGAATGACAAAAGTCACATGATGTTCATTTAACCGTGCCTAAAAGGAATTAGTTCTAAGTATAACTCCTATTATAGAAGAAGCATTTGCTTTGTGTTTTGAACTTTGGATAGTACACTAATGTTAACATTTTTTTAAAAAAGAAATGTGAAACCTCATTGTGACCCATATATTAATATTGCAGGAAAGAATGATCACACATTTTGAAAGATCTAAAATGGAATGAATGAGGACAGTTTGCTTGACAAGGCTTCCTGCTGTTGAAGAAAGGAAGAAACGTTTTTCTCCCATGGAATGCTGCATTCTTCTGATATGTTCTGTGACGTTCACCTTTGGACATTGTTCTCAGAGGAAAGAACATTTTGCTTGGATCACTGTGGAAGGAATCACACACATGTTGATACACCTAGGGAAATGTTTGAATTTGCATTGCTGCTGCAAGTGTGGGTTTTAAGCCATTTAAACGTCTTTATTGCAGCACGTCTTTACTTTTTAAACATTATAGTCAAGCTAAATCTAAAACTGTTTTAACAACTGCCTGAGGAATGGTTAATTCAATATTACAGCTAAATCCCTCATGTTTTAACCACAGTGGGAAGAGGGGAAGAGTGATTGATGGTTTCCCCAAACCAGCACGGGTGTTCTAGAGACAAAAGGCAAGCTCAAGCTTATAGACAGGTACCAGCGATAGCTCAGTAAGATGCTACGTATATTTAAAAAACTCTGTATCCAGCATCTGGGACAGTGTGTGTAGGATTGAATCCCCCCAGCCCAGTAAAGGACTGGTACCTATGAGAGATGCCAGAATCAACCATCTGTAAATGAGCCTTGCCCACAGTAGTATGCATGCAGCAAACTGCTGTGTGCAGTAATCTATGGATCAGGGTCAGTGCCTTGCATTTTTATTGGATGTAGCAGCTTCTGACTGAAGATTCTGGTACCTGGCTTGTGAAAAGGAGAAAGTTTTAGAATGAGAACTCCTAGTTATGGGAAACAGTTAACGCATCACGAGGGAGGGAGGTATTTGGGGAAATTTATGATTCCTAACATTTTTGGCAAGATCAAGTGCAATTTTATTCACTCTACTGTGTAGGAAAGATGGTCTATTTTAAGTTTTGCATACATAGATGCAGTGATCACTTACGTGTTTGGTACATATCTCGTTGCTGGCAATGGGGTGTGAGCATGAGCAGTTAACTATTCAAATCAGAGCAGAGTGCAATTTAAATAATTTTAAAAAAACAAACCCTCAGCACTTATTCACTGACCTTGACCAGCCCCATGGCTTTAGCCTGTGCTTCTAATATTGTTGCATTGGAGCATATTCCATAGACTCACAAACGCACTTGTGTTGGAGTCAACCTCCCCATACATATTGACTCTTTGAATCAGGCCTGTTCAGGCTGTGACCCACTGAGTCCATTGCAGCCCATAGCCGTGTTTGTGGCTTGTCAAATGCTTGACAACCTTCCTTCCTGTTTTTGCAGCTCTAGATAGACAGCAAAACCAGTTGGGGTGTGTTAGGCCACAAGTTGTGCAGTCCTATCCTAAAAGTTTATGTCAGACTAACCTGTCCTAGATGTTCACATATTCTACACAGAACTGTGACTTCAGATAGCAGCTTGTTCCTGTTGCTCTTCTCAAATAACTCCTGAATAGACCCAGTGTCTGTACTACGTATCCTTGCCAGCTTCCAGGTCCCCCAGTACAGTGGTGCCTCGCAAGACGAAATTAATTCGTTCCGCGAGTTTTGTCGTCTTGCGATTTTTTTCGTCTTGCGAAGCACGGTGTCAGGAAAGTTTTGGAAAAGCTTCAAAAATCACCAAAGTCTTTAAAAACCTCAAAAAAAGGCTACCACACCGCGTTCTATGAGTTGCTCCTCGAAGTCAAGTCGCAATTGTATTAACGGTGTTAAGAAAAGGAAACAAACTTGCAAGACGTTTCCGTCTTGCGAAGCAAGCCCATAGCGAAAATCGTCTTGCGAAGCAGCTCAAAAAACAAAAAACCCTTCCGTCTAGCGAGTTTTTTGTCTTGCGAGGCATTCGTCTTGCGAGGTACCACTGTACTTGTCCTGGGATTATTGAGCCACAATGTGGCATCATTCTGATGCAGTGTAGGAAAATTAAAGTGGTGGCTCATAGTCACCTGCCATTGCTTCCAAGTAAATCCATGTCCAGGGGCCACCTAGAGCACCTCCAAACCTGAATCTGGCCCTAAATACACATTCATATACCATGTCCAACACTTTGTCGATTTCTAAAGTTCCTAATAGCCCAGTCCCTAGGGCCAGAAGCATCCTATTATACTTCCAGTGACTCCAAACATTCTGCTACAATTATTCCCATCTAGTCGCCTTTCAGTTAGTTGTTCCATGTCCCACCTTCCTTCCTACTATGATCTTTAATAAAGAGCCACCTCTGACAACATGCTTTTATAATGAAATGTATTTGAAAATTCAAGTACCTCACAGGATTTTGTAAAAGAGATTCTTAGAAAATTAAGCCTGTCACTGAGATGTTAAAGGTCCCATAAAGGGGGCAAATTGTTTATAACAACAACAAACATTCTCCTGCAATAATTTATGCAAATATGCTGTTTTGGGATGTTTCTGTTCTGGGTGTCTTGTGGGAGGGAAGGATTTTTGGGGGGTATTTTTCAAATGTTAGTGCCAAAATTTGGGCTTCATTGCTGGTTTTTGACACTTTCAGCCCTCTAGCAGCAGAACCTGGAATTAGGATTTCACATTAAATGTGGCATTGTTTGGATTTTGCTTTCCAGAGGCGTTTTAGCTGTACTTATGTATAAGTGGTTTGGTAATGGGTTTTCCTGTAACTTACAGGCACTCTTTCATTTGATTCAATCTGAGTTGCAGATTTCTGTTCTGTATAATAAAATCCTTTTTTTTCTTAAATTCAGTTTTTAAGTGCAGCTTTCTGACCTTTAAGCTTGACTTCTTATACTTGTTTGCTAAATGAGGGCCATAAAGTATGATGACTGGGCACTGTATTTTTGCAGAAACACAGTCTCCTTTGTGAACATATCAGTTCATAAAGCACATATGGGCCTGCTTTCAGCTTCCTGTCTTTGGAAAGTTCAGCTTGTGGAACTTGTTATATCTTACACATCAAAACAGGTTTTTCCCCCAGGGCAGCCTCTCAGTTTTGGCATCAGAACTGCAATATGCTCCTTGTATATGCAAATGGCTGACTTATCATAATTGTTCCATAAGCCACCCACCGACACAGGAGGTTGCAGGTTCATGCTCTGACATCTCCAGTTGATGAATCCAGGTACTAGGATGGGGAAGACGCTTCCATGAAATGCCTTGGAGATATGCTACCAGTCTTCATACGATGTTCTAACTTAATGACCAACAGTCTTGACTCCTATGCGACAGCTCCACTAGTAAGCTGCCTTATTGAAAGTCACCAGGCATTTAAATGTATAATTAATCATTTCCCTGCAATGTAATAACTTATTGATGCCTGTATAGGATTTTTAATGTACTTTTCTTCTTGTATGTTGCCCTGAACAATGCATTTTATAGAAGGCAATTGTTACATCAATAAATAAGACCTTGATTAAATATCATGGTTCGGCCCCAGAATTACGTATGAGGGGTTATATTTCTTTGATCTTTGGATGAAAGGCAGCATAGAAATTTAATAAATAATAATGATGAGTGAGTGGTAGAGCAGATGCTTTGTATGCAAAAGTTCACCGTTTCTAGCACTAGCTGGAAAAGGGGCTGGAAAAGGATCCCTATTGGAAACACTGGAGGACTGCCACCACCTAGCATAGTAGACAATATTGAGCTGCATGGCCCATCAGCCTGACTCAGCTTCTTGGGAAATCAGATCCAGAGTGCATCTAGCTCAGTCTTTGCCAACCTGATGCCCTCCAGATGTTTTGGACTATGACTCCCATGATCCCTAACCAAGCTCTGCATGGCTGTGGTACAAGCCACCAGGAAGGCACATGATTGGTAAAGACAGGGCCAGCTGCAGCTGGTCAATAACCACAGGCTACCCATATCAACGACCAGGATGCAAAAAATGTGACCCAAGTAGTCTGGCTTACGCCCTTATCAGGTAAGATGCCCACAATTGAAATGACCACTATCTTCTTGTATGATTGGTGTGCTGGACTTGAGGGATACCCCTTTCCAAAGAATGGCCCGATTTGTCCTTTGCTACCCTAGTCCCATAAGTAACAGCTCCATGGTCGTAGGTGGGGTGTGTGTGTGTGACGGGGTGAATAGCCTAAATCAATAAAAATCAATACAAATCTGAGGTTCTGCCCCCCCTAACAAATGCCTGCTCCCACTAACAAGCATCCTGGCTACGCCCATGAACAGCCCTACACAATCATTCCCAATAGTGGTTAATGAGCCCCCACCCCATTTTATACAAGGGGCTCTGAAAGCCCCTCTTAGTGTTGAAAAGATGCCCCTTTTCCACACCATAAACAGCAACTGCTGAGGCCGCAACAGAGCCAGATTTTAGGTCTGATGAAGCCCTAAGCTACTGAAGGTAATGGGGCCCTTTATATGTCCAGCTGTCCTTTGTCAACAACAAATTGTCACTGTTTTTTTGTCTTGAATATATGGTATATGGTAATTTATGGACCTAATAGGTACCTGAAGCCATTTGCACATAACAAAAAATGTATTTTATCAAAGTAATCGTTGAACTGAAATACAATTAAGAAGTATATTAATGTTGTTGATGTTGTCGTTTAGTCGTGTCCGACTCTTCGTGACCCCATGGACCAGAGCAGGCCAGGCACTCCTGTCTTCCACTGCCTCCCGCAGTTTGGTCAGGCTCATGTTGGTAGCTTCGAGAACACTGTCCAACCATCTCGTCCTCTGTCGTCCCCTTCTCCTTGTGCCCTCCATCTTTCCCAACATCAGGGCTTTTTCCAGGGAGTCTTCTCTTCTCGTGAGGTGGCCAAAGTAGTGGAGCCTCAGCTTCACGATCTGTCCTTCCAGTGAGCACTCAGGGCTGATTTCCTTCAGAATGGATAGGTTTGATCTTCTTGCAGTCCATGGGACTCTCAAGAGTCTCCTCCAGCACCATAATTCAAAAGCATCAATTCTTCGGGGATCAGCCTTTTTTATGGCCCACTATATTAATAGTGAAATACAATTAAGAAGAAGTATATGCTGCTGTGTGTACGTTTTATTTTATTTGTTTTTTTATCTTATATTTTGGAAATGTACATCCAGGGTTTTTTTTTCCCCCATTTACATTTTTTGGAGGACCCCCAAGAGTCTATAGCTATAGCTTGTTTAGCTTTTACGTACCGTAAACCCGAGTCCCCCACCCCCACCCCCGTTTTATACAAGGGGCTCCAAAAGCCCCTCTTCGTGTCGAAAAGACGCCCCGTTTCCGCACCACGAACAGCAACTGCTGAGGCCGCAATGCCTGCGAGAGGCTCGGCCAGCGAGACAGAGACGAGGGGAAGCGGCTGACCGGCGCTGCTGGCGAGGAGGCCGGGCCCCCGGGGGGTTTCCCGGAGGTGGAGCCTGGCCGCGGAAGTGAAGCGGGAGCCGGAAGCGCCTGGGCCGGGCCTGGGAGGAGGTGTCTGGGGCGGCTGCTCCGGAGCCGGAGTCTCCAAGGGAGTCCTCTCGGCGGGCGTTTGCCGGGCCCCGCGTAGCCGCCGCCGCTGCCGCCATCATGCACGACGCCTTCGAGCCGGTGCCGATTCTGGAGAAGCTGCCTCTGCAGATCGACTGCTTGGCCGCGTGGGGTGAGTGGGGCGCCGAGCTGCGGCGGGGCATCTCGGCAAAGGCGTCCCTCGCCATCCCCGCCTCCCTCTCCCTGCCGCCCGCTTGGCTTGTTTTTTTCACGCCCTCCTGCCAGCTCCTGGTCCGGTTCTCCTTCCTGGCCACGGAAGGGGGTTTGGCGCCCGTTTTGGCTGTGCGCTTGAAGCGGGAGGGAGCGGCAAAGCCCTGCCCTCTTCCCGATGAGGCAACCGCTTTAATTTTATTTTTTGGGGGTGGGGGTGGTATCTCCGCTGGGTACCTGAAGGGTCACTCGACGTTGCGGTTTTTGAAGCCTGTCAGCTGCCGGACACGTGACGGACACGGAAGTGTGGCGTGTTTTGTCAACGTATGAATCAGTGCTTGCCTGCGACTTTGCCCTCAGCCCCTTAACACGCGTCATGGTGCGGTGGACGCGTTTTAAAAAATTGAATCTGGCGCAAGAAGCGGCTCTTGCATACCCTTCCGATAAAATCGAGGTGGAAAGATGGCTAGCTGTGTTTTGTATTCTCTTGGTTTCTGAAAAGAGTGCATTATAAGTGGGATTGAATTTCCCCAGTGCTTTTTTTTCTTTTTTAAAAAAGTGTTTAGGGCTACTCTCATTTTGACTCAAGAAAATCACCATTTTATAGTTCAAATCGGGGGAAATAAATACAGTAGATGGACAAAAAGTAGATTCACAAAATGTTTAGGGGTGTGCGTACCCCCCAGAAAAAAAGCACTGAACTTACCTCATATCTGTTCTGTGGGTTGCATCTTTCCCATTATTGGGTTTTGAGAGTAGTTGCCATGTTAATGCCATTTCACACGTTGCAGAAAATGATTGCAAGCCTGTTATTATTATTTTTTAAAATGCACCCTTTTTAAAGCAAGTGTTTATAAACAAATATTTATAAACAAATGTTTATCATTTGTGAATAACTTTCAAGTATGGCTGACTTGCAGTGGAAATACGGAGATCTGGCTTTTGCAACATGTGAAGCAGTCTGATGTATATGAGATGAAGTATGATTTGTGAATTGTGACCGCTTTCAGCTATTCAACCCTAGATGTTTTTAGACTGCAACTCCCACAATCCTTTACCACTGGCAAGCTGGCCGATGATAATGGACGTTTTAGTCCAACTACAGTGGTGCTGCAAGGTTGGAGAAGGCTAGTTTACTAACTGAGTACAGTAGTTTACTGAATGAGTGGAATATATGAACTTAATTCAGTTCTTCAGTCAGGAATATTCTCCAATTCTTAACTTAGAGTTCAATTGCAGCCTTCAAAGGCCTGTTACTTCCCCAGAGGGATATCATTAAATAGTACCATCTAAACCAGTTTGTGTCCTGTTATTTTTCTTTCAACCTGCGATCCTCCGTATTCCCTTGCAAGGTATATCTGGAGGCAGTTGTGTGTACTTTAAAATTGGATGTGTCTTCAGCAACCTGTAACTTTGTGCATCCAAATGATATCCGTCTGAATTATTGATCTCCTTACTGAGTCAGGCCTTCTCATCTGAATTGACTGCATTTTGCAGTCAGAAATCTTGCCTGGCCATCAGGAGGCTGAGATAACTGTACTTGTTTAAATGGTATATTCTTGCAGTTCATCGTTGATTTACATTGCTCGGTATTTCACAGAATTTTAATACAGGGTGGGTAGGGAGAAAAAAAAATCACGGGTATTTTCGGTGAGCTGCAATTGATTATACTGAGTCTGTATGCTCTGGCCCAAAGTAATGCAAGCCTTTATGTACGTAGAAATATATAACTTATGGGGAGATTGAGCAGAGGAAGGTTTGTGGCATTGGGTTCACAACAAAATACGAGAAATTGGGACACTATCAAAAGTTAAGAATTTTCTACATGGGGAGCACTCTGGTGTAAGATAAAAGGTGTGAAAACTCTGTTTATTGTCATGTGTGGTGATTGCATGTCTTTTTTGGCTGTGTTTAAGTGCATGTGAAGCTGTGGGAGACAGTGAAGTTGCCTTGTGTGTACATGTGATGTCACAAGTGATAATATATGTGCTGTTTGCACTTTTTCCTACTTGAGAGGCATTTTGTGTACAAAATTAATAATGCTGAAAATGCTCTTAGAGCAAGCACCATTTTCTGGAATTATTATTATTATTATTTGTGTGTGTGTTTGCCAAGAGGAAAATAATTTGTGGCAATATTTTATGATACAGATGGCTATAAATGATTTGCATGTCTTTAAATATAAGTGTGTGCTTTTCAGTTGGCAGTACTATTTGCATAGCACCTAATAAGATAATTTTGGGCCTCAACTTATACATTACTAACATTAAGCATTAGCAAGACTTGCTTAGTACACATACCGTTAAAGGAAGAAGCTTTTCGGGCCAGATTTGGGTACGACATTTTAGTAAAAAAAATGCATGATAAAGATGAGTCTTGCTTTGTTCATCAACATTTATTATTAGCAGTTCAATTAAAAACAAGTGCATAGTAATAATGATTTATCTTATTAAGTAATCTGTTTTACAAAGATAATCTAAATATCAGTGGATATCTGGGGATGGTGATATCCAGCCAGTTTTTTTAATCTCTATCTTTTTATAAAATACTGCTCAGGACAAAGACTGTTGCATCTTCAGAAAATAATTCCTGCAGCGTAGCCCCCCTTCGATTATGAATTTGGGTTTTTTAATGGTAAACAGGAGTTTATTTTCTTCACCATATTCTAAGCAAGGAACTTTTAAAATGAAAGCCAGAATTTTAACAAAGTCTGTAGTTCTTACCAGGCACACTTGGTAATGATGTGTGTTTTCTGGAAAATTTTGAATTGTAAAATCTCCTAATTCCCCTCCCACCACAACACACTAAATTGATTGGTATCGGCTTTAAACAGAATTCAAAGTTGACACAGTTACTTTTTTGTACTGTATAAATAAACAGAATTTTAAAATAACACAAATGTTACTTTTTTGTACCGTATAAAGTATATATAAAATATATATATTAAAAAATGGAATGCTTGACCAGGGGGGGAGGAATCAATGAAGGGCACCTAGGCTGCCATCATGTACATGCTTTTCCTGGAAGAAAACCGGGCTGAAGTCAGAGGGACTTGTATCTGAGTAAAAATGCATGGGATTGCACTGTAAATTTTGTTTAAATGTTACATTTAAACAAATTTAAAGCTTTACTTGCAAATACTTTTATTGGAATGCTTATATTAATACATCTAGAAATAGTATGGATTTCTCTTGCATTGTTCATACTTTAAGAGGAAAATCGAAGGTTTTAAAAACCGTTGACATGTTAATTTTAGCGTTTCCAAAGAACTGTGGGGAGAAGTTTCCACTCATATGTTTATTCATTAGAACTTGCCAGTATGAGATGTAAGGGTTACATAAATTATGCATAGATGGAAGAAATGTGATCTTACTGCAATTTATAAAATGTTTGTTTTTATTGCAGAGGAATGGCTCCTCGTTGGGACAAAACAAGGCCACCTCCTTCTTTACAGAATTCGAAAGGAAACTGGTGGGTGTGGAAAAAAATTAGCCAAGTTTCTGTAAGCTCTTGGAGCATGTGCAATGAAGCATGTTTGTTTAACTGTATTTTAGGGTGGGTTTACACGGTTTTATGTGCTGTGTTTGGTGGCGATGAGAGTGTGTGCAGGAGCCTGATACTCACATGAGAACCACACTGTATAAAGCTTAAATACTAGAGACTGCACTGATTGCCCCTAAATGTCATAGGGTCCCTGCAGCATTTCTAGTTTCCCTTTCTGTGAGAACTTCAGTAGACCCAGTCCTTAAAAACATGTGTAACTAGTGGCATAACTTTGAAAGCTGAAGTAGGTCAGCAGTTGGCTAGAAGATAACATTCACTGTGTATCGGCTTGATTGTAGGCTCGATTTGCACAATCTGATAGCAGTGAGGGCCAAACTTGCTGTGAAGATAATCACACAACTGACAGTTCCATCACTGCTTTTTATTTAGTTAAAAACAGGCGAGGGAGATGAATGATTTTCACTTCTTCTGCCCATACCTTCTGCCACTGAATAGATCAGGTTGCAAGTTACAGGATAATTTAATAAAGAACTACATTTAGTACATCCTAGGTCATCTGTTTGCATCTTGTCTTTTGGGTGGTTTATGGGACTTTTGCTGGAGGTGGACTCTTCTTCCTGGTCATCTGCCATTTACTGAGTTGAGATTCCTACATTACCAAGGGTTGAACTACATGACCCTCAGGGCCCGTTCTAACTCTACAATTCTGTGATTCTGTTTTTCACTGTATTTCAGGACAAGGTGTAGGATTTATGGGAGCATAAAGCTCAGATAGAGCTGTTGTGTATAAAACCCAACCTATATAACCTATAGTATGATTTAGAATGGAAAAGCCAAAACAAAACCCTACAGCACCTACATTTTGGCTCACTGGTGCATTAGCAGCAGTCCTTTTCTCAATTGTTGTCCTAAGTCCGGATAGACTGAATGCCAATTCTTAAAACCTCTTTTGAAGTGGAAGAATTGCTTCAGAGTAACCTTCCTTCCACAGTTTTCAGTGATAATGTGGTTTTGTGAGAGCATCCCCACAACACATTTCCCAGTATTGTACTGGAAAATCACACAGTTGCACGAGCAGTCTAAATTTACAGGGTTGTATCAAAGGCTGCCCCTGTTCTGGCAGAAGTGCTTCTATTAGCACAAGGCAAGGCACCCCATTTCCGCCAACATGCCCTGCTATTTGCAGCCTTCTGTGCCATATCCCATATAATCCCAGAGGATCCCCGGCCTTCAGGAGCAGCATTTAAGGGACATGGAATGCTGCATTGGGTTGAAGGGACTGGTGAACATCAAGCCAGCCTCCAAGCTCAAAGCAAACATTGGATTCAAGCTCCATTCTCTGCATGTTGACAGTGGATAGGAACATAGGAATCTGCCTTGTAGAGTTAGACCATTGCTCCATCTAGCTCAGAGTATTATATACTCTGGCTGGCATCAGCTCTCTAGACCTTCAGACGGGATGAGAAGATACAAAGAAGGGAAAGGCAAGGGCAGACAACTGAGGAGATGAATACAAGAAATGAGGATAACAGGGAATGATGGCAAGCAAATGCAATTATGTGCACTTACACTTCATTTTGGTTAAAGGTGTTACTAATGAATGCAAGTAATGGCGGGGTGGCCCAATGGACATGAATTGGGAGTTGACATTTTAACCTGTTCCTCAGTAAAGTTATGAAAACAGGGGAAGTGAGCCTGCGGTGCTGCTTTTTCCTGCTCTGGGCAACACCAGTACCATCTTAGAGAAGCCATTTTTCTAGCTTTGCAGAAAAATACATGATTCTTTTAAGAAAACTGAATTTATTCTCAAACCACCTTAGCCAGTCTGTTCCAGTCAAATCATGATAGTTTTCAGTTGCTCTTGTCTCACTTGGTAAATTTCTCCCCCTTTTTGCATCAACGTCAGGAGAGGTTACGACATCAGAAAGTGGCTGTAAGTTTGTATCCATAAACCTTTAAACCCTTGTGGTGAAGTGTTTTTATTCTTTGTCCCTCTTGCTATACTCCCTAGGGATTTTATTTGCTAGTGGCTGATGCAGTGATAAAGGGTGCTGGGGGCTTGCCTTTTCCTAAACTAGATTTTTGAAGTCTTTTGTTAAATCCCTTTCGTCCATGAGATGACAATGCCCAGTTTACTGGTGGGGTAACTGGGTATGCTGTCATGTATAATTGCTCATTTTTATTTTGCAAACTTCAGGTGGACATGTGAGGCTTGCATCTCCTCTAAACTGATAGCAGAACTTTGTGGGATATTTTGCCTTAGCTGTTGAAATACGTGTTGATGAAAAGTGTCCATAGTCTAAAAGAATCCCTTTGCTGTCTGGTAGGTTGCAACAGATTTGAAGTGACATTAGAGAAGTCAAACAAGAACTTCTCCAAGAAGATTCAGCAGGTACATGGGATATCTCTGGACCAACCTAAAATCATAAGAGGCATTTGACTGAAGTCAAGACTTTGTTTTACAGGGGTGGGGTGAGATGGAAGTTGTTGTGCCACTGATCTTGTCTTCTCTTACAATATTGGCATTTGCTGCAGCAATCCTAATGTGTGTAGCTGCCATAAGTCTTGTAGAATTCCACTAGCTTTGATCCCATGTAAATGTGTTTGGGGTTACTATAATAAAATCGGAGACACTACTTCAAAGACATTTGGGAAATTGCAGTACATGCCTCTTGGCATAACAGCACCAATGCAGAATGGAAGTTGCTGCAGCCTTGTGCTTTCAAGTGACTAGCTTTTTCTGAGTAGCTTATTATATTTATATTCTGCTGTGCAGCCAAGATAGGGTCCCAGAGCAGCTTACAAAATGCACACAAAGCTACAACTAGAATAAGGGATATGGGGAGGTATGCCCATATCTTCTAGTCTCCTGCACTTGATGACATATGCCTGGTTTGCACATATAAGACTAAGCCGTAGTGTTTTTAGCCAAATGTGGCTTGATTGAAGGTTTGAACCCAGCCCAGCAAACTATTTGTTGTTGGTTTATTGACCATGGCTTATACTAACTATATCCACTATATCCAAAACTAATGGCCTTGCTTAACTATGGTTTGTTTGGCTACACATTTCAAGTACCCAAAACAGAGGCATGAGGCTAGGGGAGTAGGGGAGGGGAATCAAACATTTGAGAAGCAAGCCATGGCTGCTTTCCTCATATGGAAAAACACACAAACAAACACAGCTTAGTTTTATGTGCAGACATAGCCATTATCAATATTCCTTTCAGGAAAAGGGAGCAGAAGGACTCGGGCTGGTTAATGGTAAAGATGTCAACCCAAATAAGCAGCTCCTTTGTTAAGCTACAAAGTCTGTTAATTAACATTTAATTTAAAACCTTACATAATAAACTAGAATATTTTGAGGGAGCGAAACAGCCTATTTTGAGTAACTGTTCTTATAAAAGCTTACTGTGTTGGTGCTCATTCCTTTTTCCGGCCTCCTGAATAATAAACAGCACTGGTGTGATTTTCTTTTGGGGTTTTCATTCCTATTTGCATATGCTTTGTTCCTTGTGGAACTCAATCCTTTGTTGCTGGCTGGAATCTTAAGAATTATGACTGGCTTATAATGCCTTAATAGCGGCATTTGGATATAGCACTGAACCATAGTTCTCCTCTCCAAGTAAAGGCACTATTATTTAATATCTATACAATGGTATATGTGCTCAGCAAAATTGTTGTGCCTACTAAACTATAAATATACAGTATTTTTATATAGTTCAAGAAACTTCTTGGGAGTTCATGTTGAAATAGTATTTATTGCCTGTAACAGAAGCTGTTAATGTCACCAGAAATGTCATGACTATTGCTGCAAGGTTACTCTGCTAGAGGTTGATAGCTTGCATATAAATTGATTTTAATTTGAGTCCCTTTCTGTTAAGTAAGATTCATTTCTAGCAAAGGTTTGACTGCAACTTATTTACAACATTTTTATTACTATTATTTTTGTAGATCCATGTTGTGTCCCAGTTCAAAATTTTGGTCAGTTTATTAGGTAAGTGAATTCACAGCATTATGTTTTGAGACAGAGTAATTGAAGCTGCAATCTTACGCATCTCTTACTTCAGAGTAAGCCTCATTAAACTCAGTAGGACTTACGTATGGGTATGCATAGGATACACATGCATAGGATTGTGTTATTATTCATCTGAGCATGGTTATCCTGTATCTCCTTCCTTTATGTTGCAAGTCTTTCTCTTAAGACCCTTGTGTCTTTTCTCCCACATACATGGAATGTTTTTCTTCATTCTGACATAGAGGATATTGCATTAGCTTACTTTATATCTATTTGCCACTCACCTATTTTTAAAACAAGTTAAGTCTTGTCTCCTGCTGATAAGATTTGTTGAATTTATAGTGCATAATTCTGTGAATACTGCAGACATGCATCAATGAAGTCTTTGGCAATGCAATGTACCTTAGAATCGGCAAGACATCTGAGAGATGTTTGCAGAATTGTGTCCAAACACTTATTAACCCATTTCTCCGTTTTCAAATTTGAAATAGTTATGAGGGTATGTGGAATTACAATAATGTTCCTGTCTTGTTCCAAACAGAAAACAACATTTACGTTCATGACCTGTTGACATTTCAGCAGATCACAACAGTTTCCAAGGCGAAAGGTGCAACTCTCTTCACCTGTGACCTGAAGGCAAGTATAAGAAGATGGCATGCCTTATCCAATCTTGAAAAGGGGATTGACTGTGAGACCTTGGTGTGTGAGTCAAAAATGAACAGAGTATTGTCCTCAATAAAGGCTGGTTTCATGAGAGGAAAGTTCTATAGTTTTTAAATACCAAGAACACATGAATGTACTTGATAAAGTGCCTTCCACACTAATACATAGAGAACTATTTTTTTTCACAGCACTCTGACACAGGTGAAGAGGTCTTGAGGATGTGTGTGGCAGTGAAAAAGAAGCTCCAGCTGTATTACTGGAAGGACAGAGAGTTCTACGAGCTTCAGGTTTGTTTAGCCGTAGTCGTAATAATAATAATAATAATAATAATAATAAATTATTTGTACCCCACCCATCTGGCAGGGTTTCCCAAGCCACTCTGGGTGGCTTCCAACAAAGATTAAAAATAATAATACTTGTTTTTAAGATGTTTTTATTGTTTTATTACTTGTTTGCCAGCCTTGGCTCCTTTAAGAGGAATGTAATACATTTTAGTGCTTGTGCACCTGAATGCAAGCCTTCAGTCTTTCTGATATTAAAGGCCTCCTCACTTATGGTTAATTCAGATGTACTGCTTTTTTCTTCATGGAAAAGATGGCAGCTATCTAGCGTTTTGTTCATGGATCTTTGCTGTGAAATTCATATGGATTTTGCTTTCCCTCAAAACATATTTAATGTGTAAGGGAAGAGTATGTTGGCCTTGGCCTTGGATGAGAAGGTATAGGAAGGGATTTGAAGTTGTTTGCGTTTTTGTTTAGTGGATAGATTTCAAATGCCACCATATTTAGTTTCTGTTAAAGCAGCTTGCTTTGCTGGTAGATAATTGAGATGGCAATACAGACAAGCAAGGGATATTGCTATGCAGATATGTATAAAACAGTTTTCAAACTGTATAAAAACAGTTACCAGAGTAACTAGACCTTTTCTTTTCTTGATCTCCAGGGAGACTTCAGCGTGCCAGATGTACCCAAGTCAATGGCGTGGTGTGAAGATTCAATCTGTGTGGGTTTCAAGAGGGACTATTATCTAATAAGGGTAAGAGAGAGTTTAGACTAAGTCAGAATAATAAAGGTTGATTTTCTTCAGATTCAGTGAAGATGGGAATAGACTGTGACTACAGTATGAACTACTTGTGTATAATTAAGGCTGCAATTCTATGCAGACTTTGGGAGCAAGTCCCATTGAACCTAGTGAGAGTTAATTCCAAGTGAACATGTGTAGGATTGCTCTGTAAGGCCATATTTACACCCTATGTTTAACATTCTATGATACCACTAAATCAAGCCACGGCTTTGCCAAAAGAATTCTAGAAGCTGTAGTTTGTTAAGGGTACCGAAAGTTGTTAAGAGACCCTTTCTCTCACAGAGCTACAATTCCCAGAGTTCTCAGGGAAGAGGGATTGATGGTTAAACCTCTCTGGGAATTGTAGCTTGAGGAAGGAAACAGGGGTTGACTAAGACCTCTCAGCACCCTTAACACAGACTACAGCTCCCATGATTCTTTGGGGGAAGCCATGACTGTTTAAAGTGGTATCAGGGTGTGAATGTGGTAGCCTCAATGGAAGTTAGTTATGTTTGGGAGTTCTCAAAGGCATATGTTGGTACTGGATCTGCAGGGTTTTTAAGTGAAGTAATCTTGGTGGATGGGCTCCTGAAAGGAGAGACTATTTTCCTTCCTCTAATGATAAAAATCAGTCTAGTGTAGCTATTCTGTATGGATTGACTGGCTATGATTTTTCCTTTTGCAGGTGGATGGTAAAGGTTCCATCAAAGAACTCTTTCCCACAGGAAAGCAGCTTGAGCCACTGGTAGCCCCTTTGGCAGATGGGAAAGTTGCTGTAGGCCAGGACGATCTTACTGTTGTATTAAATGAAGAAGGAACTTGTACACAGAAATGTGCCTTGAACTGGACAGATATCCCAATAGCCATGGGTGAGAACTAGATCTTCGTCTTATAATAATAATAATAATAATAATAATAATAATATAAATAATATATTTCTACCCCATCCATCTGGCTGGGTTTTCCCAGCCACTCTGGGAGGCTTTCAACAGAACATTAAAAACAGAATAAAACTTCAAACATTAAAAACTTCCCTAAACAGGGCTGCCTTCAGATGTCTCCTAAAAGTCTGATGGGAGGGCGTTCCACAGGGCGGGTGCCACTGCCGAGAAGGCCCTCTGCCTGGTTCCCTGTAACCTTACTTCTCACAGTGAGGGAACTGCCAGAAGGCCTTCGGCGCTGAATCTCAGTGTCTGGGATGAATGTTGGGGGTGGAGATGCTCCTTCAGGTATACTGGGCTGAGGCCGTTTAAGTCAGTGACTACTGCCTTTTTCCTTAGCAGCCTCCTTTGAAACAAACAAATTACCTTGTCCTGGCCTCAACCCATGTTAGACTGCTGCCCATGTTAGCTAAATTTGTGCCTAATCCACATTTTCACGTAAATCAATATTGAAGGTTGTTAACTTGAGCAGCAAATGGCTTGTAAATGCAAATGATTCGATACTTAGAAGGAAGAGGAATGGAAGGTTGAATCTAAGGTGAAAAGGCAGAGAACAAGGTCACTGGGAGGCTTTTCTCCTGAGGTGGAGAATTGAACCAAAAAGGATTGTTACTATTATTTATTGTTATTAATTTATGAATCTTCTTTTACATATGTCTCAAGGTGATTTACAGACTTAACAATAAAAACAGCTAAAATGGTTTTAACAGTACAACCCCCCCCACCAGAAGATAGGTTTTAAAACAATACAAAAGGAATACCTAAGGTTATTATTATTATTTATTAATTTATGGTTGGATTTTACTATGCAGGATATCTAATCAGTGCAGGGTAGTTGATGCTAAGACTAATCAATTGCTTACAGATAAAGGGAACATTGTGGGACGTGGGTGGTGCTGTGGGTTAAACCACAGAGCCTAGGACTTGCTGATCGGAAGGTCGGCAGTTTGAATCCCCGTGATGGAGTGAGCTCCTGTTGTTCGGTCCCTGCTCCTGCCAACCTAGCAGTTCGAAAGCATGTCAAAGTGCAAGTAGATAAATAGGTACTGCTCCAGCGGGAAGGTAAACGGCGTTTCCGTGCACTGCTCTGGTTAGCCAGAAGTGGCTTAGTCATGCTGGCTTAGTCATGACCCAGAAGCTGTACGTCGGCTCCCTCGGCCAATAAAGCGAGATGAGTGCGCAACCCCAGAGTCTGCCACGACTGGACCTAATGGTCAGGGGTCCCTTTACCTTTACTTAAAGGGAACATTAAGAACAGTTCCGAATGCAAGCACTAGGGGGCAACATAACAAGGGACACAGTGCCCAGTTGGAGCAGAACAAGGATGCACGGGCAGAATGAAAGAGTGAGTTATACTTGAAATGAAGTTTGGTCTCTTGGTTATGCCTTCTTTTCAGTTTCTTTGCCACTCTTTCCCTGCCGTTAAAGTGGACCAATGGGAAAGGGCTTTTGAAAGCCTGAAAAGCACAAAAGTATAAAGCATGCTAATGCATAAAATGCAATAGATTCACTGTTTCCGAATGTAAATTTGGGGGATGCTGTTGTAGAACCAAATGCTGTTGCTGACTGTTCCATTTCCAAAACAGAACATCAACCACCGTACATTGTGGCAGTACTGCCAAGATATGTAGAGATTCGTACTTTTGAGCCCCGACTCCTCGTGCAGAGTATTGAGCTCCAGAGACCACGCTTCATTACTTCTGGAGGGTATGGAAGTTTCAAGTTTTTTTCTCCCATCTTTATAGATTCTAATCTTGTGCATATGCTTCTACTGAATTATTATTTTTTACATATTTATGAATTAAAGGGGACGGGGGAAAGACCTTTCATTTTATTATGATCATGTTGATAACCCAACTTCTTTCCTTTTTTTTCTTTTTAGTACAAATATTGTGTATGTGGCCAGCAATCATTTTGTTTGGCGCCTCATTCCGGTTTCTATTGCAACCCAGATCCAGCAGCTTCTTCAAGATAAGCAATTTGAACTGGCTCTGCAATTGGCAGTAAGTGGCAGGATGGGAGCATTTTAAATCTGTATTGATTGATAACTTCTGTAAGCTACTACCTAGTAAAAGCTGCATCTAATACACAGCCTAAACCCCCTGTTATTTGAGTGTCTTGGCATTAAACAAGTCCAGAATTTCGCATTCATCTGGGTCTGATCAGTGTCTGGGGATGGGTGAGTGTTTGGGAACCATGTATACATGACTTGCTACATGATGTAAGAAAAGTAATAATAAATGTGCAAGATATGTGCTTCTAGTATGTGTATTTATTTACAGTCTATGGCTCAAATTCCCTTGCAGTCCTGTTTAGTATAAGCCACTTTTGTGAAAAAGAAACCTGCACTGGGAACATGTGACTTGCCTAAGGCAACTCTGTGACCTTTAGGTTTTTCAGAAATTAGCATAAATATTTGGTAGAACAATCAGTTGATTATCTTTCTTTCAAGATGATGCGATGCATTCCCTTTTTCCCAGATTTAGTGCTATGAAGTTTTAACATGCGGTTTGTTTAGTTTAATATTGCATAAATATTTGTAACAGTTATACCGAGAATGAAAGCCTGTCTTGCAGTGCAACAACTGCAAGATAAAAGAGTGGGGAAAGACTTCAATTATAACTTTTACTGGGTCAGCTGCTTATGAAGATGGGAAGGTTTTGTGTTTCTGCTGAACTCTCTGAAGAATTTTGTACAGTTCAGTACTTTATTTCTAGAAGCATACTTGACCTGATAACAGGCATTGTCTGAATTACGATGTTATCTGTCTGTCAGAAACTGACAGATATTTCTGTCAACACACAATGCTATTGATTGCATCTACTTGGATTAAATAGCAGTTACTAACTGGAGGTTTTATCAACAAGCCCATGTTTCCTCCATGTAGTTTACGAATAACGGTGACTCTTTGTTGCAAGTGCCAAGAGTTCTCTTTTCAATTGAAATGATATTGTAGGGTTACATGATGTGAGCAGTTTACATTGATGCCTGGGTGCAAGAACAAATTAAAATTCTCAAGCATTGGTCGGTACAGTGGTACCTCGGGTTAAGTACTTATTTCGTTCCGGAGGTCCGTTCTTAACCTGAAACTGTTCTTAACCTGAAGCACCACTTTAGCTAATGGGGCCTCCTGCTGCTGCCGCGCCGCCGGAGCATGATTTCTGTTCTCATCCTGAAGCAAAGTTCTTAACCTGAAGCACTATTTCTGGGTTAGCGGAGTGTGTAACCTGAAGCGTATGTGTCAGGGGTTCAGGGAGAGAGGCACAGGGTAGGCAGGAGATGGAGAGCGATGGGGATGAATCCCAAGCCAGCGAGGAAGAGGATGACAATGACTCAAGAGATTCCATGAGTCTTTCCAGCGAATCAGAGGATTCCCAGAAGGGGCGCCGGTGGTCAAGGCCAGGGAGCCCCAGGGGGGACGTGTCAGGAGCAGGGGGGGCAGCGGAGGATCCCAAAGTGGCAGCTGGGCGTCAGGGCCAGCCTCCCCACCAGAGTGCAGCGAAGGGGGTGGAGTTTCCAGTGTATCAGGGGAAGCAGCTCCGGCAGCAGAGAAGGGAGGGAGGTCAGAGCAAGCCACCCTCCCAGAAGGGGAGGGGAGCAGTGAAGGGAGTAGTGTAACTGTCAAAAGGAAAGTTAGAGGTTTGGCACGCGCGCCAAGTTCAAATGTAGAGGCGCGCGGAAGTACAGGGAGCCCGGAGGAGGGGCCAGGTCCCAAAGCCCGCAGGAGGGGTCAGAGGAATCCAGGAGGGGCGAAACCCCAGCGGGCAGAAGGACCCTGCGGAAAAGGAAAGAGAGAAAGAGGTGGAGCAGCGCAAGCCTCTTAAATTGGTGCAGGGGAGGGACGGATTCAGAGGGGACTTCAGCGGTCTAAGCGTAGCAGACGTAGGGCTGCGCGCCTAGGATGTCAAGCAAACAATGAACTGCAATAAACACTTTTGTATATAAGAAGACATAGGCGTTGGTCTTTTGTGAGCTGAGACTTGAGGCAGCTTTGACAGTATGTAACCTGAAGCGTATGTAACCCAAGGTACCACTGTATTTCTCACTTGTGTGCATGAGTGAAACAGGATACATGCGATTCAGACTTGAGCTGCTCTTGTTACTGTATAAACATAGATAGAAACCTTGTTTCTCCTACTGAAGCACATTCCTCTTTTTTTACTAGTACTTTTTTACTATTTCTGAGCAATTTGCTTAAAACTGTGCTCATTTCAAGAGGCTCACAGCCTTTACACTTACGTATTTTCTTTTAAATACTGGAACTATCTTACACTGTTTAAAGAGTAACACTTCTTAAATCTTTTGCCTATTTTTGCACTTGTTAGGATATGAAGGATGACTCTGATACTGAAAAGCGACAACAAATCCATCATATTAAGAATCTGTATGCCTTCAACCTTTTCTGCCAAAAACGCTTTGATGAATCCATGCAAGTCTTTGCCAAGCTTGGGACAGGTAAGTTAGTTGTGTAGCCTGGACTTAATAGACAGATAGGTATGGGAGATTGCTGTGACCTCTAAAGTCTTCAAAGCAGAATGGAAGCAGAATGATATCGCACTAGGTGGAATCCTAATGTCCACTGGAGAATGACCTCTTCTAAAACAGTTCATGTTGACCTCAAGATCATAACAACTTAAATGACATCTACTTAATGGCAAATTCACATGGCATTGAGCTGTGGTCACTGGTCACACTGGAGGAAAGCAGCCTATGGCTAGATATCAGGAAATGTGTCCTAAAGTACCCATGTGAAAGGCCACTTGAAATTCGTATGCATGGCAAGCGTGAGGCTTCTGTTGTGTGAGACATCCCTATAGCTCTGGTCCGACCAGGTTGTATACTTTCAATCCATGTAGTAATAAACTCTCAAATCTTATATCTCTACCACTCTCAATGGAGCTACCATGGAAACATTTACATGGAAACATTTACTGTCGTCTGTGAAAGCTGGCCATAAGAACAGTTGGCCAAGGGACCAGTTTGTTGATGGAAGCTGTGGAAATGTGAAATTTCCTGCCTTCCAACTTCCAGTCTGAGATCCTTATATTGTTTATGGTAACTTATAACTGGAAACTTGGTAGTATTGAGTTTGAAAACGGAATACACTTTGAAGTATAGTTTGGATTTTTTGTGACTTAACTACAGTCATATATTTTGTTTAGATCCTACCCATGTCATGGGTCTCTATCCCGAACTGTTGCCCAGTGATTACAAGAAACAGCTCCAGTATCCCAACCCTGTTCCAGTTCTGTCTCCAGCAGAGCTGGAGAAAGCACACTTGGCACTGATAGACTACCTAACACAGGTAAGTGTTTAGCAGCTCCTTGAGCATCCTGTTTTTGCTAGTAGATGGTCATGTGACTGTTTTGACATTGCAGGACCTCCTGAAATTATTTTTCATGTGTTTTGGGCTTAGCAGCTATGGCCTCACCTAACATGTTAAAAGGAGGGTGTGAAGCACGATCTCTTGTACATATCAGAGCAGTCTCATGAAAAGCTTTCATGCTTAAAAAAGTCACATTGCCATGTGGTGGGGTGCTTGGGATTCATTATCATACGCTGCATCAGCTCTTTCTTTGCTGTTCATATAGCACTGTCAGCATACACAGTACTGGACAGAGTAACAAACACATGAAAGACATCTCCCTCTGCCCAGTGAGCTTACAGTCCAAATGCTGACCATGTGCAGAGAGAAGGGGGAGGGGCTTCAAGGTTAACAGAATATTAGAAAAAGGAGAAGAATGGGAGAAGCCAGTACAACAAAAACTAACAAGCAAATGCAGTTTGTCTGAACCCATGTGGATAAAAAGGTTGCAGTCACATGCAGTTTTTCTCTGAGGTAATGTGGGTGAGGTGTGGCATGAATTCACTTCTTTTGACTCTTAATTTCTGCAGAAAAGAAGTCAGTTAGTGAAAAAGCTGAATGACTCAGACCATCAGTCCAGCACTTCTCCCCTCATGGAGGGGACTCCCACCATCAAATCAAAGAAGAAGTTGCTGCAGATCATTGATACCACTCTGTTGAAATGCTACCTCCATGTGAGTTCTCTGCATTTTCTGAAATACACGTGTCTTCCTCAAACCAGGCATTTAGGGTTTTGGTGTTGAAAACTCAGGACTAATAGTGGCAAGGGTTTAGATTGAGTTTAAGTCCCTCTTTAAGCTTAAAATACTAAAGGTGAAAACAGACATAACATTTTGGGGCACCTGCACTTATCTCAGATCTTTCCTGGGTGCAATCTAAGCTGTGGTCAGTATCTTCATTGAAACTCTTCACAGCTGAAATATATCCTGCTTGCCTTTAAATTGCACCAAGATTTTTAGAGGACAATATTCAGAGGAAAAATTAATAATATGATGGGTTTGTTTTGGTCATGCTGAATCTTAGTAACTGTCATTTGGTCTCTGTTGTTTGCGAAAATGGTAGATTGTTCTTAATATGGCAATCTCTTACTAAACAAGAAAAGGGGCCGGTTGTCTGGTTGTTTGAGATACAAATCTGAATATGAAGGAAAGTGCCTGTGTGGGTTTTTTTAGGAGGAGAGTAAATACCCTGGAATATTATTGTTTCCCCTTGCTTAATTTTTTTAAAATAAAAAAATGGAATAAAAGATTAACAAACTAGCTCTTTGCTAGTTTAAGCACATAAGTACATAGCCCTACTACATGCGAAGACTTGTTTTTAATTAAATACTTAGATTTGTAATAAGTATCTTCCTTTTTCTGGTTCTAAATGCATGCCTCTTTTGGTTCATAGTAAACTGTTTCTGATTCCCTCAAATTGCTCCTCCTTACTGACAGACCAATGTGGCCCTAGTGGCACCACTGTTGCGACTGGAGAACAATCACTGCCACATAGAGGAAAGTGAGCATGTGCTCAAGAAAGCTCACAAATACAGCGAGCTGATCATACTGTATGAGAAGAAAGGTCTGCATGAGAAAGGTAAATTCTGTGGGGTGGGAATCAATTGGTATGTACTGTATTTTTTGCTCCATAAGACGCACTTTTCCCCTCTTAAAATCTAAGGGGAAATGTCTGTGCGTCTTATGGAGCGAATGTGTGGTCCGTGGGGCTGGGGGGGGGGGAACCCGGGCTTCCCCCGCCAGCCCCGACAAGCTCCTGAGCAGCTCTGGGGTAGCCTGTGAAGCCTCCGCAGGGCAGCGGCGAGTCTTCATCCCGCTGCCCTGGGGAGGCTTCGCACGGCTATCCCTGGCTTTTGCGGGAGGTGGGGGAAGGGACAGAGTGAGGCTCTCTCACTTCCCCCACCTCCCACAAAAGCCCCCAAGAGCCGCATATTTTTTTTCTTGAATTCCCCCCCCCCCCCAAAAAAAGTAGGTGCGCCTTATGGTCAGGTGCGCCTTATGGAGTGAAAAATACGGTAAGATAGACCTTGTAAATCTATCTGGCTTAGATCTATCCTGGCTAAAAGGTGCCCAAAAGTATTATTTAATGACCTCTGCCATTTGGGTCACTTCAAAAAATGTAGCTGCTATATTGTTTGGGGCATGTTTTCCTAATGCCCCTTAGATGTGCTTTTATTTAGGTCAGTGATACCTATGGAGCAGGTTGGCCCTATGCATTTATGGTCTCTCAGTTGTGGGGAGACACACGGAGGGGCACCAGCATTTGAAGGGACGGAAGTGACAAGTAGGTTGCTAACACCAAGTTTCAGGATTTGAATATATTATTATTATTATTATTTACATTTGTTTGCTGCCTTTTACCAAAAAAAGTGAGTCTCAGAGTGACTTAAGATAAAATACAACTGGTAAAAACAGTGGAAGCCAGAAAGTTAAAACAACAGATAATACAAAATATTTAAAATGCCCACCCAATAACATAATGTAACTCCTACCCACCCCACTAAAAGATGAACTCCAACATAGAAGCCATAGTTATCAAAAGCCTGAGTGAATAAAAATAGATAACGATGGCATGAGGAGTGCTTTCTAGTACTTGAAGCCAGGGGTGGGGGTGGGGCGGCTGCGTTGAGGGGACCCTTTAGTTTGCAATCTCAACAGACCTTTTGTATTACACTATTTTAACTTTTTAGTTAATTGCAACTTTACAATATCAAATGGCTTCATAGGGCAAAGACAAAGCTACATCAAAAGGATACTCTTGATGCTGTAAATTTTATCATTTTGTGCTGTTCATGTTTCTCTGTCAATTAACTCTTACTGGATAGCCATTCTACTACTGCTGCTGCTGCTACGCTCTTCTGTGAGGGAACTGGTTTTAGGGCATTTTGTTTCCCAATACTTCCATATCCAGGGCAGAACAGCATAGGGAATGGCAGACAAATAAATTCCCAGAGGCGGGGGGGGGGGGGGGAGAAAGAGGAAGCATGCAAGAAGCTGTCATAGTAGCATATATTACGTTACAGACATGTGGATGTTAATAATAGAATTCAAAGTACTGTCTTGACCTTTTGATCAAGAGTGAACAGACTCCTGGCCTGTTGGATCTACAGTTTGTCCAGCAACCAGATTCTGGTGCAAACCACATACAGATAGAATTAAAGAACAGATTCCATTCTGAGCCTGAAAACTTGTGTTCAGAGCTGGAATTGAGGTGAACTTGCTGTCTTTTCACACAAAAGTCCAATACTACTTAGTTTTCTTCATTTCAGCAGTCTAATTTAGGTGGGGAAAGTCATTTTGTTGCTGCTGTAAACAATCGGGACTCAGAAATTCTTGCCACATGACTGCAAAGCACCCAGAGATTTACCAGTAGATCCCAATCTACCTTCATGCTCATCTCCACCAAACAATATTGTATGTGTTTATGTAAGGGAAGACTGCTTCTGGTTTGTCATGGCACGAAACACACAGTTCTTCGTATTAACTGAGGGGCCTTGGTCATGGGTAACTAAAGGAAAATCCCAATAGGTCTTTCTTCTGTTTTTCTGCAGCTTTGCAGGTGCTAGTGGATCAGTCAAAGAAAGCTAACTCCCCCTTGAAGGGCCATGAGAGGACCGTGCAGTATTTGCAACACTTGGGTGAGTGCAGCTGAATATACCTTCTGTTTTCACATCTTGTCCTACCTTTCCATGGAACAAATACAGTAGATTGTGGTGGCTCACAAAAGACAAATGAGAAAAACCCACCCCACACTCCAAAATAATTCACAGAATTATTTATGAGTCAGTTTCATAAATTTGGTTGACCATACAGTGAAAATATGAAAACCTGTGGACATCAGTCAACTCAGCCCAAAATTTTAAGTGAAGTGGGTTCTCTTGATCTCCCAGAGATGGAGCTTAAGTCTGATAGGCTTCTTTGGGAGCAGCATTAGAAATTATGGTGGCATTAACAGTCATGTCCTAATATTCAGAGAAAGGCATCCCAGCAGGGTAATTTTTCCCTAAAAGGGACTCAAGGCAGCTTGTAAAAAGTGCCTTAAAAAAAAAAACTTTTTTAAAGTGATGGATCTAGTTGTCATTTACACCTTACTCTATAGCTTGCAGTCTAGTTCAATTCCATTTTGCTTTGTTTCTTATTCTAGGCACAGACAACTTGAACTTAATATTCTCCTATTCTGTTTGGGTACTTAGAGACTTTCCTGAAGATGGATTGAAAGTAAGCACACTTGGTCACATTTGAAAATAAAGGTGGAGAGAATTAGGGTGTGCCTACTGACTGCGCGGGTGGCGCTGTGGGTAAAACCTCAGTGCCTAGGACTTGCCGATCGTAAGGTCGGCGGTTTGAATCCCTGTGACGGGGTGAGCTCCCGTCGTTCGGTCCCGGCTCCTGCCAACCTAGCAGTTCAAAAGCACCCCTAAGTGCAAGTAGATAAATAGGGACCACTTTATAGCGGGAAGGTAACGGCGTTCCATGTGCGGCGCTGGTGCTGGCTCGCCAGACGCAGCTTCGTCACGCTGGCCACGTGACCCGGAAGTGTCTTTGAACAGCGCCGGCTCCCGGCCTCTTGAGCGAGATGAGCACGCAACCCTAGAGTCGGTCACGACTGGCCTTTGGGCAGGTGTACCTTTACCTTTACCTTTACTGACTGCACTGATGGTAAAGCAAATAATATTAGGCAGATCCTTCTAATATTTCACTCGCTTAGTTCACACTCATAAGGCTATCATAATTGTAAATAAAGGGCTGCTTTAAGTGTTCTGGGTCCACACAAAGACCCTTATAAATTGCTCTAAATAGTAGCTTTTCCTCTGTGGCTGTATACGGCCTCTCTCACATAGATTTGTAAATACTGACCATTCTACCTCATGTGTCCAAAAAGAAAGCTGCTGCATATACCATATTTACTCAAGTCTAATGCACCATCAAATCTAATGCGCACCTTAATTTTCAGAACCTTGAAACTAAAAAAAGTATTTGCTGGCAAATGTAAATCTGCCATTGAATCTAATGCACACCTTAATTTTCATAATTTGGCCAAAAAAGGTGAGTGTTAGATTAAATATGGTAATATCTACCATAACATGTTGACAGAAGCCACAGTTACAAGTTAGCAATAACTCAGATTATCTGTTTGTATGCAGCAGCTTTGCAGTACTTGAAAAATGCATCTTCCTTACTTTATTGAAAGCTTATCTTGCTTATCCTTACTTACCAGTAATGTCTAGAGTCGACTAAGGAAAGCAAAAAGAAGCTGTGAAGTACATCTAGGGTACACCAAGCCCACAATAGCTTTTCGAACCCAGTCACTGAAAGACAGGATGAAGTTGGTAGCTCTAAGTGAGGTTTCATCAAAGCTTGAGTTGCATCAGTTCTCGTTGTTTGGTTTTAGAAGACAATAATTGCCTGTTGCTGTGCTGAATGTGGCCTGGTTTGCACAACCTGGTAAACTAAATTATGACTTACCAAGGCCGCAAGCAGTTCTAGAGAAAAACTTCCAGTCAAGAACAAACCTTGACTACAGCTTGTGGTTAGGGCGGGGAGAGTTTAACCAAAAGTCCCAGTTCACATGACGTGCTAAGCCAAACCCTGGGTTAGTTCAGTGTGGCACAATAGTAAGACCAGGAAGAAGCAAAGTAGCTGCAAGTTCCTTTCCAGAACCTGGTCAATAAGTAGAGGTCATGAATGCATGCAATATCTCAGTTTAATAGGGACACTGGCTATAGAATGCTACTTGCTGATACAGAGAAATAGGGCAAGAGGTTTACCTGCAGTGTTCTGTGTTTGTATATTGTGCTTTCAGCTGGAGAAGGTTGAAGCTTAATTGCTGCTGCTCCTTCAGAAAGATATTGTGTGTCATTTTGGGGCTTGTGAATTGAAGTGTTTGACTTCCCTTGGAAAAATGAGTGTAAATGTACACAAATTAACTTTGTGAAATTCAACCTTTTTGACTGGCAGATATTCACAGAAGATCTTCCTGAAGTGGAATCCCTTCCTCGAAACAAAGTCCTCAGTTTCTTGATAGAGAACTTTAAAAACCTGGCTGTTCCGTACTTGGTAAGAACTCATGCTGTTACCTGCATGCCCTGTTCTGATAACAGCAATTTGTGTCTGACTTCTAGGTCTATCTGACACAATTTTTGAAGGTGAGCAAATTATAAACATGTAGCAGTAGCTAATCCAGGACGTATGTAGCCGGTTTTGTAGGATTCCTGGTTTATATGAAGGAAGAAAAAAGTGGCTTCTCTTGAACACACATTGAAATATTGATGGGAAGAGGCAGGGTCTTCTACGGTCAGCTGTCATACATGGATTGTGGACATGTATTTACAGGAACATATAATCCAAACCTGGGAAGAGGCTGGTTCAGAGTTCCACAACTGCCTGATTCAGCTCTACTGTGAAAAAGTGCAAGGATTAATGAAGGAATATCTCAGCTCTTTTCCTCCAGGTATTTTCACCCCTGGTCTACTTCAGTGTGCCAAAATAATAAACTATGGGACAAACTATGGAGAAGAGGTAGTTGAATAAAAGAATTGGGAGGCAGCATGCTTCTGAATACCAGTTGCTGGCAATTGCAGGTGGGGATAAAACTGTTGGATTGGCCACTGTGAGGACAGGAAGCTGGATTAGATGGACCTTTGTTTTTAAACACAAGGGTGATTCTGTAGATTGCAGACTGTAAGTAGCTACTGTTAGGTAATGTATCTTAGTTGTGCGCTATTAGGAACATTATTAAATTTTACTTCGCATGAGATGTTCAGAAGCATCTTTGATTCAGTGCGTCTCCTGTCTAATGGGAGTGAGACTTCAGATAACTTCATTTTATGGCTTCACATTTGCTGATGCTAACCATCTGTTTCAGATAAACCACTGGTGGCAGCTGGAGAAGAGGAGGGGGAACTCGGAGAGTATCGGCAAAAACTTCTTTTCTTCCTTGAGACTTCCAGTTGCTACAATGCTGAGCAGCTCATCAGTGACTTCCCCTTTGATGGTAAGAGATGGTGCAGCCTTATTGGTCTCCTTCATTCCTGGGGGCAATTAGCTATAGCTATTGCAGTGGAATCGTATTTTTTAGTCCTTTTTAAAAAAATTTAAGACATTTTAAGTGCTGGAAAAGAGAATGTAGCCAGTTATCTATGTCTCAGTAATGTAAAGGGATTTCCCCTTATTATTATTAAATTTTATATTGGCACCCGCTCCATCCTGCCAAAGGAGCCTAGGGTAGCATGTCTGTGTTGGCCTATTGTGGAAGAGATGCTGCATAATGGCCCTTTATAAATATATCTGTTACTGTTGATGGAGGACAATTGACTGTTTTATGTGAAGAGCAATGTTTACAATGCTCACTGTTTGAGAAGCTATGGGTAACTGAAAAGTGGTGCACAGAGGAATAAAAACAACAACAACAGCCGACAGTGTGATGCTACTGATTTATAGAATAAACTGAGCTCTTCCTCTTCCTTCTGTCCAGGTATTGTAACAAAAGATGATCTTCCTCTGCTGCTTAGTTTCCTCTTGTCCTCTTACTCATTTTCATGACAAATTCCCATAGCCAACTTTGCAGAATTGTGTTGCTGTTGAAGGCAATAATAGCTACTTTTGTTCTACTCCTGCCTGCAGGCCTCCTAGAAGAACGTGCTCTGCTGCTGGGACGGATGGGAAATCATGAACAAGCTCTCTTCATATATGTTCACATCCTGAAGGATACAAAAATGGCTGAAAAGTACGTCTCTGCTTAACAGTAACACTTTGTTAGTTTTTAAAGAAACAAACCAACTTAGCAAACTTCTTACCTGTTTAAGTGGGAGGTGTAGTAATTTCCCACCTTAATGTAGTCATTTCCCACCTTAATTTGTCCCCCTCTGCATCGGGGGTCGCCAGCCTTTGTGGCACATCTGCTAACTAGAGAAACTGTTGCAGGCACCACACACACATTGCAGCCTATTGGAAAGGAAATGAGCCTAATCTGAACAAATGAAAGGTGGGGAAGAGAGCCTTGTGTGTCATATTGTAATTAGCAAAGGGGTCCTAGTAGCTAGTTCATTAACAGTCTTAAGAACATAAGAAATTAGCAGGTGTACTTACCAAGCTATCCTTGTTTGTTTGTTTTGTTGTATAGACATATGATTCATTGTGCAAATATGTGTGTATAAATATGGCATAGAAAAATGTTTTAATCCTGGAAAGTATTTTTCTTTCTTACATGTGATCAGTCCTTTTTAACCTTTTAATTTGCAAACTGAGAAACCAGTTGATAGGCATCCATCTGCCTCGGGAGACAATGGAAGAGTTTGCCTTTGGGGGTAAAGTCAAACTGTTGGAAGGTTGCAGCATAGTACTCACTGATAATTGTAGGGTAATAAGTCAAAATATGTAATTTTTAAAATAAGCTGGACTTCAAGGCCACTCTGAGTTTCCTGTATACGCTGTTGTGTTTCAGTTACTGTCACAAACACTACGACAAAAGCAAAGATGGCAGCAAAGATGTGAGTAGCTTATTTTCTGTTATCTTGGAGTTTACAAAACACGCTTCCTTTAATTATCCTGTTTCTGTTACATAGTTTGTAGCATCAACAAATTTCATGGCAGGTAATTGGAGTAAAAGATTTTATGCCCGAAACAAATGAGCTTGCAAGGCTTGAAATTTTATAAGTATTCAAGTCATTTAAATACTCAGGTGTTGCTTGGTGTGTGTGTGTGTGTGCAAATCAAGCAATCTCTTATTTCCAAGCAAATTGCTTTGGAAAATATACTGTTGTATTTGAAGCAACTTCGCACTCTGCAGCGGTGAGTGGGGCTCATTGCCAAGGCCATCATTTCTCCCCTGGTGGAGGAGCTTCATCTGCCTTGGCCTCCTAGTATTATATTGCTACAAAACTTGTTTCAGGCAGTTACTGCACAGGCATGACTGAGCTTGTGCGGTTTCAGTTGGCCAGCCTCACACAATAGGTCCCTAGAGCAGCAGCAACCTCATCATTAGGCCCCCTTTCTTCCCATTAATCACAGTTGTGTGTGAAGTGGGAAAAGGAGTGGTGGCTTGGGCAGCAGGAGGCTATGTAGCTAACAGAGGATTAAATGGAGGGTAGAACAGGGCTACTAGCCACAATGGCTGTGCTCTGGCTCCACGGTCGGAGGTACTACAGTGGAACCTCGGGTTGCGGACATAATCTGTGATGGAGGCACGTAAGCAACCCGCAGCGTTCGCATCCTGAAGCGCTGCGTCTGCGCAGGCGCTGTCGTGATTTGGCGCTTCTGCGCATGCGCGAGAGGCGAAACCTGGAAGTAACCCATTCCGGTATTTCCGGATTTCCCGCAGTCCACAACCTGAAAACACGTAACCTGAAGCATCCGTAACATGGGGTATGAATGTAATGCTTCTGAGTACCAGCTGAACAGGAGGGGAGAGCACTCTTGTGCTCAATTTCTGCTTGTGGGTTTCCCACGGATCTGGTTGGACACTGTAAGAACAGGATGCTGGACCTGATGGGCAGGCTCTTACATTTTTACAAGGAAATAGGTGTGCTTGCACGGTCACACATTTATGTCTGCTACTTAATTTTACCTTTGTACAGTAGGATTGTTTCTACACGTATGCATTGCAGTATACCTTCCATTAGCAGGCATAAATACCTAAGGTTGTTGCAATATACTAATTAGTGCATTTCTTTCGCAGATAAAGATCAGCTTTAACTTCTGCAATAAATGTTTTCCCAGGAGCGCTGTGGACTCTTGTTCATACCATTTGAGCAAGAGCTTATATAAAGCTGTAAATACTTATGGTCAAGATAAGAGTTTTGTTATAAGATGGGCACTGTCTCTGTCTGGGGTGGCATACTTAGTCCCCGACATTTTGGAGTGGATTTTAAATACAGTGGTTTGCTTTGTGTCAAACAGGTATACTTGTCTCTTCTCCGGATGTACCTCTCACCACCTAGCGTTCACTGCTTGGGACCAATCAAGATGAAACTATTGGAGCCTCAAGCCAATCTCCAGGCTGCATTGCAGGTTTTGGAACTTCATCACAGCAAGTTGGACACTACCAAAGTAAGGATTATTATTTTTTAATGAAGCACACTGCATTGTGGAATGGAGTAGATATGATGCAAGAAACCTCTATTGCATATTGCATTAAAATAAACTAGCTTTTGTGTTTGAATACCCCTTTTTCTTCCACAAGCTGCTTGAAGGGCCACTTTCTTTGCAAATAAAATTAAGCTGTATCCAGAGAATTTGTTTTTTTAAAGAGTTAACGTACATGTAACTTGTGAATTTATTTATACCAAATTTTGCAAGATATATTCCTCCCCCTGCCCATACTCACAACCATGAAAAGTTGGAATACTGGAACTGTATTTTGGAAGAATCCTAACATATTAATTTCCCTTTGGTTGTATCTGTAGGCAATAAACCTCCTCCCAGCAAATACTCAGATTAGCGAGATTCGAATCTTCCTGGAAAAGGTCCTTGAAGAAAATGCCCAGAAGAAAAGATTCAGTCAAGTACTTAAAAATCTTCTCCATGCTGAATTCCTGAGAGTATGTTGTTCATGTTACTTCTCCATATTTATCAAAGGGAATGTTTAAAGCAATTGTTGGGCTATTGTATGTGAGGGGGTTGTTTGGTAGAGAAACTGGTAAATTGTAATACCAAAAAACAGCAACAATAATTAGTTTAACTGTTATGAAGGTAATTTTCATATTTCTTCAGGGTGTGTGGGAATGTTCTATTCTATTTGTTCTTATTTTGCCATAGGTACAGGAGGAACGGATTTTACACCAGCAAGTGAAATGTATAATCACAGAGGAGAAACTTTGCAGTGTGTGTAAAAAGAAGATTGGAAATAGGTATGTGGAAATTGCTACTCAGTCTGATTTTTGCACAATTTTTGTGGAAGAGCAGCAGTAGGCTAGGATGCCTGCCGAAGCATTCTTAGAGTGTACAGTTAATTCTCTGACAATGCACTCCTAAGCATGTTTATTCAGAAAAAAGAACTGCTAGATTCAATGAGAATTCCTCCTTGATAAGTAGGTATCAGGAGGGGGTATGGTGGTGGAATTCACTTGGCTTGCCTCTTAGCGTGAACTTTTCTGAATCAAATAAGTGAACTGACATAGCTATCCTTTGGAATTCATGCTTATTCAACGTTTGTGATGCAGTTCTCCAAAAAGGATGCACAAAAATGCAACATGAAAACTTCTACATGTCTGTGGTTTTGGAATTTTTGAAAATATCTTTTAAGTCTTGCCAAACACTAGATAAGCCACCTACTAGCAAGAAGGGAAGGAAACATGCACACGCTGCTACAGGAACACAAAGGAAACAAAACACTAAGAACTGCAGAGAGAAAGGCTGGTTGAGACGTGACCTTTCAAAAAGTATAGATTTTTGTAAAGAGGAGCCTGTTCTGTGTCCTTTTAAAGATAACTAAACCAAGTGGTGTTTTTAATATTATTTTTAAATTATTAAGATAACCAGATAACTTGATGCACCTACCTTTTCTCTTCCTATAGTGCCTTCGCCCGTTATCCTAATGCAATAGTCGTGCATTATTTCTGTTCCAAAGAAGTGAGTGCAGCAGACACCTGAAATGATTGTCATGTGGACTGCAGAAGCCATGGTGCTTATCTGGAAGGAGCGCGAAGAGAATTGGAGGCATTGGAGAAATTGGAGGAATCTTCTGAGGCATGTTGCTTACAAACAACTTGAGCCCCACGTCGCTTTACCAGATGACTCGCCATGTAATCTGCCAATGCTGGCATAGTAGGGGAAACTGACATCTAACTATTATTTTATATACTTGGCATCAGGTTAGCCTCAGAGCACTTCAGCATGAGGAAGAATGAAAGCTAAATAGCAACAAGATGCCATCACGCTCCAGTTTTTGTAGCAATTCTTGTTCCAAGGAAAACACAAGTCAAATTATCAAGTCAAGCAAGGCAGAAATGCATTTTGTGTTGGATTCTGCATTCTGATCATAGTTGGGGAAAATTATATGATTGTTTCATCAGCATTACATTGAGATCCACTTTTATCAGTCATTTGGAGGCAGGCACTTCCAGAGAGGCTGTACCCAGATTTCCTTACTGTTAATGTTGGATATAAATAGGCATTGGCCATCGAACATTATTCTTTGTATTTGGGAGTGGTTATCACCACTGATAGAAAAGTTCCAAGGGAACTAGTCTAATAACAATATGATCAGAACTGGAAAATGTGTATTATTATTTTTTGAGAAGCATGTAAATTTGAATGAGCATAATATTTGCACTGTGTATAGTCACTTCGATTATGAGTAGAATGAAAAGTGACAATGATTTTTCTGAAGGGAGGGGGAAGTAGCATCTGCACTTGTACCAAAATGTTAAAGGAGCAACTTCTTTAAAAATCAGATTTCAAAGTGGGTGGGTGTTTTATATTGAGCACCTGGTCTGCACTTTGGAGTCACTATTGTGTTGAAGTGGTTAAGTCTTCATGAATACTCCAGCTTTTGAGTAATGCAGACACTTCCATTGCAGTATTTTTAGTTCCCTATTATGTTCCCACTGGTGCTCCTCTGTAGCTTTGCTGTACCCTCATTGCTGTGATACTGAAAAACCCTGGGCCCTTGCAGGTTGTAATGTTATTGTCTTAACATTATTTTTAAAAGCCTAATCTTTTATGAAGGTGATAAAGATGAATTTGAGAGTTCAGCAGCAGGTAAACAAAGGCTTGTAGTAGGAGCAATTGGTTCAGAGGATCTGAATGGGGAAGTTATCTCAACATCCCATAACAGCTATTTATTATTTTTTAGTTTTTTGTGACTGTAATCATTCAGTGATTTATAGTTTTTGGCAGAAAGTCACCATAGTTGAGGAAATAAAAGTTAAGGAAAAGCCTTTCTATGCTGTTTTGATTTCACTACGTGCTTGGTAAGATCCTAAGATGAGTGAAACACTAGGATAAATTTAGTGCGCAATTTGATCTGCTGCAAAACAGCTTGGCCTTTTCTAGGAGCTGCTTCCCTGGCTACCTTAAGCACACTGTCCAGTGAAGTCTATCCTCAATGTCACATCTATTTCTGTGTTATGTGCAGTGAATACCAACTGTGTCTTACTGCTGGGTTTGGGATTTGTTCTTCTGCTAAGATTAAACTGATTTTTGGTACTTTGTTCCCTTAAATCCATAGAGTGTCAATGCAGTATGTTTGTTGCTTTTGTTCAGCTTCCTAGACTAGACAGGTACTACAGGTGAAGACTACACGAGATATTAATATGTAAAGGACAGCAAAATGAAGTGTTTACATAGAAACTATTATTTGTGCAGTCCATTCTGACACAGATTAATGATATGTCTGCTGCCAGTAAAGCCACATGCTCCACTGAGGCATCTCAAGTGTACTTTTCTCCTTCACAGAAAAGCTTTTATGTGCCTCGATTCAGCTTCATTGCATACCTTCTGCAGAGAAGTGGCTTACGCTATAATTGCCTGCTGGTAGCCTTGCACAGTGTCTGGGATTCACTAACTGTACAACAGGTTAATTTGAAGCAATAAATTATTATAAATATTTGGGAAACCTGCATATTCTTTCCCCCCTTAAAATAAAATTTTATATTGTACTTCCTTTTCAGACTTAGCTGTGTGCAGTCTCAAACATTAATTCTTGTCATTAAAGGTTTTTTATACAGGTTGTGATTCAGACAAAGGATGTTGCCAATCTAGTTCCCAAAGGTGAGGCACAGTTGCTACACTACAGAATTGTTGCTGTTCAAACCTGAACCACAGGATCTACCTGTATTATGACATTCAGGTTTTTTAATCATGCTGTGCTATTATTTCAGAAGCTGTTCACATTTAGCCTACATTTTCAAGTATGACCTTTAAACAATATTTTGCTGATATATGGAAATACAAGTTGGAAAACTTCTTAAAATGATAACAGATTTTCATGTAGATAATGCAGGGTTAGAAGTAGTAAATGAAACTTTACAGAGAACAGTTATTTCAACTGATTCTTTCTCAAGCAGTTTCATTAACCTTTTAATAGGTCTACCCAAGAGTAATCAGGCAGTGGTGTGCAAAGTATTTAGGTTTCCATTCTCCTGAGCATTCACGATGTGTTACTGTAGTGTAAGAGTCATGACCTTTCTCATTATATTGCCAATGCATTAGTGACATAGACATGGTATCTGAAGAAGTGTGCATGCACACGAAAGTTTATACCCAGAACAAACGTAGTTGCTGGACTATATATATATATATATATATATATATATTGTGGACATGGGGTGTTAGGGGATAAGTAGTACGTTGTGCTCCTTCTGGGGTAGTTTGTCCACCTTTGGTCCCCACTTTGCACTCCACTCTCACCTGTGGCTCCTAGGAGCTGTCAGCATGTGACAGCAACCACACCCCAGGAACAGCTTTGACTGGTTGGCTAAACCAGGTGAGAGTAACTGATGGGTCTCAGACCCTTGGTGAGTTGCATGCGGTTTCCATCGCATCCAAAGACAGGTTCTGGCAAATTGAGTGGATGAGACTTATAGTGGGTCCCAGCAGTCCAAAAGGCAGTTTCTGCATGTGCTATAGAGGGGCAGACGGGGCTTGTCCACCTAGGAAGGTAGGCCATCTAGAAGGAAAACTCTGATCCTAAGCCTCTGCTACCTAGCACAACATTTCCAAGAGAAGAAAAGGCTAAGGAGTAAACCCTACACAAATATGGAGTGGAGTTCCCTAAGATGGTTGGATGGCACCTTGTACGCCTCCTTCCAGTAACCCCTGCAGCCAACTTGTGCCGCATCAGCAAGGCCGAGAATGAGGTATTGTCATTTGAGCCGCCCAGGACCTCCATCCACACTGCCCAGATTTGCACCCCAGGGAGGTAAATTCATCCCCAGAGGCACATCCCATTATCTGTCAAGACAGACAGATGCCAACAGTGACATGGAAAGAAATTAGTCAGCTCTAATTCTTTTTAGAGATTGAGCATATGCTGAAAGAATGTAGATGGGTAAACAATCCTTACAACCCCATTGGCAAAATAACATGTGGATTGTAGTAAGGCAACTAGCTCAGGCTCAGCCTCTCGGTATCCTATAAAGAGGTCAACAAACTGGAACTTGGAGATGTGTTCTCATAACCACTACTCTGTAAAAATATGATCCAGTTTTTGCAATTATTTCAAAAATCCCTGCATTTTAAATTTCTTTTTAGTTTCCCATTCCACAGGACATTGGAAGAATAACTAAAGATGCTAACTAAATAAATTTCATAATCTCTGCCATAAATGGTTTTCCCAGAAAGCTGATACATGATTATTGAGATGTACCATTTTTAAATCAAATAAGCAAAACAGATCAATCTAAACATTTATGTTCACTATCTAAAAGTACTGATTTAAGAAATATGGATTGTATTCAATGTGTAATATTAAGCAGATTGTTGTCTTAGCACAAGGTTTTCCTTGCACAACTGAACAATCTTTCCCTATTTGCCCTCTAAATTTGGGAGTTCCCCTCAATCCTCCAGAATAGATTTGGGGATGGTAGGGACGGAATCCTGTTGCGCTAGCATTAATCCTTGCACTAGTGTAACTGTTTAGTCTGCCCCATGCAACAACGTGTCAATATGACTCAGTATTTGGAAACGTTATTTCCAATGAAGACACATTTGAATTGTCTCCTCTACAATGGTTTAAAATGGATCATTAGACAAAAGAAATAGCTCAGGGTCAGGATTGCCATACGTCCGGAATTTCCAGACATATTCGGAATGCTGCAGCCGCAAGCAGTGTCTGGGCAAAAATCGGTGAAATGTCTGGGAATATCTGGACGTATGGCAGTGTTGTTTTTGCTGATTTTCCTCAGAAATAACTCAAAAACATCCAATTTCTTTGCGAATTAACTGTAGAAGAGAAATACATACCATAAAAATGGAAAAAGTCTTAAAAGAGCAGGAGCATATGTTACAGATCTATATGCTGCCTGTAGTCTACAAAGTACAGGAAAGGGTGCTACTGAAGATCTTGCTGCATCAAGTCCACATCCAATAAGGCAAGCTGCTTTGTCTTGTTGGCTGCAGAAGCTACAGCCAGTGGTGACTACCAGGAAACTTGATGGTTTACTAGCTAAACTTATAAATGCTCGCCTCACCTTGTGGATGGCAGCTTCTGTTTATTAGACAAGAATAAGCAGTTGAGTTCCTAAACCTCAGAAAACATTTTTTTCTATGGATTCCAAAGTAGACTTTTAAGTATTGTATGTGTGCACACGCACACACATACGAACACAGAGCATATGTATTTGCACCATTTCTAGATTGAGCAGATTCCTGTCGACCAAAAACTTATGTATTCCACACATTCTTTTGTAGGTATTGAGTACGTTTTGTGTTATCAGTTTAATATTTTAAAAATTGCAGGAATTAAGGGAATACATTTTCACCTAGGCAATAGCAGAGGAAGTACAACAGAACTACCACAGTACTGGCAGAAGTGGGCAGTACTGGCAGACTCTAGTTATTCTATGCATCTTGTTTGGGATATATTTAAATCCATTACTTTTAACCTGTTCTCATTAGTTTCTCTCTTCAACTAAATTTCCTTTCTGTCCTTAGTATGTCTTCCAGCTTACCAACCTAGACCCTGCAACAATCATCTTAGACCCTTCCTTGTGTGCTTCCCCTATGAGAGGTCAGGAGGGTGGCAATATGAGAACAGGCCTTTTCTGTGGCAGTACTGTATAGAAATTTAATAATAATATCTCAACCACCACAGACTCACAAACTTTTGTAATGCATTTGTGTATTTGTCCTGACCATTTTAGGCTGAAGACGCACAGTGGAAGTTTCAAAATATATCTAATGAATAATGCTGCCACTGAATAGCTGCACTGAAATCATTATTGTCTACAGGAGTTGAACTTATTAAACTGTAGGAAGCTTGCATAAGTATTGAAACACGTTTGTAATCTCCCTTTCTCACTTGGGCAATTATTGGATGTGGTTGCAGCATTGCTTTTTGCACTACTTTGTATATCTCAGTAGAACAGTGGCAGAGGGCCAATGGTGCACCAAGGTGAGAAAAAAAAATAACAGGCAGAGTTAAGCTGCAATATGCACAATTTTTGAAAGCACTGAAATGTTGGCATGATTAATGAATTTGGGGTGAAGCGTATAGATGCATTCTGTCCTTTTTGTATGCAAAAAATAAAACCAACCTTAGCTGTAATTTTTAAGCTTTCCCATTTGCGTTTATAAATGACAGGTGTGTTCTATATAACACCAAGGTTGTGAAAATAAATATGAAGACACATTCAAGAAAATTGAGGTCTACATCTTGCAGTGAATGGACTTCTTTTGTGCAGAATATTGATCTCTGTGGCTCTAATTTCAGAAGTAAAATAAAACAAATTCTAATATTCAAAATTAGGCAATAAATGCACATATGTTTATACTTGACCAAAGAATCCACAAGTCCATTTAAAACCACAAAATAAGAAGTTATAACCTAATAGCCAAACTACAAATACTAGGTCTGTGAGCAAGCACAAGATTTACCTTGTAGCTGGATCTGCTCTGTGGTGGTCTAATTTGTTCTGTTATTTGGATCTGAATCTGATCTGTTAAAACTGAAGCTCTGTTTCATTCCCATTGACTATAATGAGGGATCTGTAAATGGCTATTGCTTTTTTTCCTTTTCACATAAGTGGATGAAATTTGATGAGAAAGGAACACAGATTAAGCCTTCAAATTTCAGAGAGACTTATGCAGGGAAACTTTAAAGTTTCTAACTTTTTATTTTCTGTCAGCATTCAATGCATATTGTAAAAACTGACACCCTTTCTTTTTTAAAGGTTTTCATGGATAACAAAAGTACAAATAGTGTCTGTTTTCAGTTCAGAGTCTTCTACAGGTCAGTTACATTTGATGTGAGACACTGCTATCTGCATTGTGAGCTTGGGGGAGACATATGGGGAGAGAGAGGTGTGGGGGAGAAGGTGGGTAGTGTTTTTTTCCTTCTTTTGCATAGTGCATGTGGGAGGTTTTGTGTCAGCATCACGTGGATAGGTCCTTTATCCATTCATTCATTTATTTCTGTTGGTGATGCTGAAGATTGGGAGCCGAGAGTATGGTTGGTTGCATTGGGTTGATTGCAGTGAGTTTTGTTTTTGTGAGTGGGTGATAGCTGTTGGGTCAAATTAGCCGTACTGATCCTACAATGGCAGACTTCAAACTGGGTGAAAAATAGCAATCACATTCCCTCCCTTAGTTTGAAAAACATGCATGAGTGCCCCTACATAAGAAACCTGTTAGCGTTTGGACAAATAGGTCCAGAGGGCATCATGTTGGCTGATTTTGCTTTTGTCATGGAAAGGGTTTTGCGGGTGAAGAGGATGGCATTCCTCTTCCTGGAAGTACTCCTCATGACAGCCTTTCAATGAAGAAAAAAAGTGAGTGCTATTATTTTAGTTGTTGGCAAGGAAAAAGAACAATTCGGAAAGAAGTAGGCCACCCCAACAATGAACTCTACTTCTGCCCTGCAGTCATAGCCAAAATTTGAAGGAGCCTGATGACCCACATGGATAACCTGGAAGTAAAAAGGTAAAAGGGTGAATAACCCCCGGACAGTTAAGTCCAGTCAAAGGTGACTATGGGGTGCGGCGCTCATCTCACTTCAGGCTGAGGGAGCCAGAGTTTGTCCACAGACAGCTTTCTGGGTCATGTGGCCAGTAATGACTAAACTGCTTCTGGCGCAACGGAACACCGTGATGGAAGCTAGAGCACACGGAAACGCCATTTACCTTCCCGCCACAGCAGTATCTATTTATCTACTTGCACTGGGATACTTTTGAACTGCTAGGGAATTGCCTCTGAGTGCACAGAAGTAGATAAGTATAGGGTTGTGCTGCAGTAACTTTATTTAAAGTGATGGGTTGGTAGTTCCTAGAGAACAGCACTTCCTTCCACTTCTGGCTTTCCTGCTGTGGGGAATGGCTGCCTCCCACATGAACGGACCCCAGCCGTGCCAGTAATTCAGGCTGATATGGGGGTAATTAGCCCTGGCAGACTCCCCAGGGTGGGGGAGGACTGTCTCACAGACCCGCGGATCGTCCATGATCTGTCGGCTAGCATCAAGGTTTGCAGGGGTCTAAGAGCATGGCACAGCTGGCACCCTCCAGAGCCACTCCTACATGCAGGGATACCTGTTCCTTAAAAATTAATAAGATTTGACCAAAGAACAGGCATGTTCTGGACTGATAGAGGTAAAAGAAATAATCTGCTGAATTATACAGTCACTGGATGCCAAACTCTTGACTTCAAAGAGACTCAAATCTTGACGTTTGGATTAAAAGAGGTGAGCGGCTGCTGTTCCTTTGTTTCTTTGCAATTTGCCATCTCACCAAGGAAAAATTAATTACTTAAAGGATACGCAGGAGGGGTAAAAATTAATTGGAAGTACAGTTGTACAGTTCTTGATGGGAGAGTCTCAATTAGAATTGATAAAATAAGATCAGACCTGGAGGCGTCTGGGATGGAGGAGGGTACAAGATGGTGGCAGTTGCTGTTGCGTACAAAAAGAACAAATCTTGTTTTGAGGAGGCCAGAAATATCTTTGGATTACAAAAGGGTGTGTTCTACATAAAAATGCACTTGCTTGCAGGGATTATATTTATATATGGTTTAATCTAAAGAGAATGCAGGAGGATTTCCAACTTTTAATTGTGACTTAGCAGCATAGCCACTGACAGAAGTTTTAATCATACTTGGCAAAAGATGAAGGAGGCTTGGACTGAGAGAATGGAGATTGTGACACAGATGAAATAGAAATGAACTTTCCCCCTCAGGCGGGGGGCGGAAGATATCTGGTGGATTATAACATGGGAAATTTCACATCATACAGTACATTTCTTTGCATGGATTACAGTTATAAGAAGTGAAAAAGAAGTTGAATTTCGGGTCCTGGCTGTCCCTCTAAGGTCCTGGGGCGGCGGGGGCGGGGGCGGGGGGGGGGAGTTTTGGATTCTGAGGAAACTGAAAGATCACCAAAAGATTGCTTTGTGAAACTTTCCCTACAGCATTTTTTATTTTCTTCGGAAGAACTCGGTAATAGCTTCTCTAATACTCTGAGAGCTTGCTACATCATTAATCATTGTACTGAAGGAAAGTTGGAAGACAGCTCAAAGCCAAGAAACAAGATGAAGGAATGAGGGGAATGAAAGGAGGACTAGTGCTGGAAAATCATTGCTGGGTAACAACACAGAAACAACTCTTCTGCATGCTAACAGCTAAAATGGTTATGCTTTAAATAATTTTAATAACTTATTGTTCATGGAGCACATCCCACCGAATTGCAATTATTGGACACATTTGAAATATTAGCTAATTAAGACAGATGAAAGAGGAAACGGCACCGTTAATCTTAATTTTGGACTTTCAGCCCAGGACTTTCAGCGGGAGGAGAGGTCACCGAGAGAGAATGTTTTTCAAATAAACTAATAAAGGAAATATGGAATAAAAGCCCCCTGTGTGCTAATTAGATATAAAGACCTGTTAAAACAAGATTTTGAGTCACATCCCAGAGACTGACAGATTGATAAGATGAAGATGAACAATTAGAATTTTGAAATTGGAACCGATAAGCAAGAAAGCAGAACATAAATAAAATACATTACCTCTAGAAACCAGAACATGGGGAGTCCCTGGAAATTAATTGAATTTAATTTGGAATACATAATTGGCGATAGTGTATATGATTTGATATGACTGATCTGATTTGTGAATAACGAAGATTTTTATTGGAAAATGAATAAAAATTATTTATATATATATAAAAAAGAACAGCACTGCCCCTCTCTTTTTGTCTCAAACGCAGTACATTGTCCTCAGGGTGTTCCTATATTCCAGATGTGGCAACATTCCTTGACTCATAGCCCAGTGGATGGTGAACATATTGTGCAGATGTTCCTCCTTCTAATTTTCCTATTGCACCCCCCAAAAAGTACCCCCCCAGTCTTATGCCATTCAGCTGCCTAATTGCACCTTCCTGGTGTCATTTACCAAGCTGAGCTACTACTGCTCAGATTTAATTACTTTAATATACTATTCATCCCCACCACTGTCCTTCAAGTTCCCCATTGGTACTGTGAGATTAGAATAAGGACTTCTATCATCATGCTATTTTCCAATAGTTCTTACTGGCTTGAGTGAGCACACTGGGAAAAAAGAATTTATAGTGGTAACAGGGGTACCAACTTGAATAAAATATTGGGAGGGAGCAGGTAAGACCCGCCCCACATAATTGATCACAAGATGCAGTACACACACACCATTTGAATGGCAATACCCATTAACTTTGGGCAGGCCTGGCCCCCTCAAATATTTTAGGGGGGCCCTAAAGGGACCTCACCCCCTAAGAGTTGGCTCCTATGAGTGGTACTTACTTTGAGTAAGAACTCGGCACCAAACCTGTCTTGGTTATTAAAGCTCAGGTGTATACTGTGTAACTGAATTCATTTGTTCAGTAACTTAATCCCGCCCCCCCCTGAAATATCCCCACAAAGCAGAAGAAATAAATGTATAAGCTCACAGAGCTACAATTCAGAGTTCCCCAGGGATGAGGGATAAACCACTCTGAGAACTGCTGCTGTGTAATAATAATAATAATAATAATAATAATAATAATTTTATTATTTATACCCCACTCATCTGGCTGGGTTTCCCCAGCTACTCTGGGCGGCTTACAACATATATAAAATTGTAAAACATTACAACTGTGTGAGGAGAACCAAAGATTTTCTGGGAACTGAATGTTTTACAGCTGTGAAACGTTGGAGTTCTGACCTGGCAGAGAGAAAGAGAGAGAAAGCACGCCTACCTAACTCTTTGAAAGCCTGGCCTTTTCCGTCCAGGGTGCCCTGCCTTTTCCAGAAGTGCTTCCAGACCAGTCACCCTCTTTGCCCTGCCTGCTCTTCCGTCTGAAGCGAACCCTGCCAGGTAGGCAAGCTGCACACCTGAGGCACTTTAAGCCCCGCCCCCTCCCCGCGCGCCAGGGCCGAGCTCCGTGACCGCGGCGAGCGCGAGGCCAGGGACGACTCGGCCCACCCTGCGCGGAGGATTCCCCGCTCTTCTCCCGCTCTTGGCTGGCTGTGGCCGCGCTCAGAAAAAGGCTCCTCATGTTCCGGCAGGTGCTGCGGGGCCGCTTGTCGCCCCACATGCTGCCCCTCATGGCTGCCGTGCTGCTGGAGCGGAAGGGGAGGAAAGAGACGGGCTTCTATCACTGGAGGGTAATGTGAGGCTTGGGGGAAAAGTGCCGTCCGCTTCTTCGAGGAAACCTCCGCGTGCATAAGCCGTAGCAATTTTAGTTTCTCGTGTTAGGGGGCGATTTTCGCCTCAAGGCGGAACAAAACAAATAGTTTGTTGGGACATCTGCGGGAGGAAGGGGCTTTATTTATCTGCCTCTGTTTTAATTTTAACGTTTTCCAGCTAAATAGGGTGAGCAGGGGCGAAGAAGGAACCTTAGTGGTTGGTAGCGCCTCTGAAATTTCAGCTCTGCAAGCTTTTCTTAACTTTGCAAAGGAAGCTTCAGCGACCTCAGCGGTTCTGTCGTTTCTCGTCTTCCTCTATTTATCTCCAGTGGAGACTTGATCCAAAGTGAGAATTTTAAGCTGCACGCTTGCTTTGGGAGAAAGCCCCCTGCAATTTAATAGGACTTCTAAGCAGACAATGGTTAGGGATGTGTTGTTAGGGACGCTGCTGTTAGTAGATTCTGCAGGAAACAGCGCAAAGCCAGGTTTACTTCTGGGATAAAAGAGCCTAGTGAGTCAGAAGAGTGTTTGCAATATCATCTGTGTAGAATGAACCAAATTGTTCGGTCTATAATCACTGACAAAAAAGAGTGCTGTATTTGTTTTTAGGAATTTAAGAACATAGATTGTCAGTCCATTTAGCTTAGTATTGTGACTCAGACTGGCAGGGACTGTCCAGAGTTTCAGGCAGGGATCAAACACGGGACCGCTTGCATATGAAGCATGTGCTTTTCTGTGCCTTCTGTCCCCCGACTTTGATGGTGGTGTGGGGGGTTGAAAGAGTGTTGCTCAGCCATCCAGTGAAACCGTTTTTTAACAAATAAAAAAATGACTTATTAGTGACAGTGTCAAATCCCAGTCAGAAATACAGGCTAATATGGGCTGTGTGCGCATGTACCTTGAAAGCACATTTGAAGCATGTTTCCCCGCTCAGAGAATTCTGGGTACTGCAGTCTCACTTTTTGTTTACAATGGATCTGTTAGTACAAGTCTAGCTGCTGTGTGGAATGTTATCTTTTTGCATGTTTGCTAGGCATAGTTAATGTTCAATGTAATTCAGCTTACTATCATTGCAGCGGGAGAAGCACCCTTACTATAACCTCACAGTGAAAATCCTCCGAGCCAGAAACATTAAAGGAACAGATCTTTGTGAGTGTCTGGAGACTTTATTTTGCTTATTCTCTGAACTGATCCTCCACATGTCTTATTATTATTAACCAGGGTCAGCAAACTTTTTCAGCAGGGGGCTGGTCCACTGTCCCTCAGACCTTGTGGGGGGCCGGACTATATTTTTTGGGGAAAATGAACAAATTCCTATGCCCCACAAATAACCCAGAGATGCATTTTAAATAAAAGGACACATTCTACTCATGTAAAAACATACTGATTCCTGGACCGTCCGCGGGCCGGATTTAGAAGGTGATTGGGCCATATCCGGCCCCCGGGCCTAAGTTTGTTTACCCATGGTTAAGACAGTCTCTTCAGCAGATTGATTTGCTGTGCTGTTGTGAAAATTACTGAAACATATACAAGCAAAAAGCAATGTGTTTCTAATAATGGACATAAGAAGAGCTAAGAGTCCATTTAATTCACAATCCTGACTCCCACAGTGATGATTCGGACACCTAGAGAGCCCATCCAGCTTCTTCTTGTATACACCAGTAGTAGCCACATGTCGGACTACAACTCCTATTAGCCATAGAAAGCGTAGTCACTATATGGAAGTTGAGAACATCTGAATGGCACCATATTGGTTACCTCTGGTCTACGCTGTCTGGGAGTGTCTCTCTAGTGTTTCATACAGGTTTTCCTTGCTGTGGGTTTGGCCATGTTTAATTTAGTTTCCCTGACTGATTTGATGGAGTTGATCTTAACCATTCATGCTGAGTCTAACTTGTCAAAAGTGGCTCATGATTTCACGACCTCTGTGGCAGCCATGGGTTTGCCTCAAATTCTATCTGAGCCAAAATATGAGGCAGCACACATTTTGGAATTGGGGTTTGTGTGGAATAGATAGGGGAAAATGATCTGTGGGTGTGGGAAGCCCTTTTTGGTTTTGTTGCTTTATTTTGTTTATTTAAAAAAATTATGCTCTGCTTCCTGCACAAAGCAGTTTATAGTCTGCAATAAAAACCAACTCCACCTGGCAATAAAATATAAAATACAACTGAACAAACAAACAAAAAGCATAAAAAGTGGAGTCCATTAATAGACTATAAAACCTAAAGCAGGTCACAGAAACCTTTGAAAAACAACAATAATTAATGTGTGCAGCAGGGGTGGGGATGGGGGTGGTTATTTTTTTGTTTGTTATTATGTTATGTATTTTTGTGGTTTTATGCTATAAACTGCCCTGGGATCCTCAGATGATGGGCAATATATATATATTCAACCAATAATAAATGAATAAATGAAACGTGTAAATTAAACTAGGCTAATTTGAGAACGCTTGAGAGAAAAGAAACGTTTTCAACAAAATGTTGAAAACTTAACAATGTTGGGACATGCTTGCTTCTTTTCTCAAGAAAGAGAATTGCTTCACTTCTAGAGGAAGAGAATTCCAGAGAGCTGGTGCCACAACAGTGTTAATGTGCTCAAGTAGCAGCATGTGTTACCATCATCAACAGAACTAAGTGACTGGGTTAGGGTGTGGATGTAGGGGAAGAGGTGGTTTCTTGGATAACCTGATCCTGAACTGTTAGGGATTTATACACTAGTAGTAAAAAATTGAATGTAGATCAGTAGCAAATTCGCAGCCAGTGTAGCGTTTTCAATGGCAGTGTGACATCTTATCAATAGGTTGTCCCAGACCCCAGCTGTGCAGCAGTTCTCAGTGACACAGCATTGACCTTTAGGCCACCTATAAATAACATCTGCAAAAGAACCAAATTTGTTGTTATGACCCTGGAGGCTGATGAATACAGATGGTTTTCTGAATCTTGGGGGCAGGGGATGGGACTTCCCCATATAGCTTCACGTTGATATGGAGAAGACATCCAGACACTTGCACTTAACTGTCCATTAATGACCGTCGGCTCTAACTCTCATTTCCCTCTATTCATCCTAATTGAGGCTGTCAAACCATTAAACCAAAGTCTCAAGACAATTTTGGGCTGAATAAGGATGAACAAATTGAAACTTTTTCCAGATAGGACAGAAGTACTGTGGAAATTGGCTACTCTAGAGGGAGATATGCAAGCCATCTTAGATGTGGTTCCACTCCCTCTGAAGTACCAAGTATATGTCTGGAAGTAGTACTGGACTTCAGGCTAAGTAGGCAAGCTCAGGTGGCAGCAGTAACTAATAGTGTTTTTTATCTACATAGGCTGATATACTAACTGAGATCCTATCTAGAGACCTTGCCTCTGTTACCCATCTTGCTTGAAACGTGCAGGCAGGACTATTGCAAAAATAGTTGAGATAATGAATGTTAAATAGGGGGGAAACCCCAATAAATGTCTCTTGCATAACTTACTTTGAGTGGAATCTGGACTGTTTGCAGTGCATGCTGAATTAATATAGAACAACAGTGAAAGAAAGAAAGAAAGAAAGAAAGAAAGAAAGAGAGAAAGAAAGAGGTTTTTTTGTGTGACAATGCCTTCAGTAATCACAGATACTTGATTTTGGTCACAATTCCAAAGAAGATTTTATTCACATCTGGTTGGGGTGCCTGAAAGTTATGGTACCATTTAACCCAACATGAGTTTAAGAGCATAACATACTATGCTAATAGAGAACTAGGAAGCTGCATTGTATTTATCAACCATGGCTAAATTGGCATACAGGGAAGACAATTGTTAACCTTCAGAATGGTGGTTTAAGATTTGGAAAACCATGAAATTATTTTGCCAAATTATCTGTCTTTTAAGAAATCTGTGTACAGCAGGGGTGAGGAACCTGTGTCCCACATAGACGTTTTTACATTCCAGCTCCCACGGTCAGCATGGCTGAATGGGGTGGGATGAGAGCAGTAACATCTGAACATGCTCCCCATCTCTGCCTTACTCACTTAATCAAGCTTGAAAACAGATAATCCTGTATATTAGAAAAGAACATATTAGTACATTATTCTCTTTAGTTACATTTGTTCTACATCTAAAACCCACTGGTAGATTTCATGAGTTAATACAACTCCTGTTCTTTGTTTTAGTATTTATTAAGCTGCTACTTTGGACTATGTTGAAAAGCTCCTATTCATTCTCTTAGTCTGCTGTTAGTTAGTTTTTTGTTCTTTTGTTTGTTTGTCTTTTCGAGAGAGAGACACTTTCCTGGTCACATTTCTGCCCTTTTCCCCTCTAGTGTCTGAGGCAGATTGCTATGTAGAACTGCGTATGCCGACTGCATCACCACTCACTTACCGAACACGAGTTATTGACAACTCCAGTGATCCAGAATGGAATGAAACTTTCCACTATAGAATTCACAACGCTGTCAAGGTAAAAAAGATCAATACTTCTTGATTCAGAACAATCCTGGGAGCAGGATTTGATCATGTTATTTTGCTCTCAGGGGGAATTATATGGAAAAAACATGGCTTTCCCCAATGTCATCATCAGATCTTGCTGCTCACAGTGGTGGTGCAGTGGATCAGCCCTGAACTTTTTCTTTTTATCTCAGAACAGCTCAGCTTTTACCTGAAATACGATATTTAATGCACACTTTCTTTCCCTACTGTTTCAGTTCTGGACTTCTTTTGTTTCAGAACACGCTTGAGTTGACACTCTTTGATAAAGATGTTCTCTTAAGTGATGAACTTACTTCTCTCGTGTATGATGTGACATCGATGAAGACAGGTCGCCCTCTGAAACAAACATTTAAACTAAAAGAGGTTAGTTCTTTTGTTTATTGAATTGGGGGGGAGGGAAATCAGGTTCTCAGGAATATTCTTGAACCTAACTTTGCTCCTTGATATCTAGGTAGGTTTGGTCACCAGTTACTTGTGTCCTGAGCTATTTTTTTTAGCTTGTTCCTGCTGCTAACATATCTTAGAGTCACAAAAGTTGGAAGAGACCTCAAACGCAATACAGTCCAGCCCTGTGCTGATGTAAGAAGTCTGTCTGTTAAAGAGAAAAATAACTACCAAACTTTTAGAAGACATCTGAAGGCAGCCCTGTTTAGGGAAGCTTTTAATGTTTAATAGGTCATTGTATTTTAGTGTTTTGTTGGAAGCCGCCCAGAGTGGCTGGGGAAACCCAGCCAGATGGGCGGAGTATAAATAATATATTATTATTATTATTATTATTATTATTATTATTATTTGTAGGACAAAGAAGAGCTGGATGTAGAGTTTCTTCTGGAGGAAAGGTGAGAGCTGCTAAATTTTCCATTGTCACGGTGGCTCAGAGGCGTAGTGGGGGGACCAGGGCCTCAGGCACAATTTTGTGAGTGGACGCAAACAGGCATTCCAACAACAGGCTCCTTCATTGGAGCGTGGTTCCAAGTGAGAAGGAGCTGCGCCTTGGCTGCGGCACTCATGCCTGGCCACATCTCTGGCCCTGGGTCAGACCTGACCTGGTTGAGGAGGACAGGAGAATGGGCAGATTGCTGTTGCCCACCATCCTCGGCCATGGCGCACCTTGCGCCCGTCTGCAGCAGCTCTGCCAACAGGTCACATCTGACCCAGCGGCAAAGAGCAAGAGAGTGGGTGACAATGAAGCTGCCCACCTTCCTTGGCCGCGGCACACCTCACACCCAGCTGCAGCAGCTCTGCCACCGGGTCAGGTGTGACCCAGTGGTGAAGAGTGGGGGGAGAGATAGCTTCCCCTCTCCTCCTCTGGACTGCGGCGCCTGGGAAGGCACCCTCTGTGGCCCACCCTGTTAGAATTCCTGCTCCATGATTGCAGTCATGGGATTTTTGTCTTTCACATGACGGTATATGGTTTGACTCCACAGAGTGGGAAGTGACGGAGACAGGACGTTTGTCTTACTGTGTTCCGTGAAGTGGGACTATTGTCTTCTGTTCTTTTTCTCTTTCCTGCCTGATGCTAGAGAGAGAGGGAGCCATATTGCAGTGCTCCGTGTGTGTTTATATGTAAATAAAGTAGATTAGCCAAAATGCTGAGTTGCTGAGCTCTGTTACGCCTGATGCGCAAACTCTGCGGATTCCTCTGCAGTCGTTGGCATCGGTCGCTGTGATGTTGGGGCAGAAGAAAGCTTTTGAAGCTCCCAAACGAATGACCAGGAGGGAGAGAACATGCCAGTTGGGCATGTGTCTCTGCCAGGGTCCTACTCAAGTGTAGGCTGAACTCCTCACACCCCTTGAGGGCACAGCCCGCACATCTGCCCCTGGCAGCATGGCCATACTCTCTGCCGCTGTAGTGGCTGCAGTTCTAAACATTCAAGCAATGAAGGAAGTCATTGTATTCCGTGTGGCTTACTTTTAATCTGATCCTAGGAGGTTTCTGAGCTCTTAGGGGTGGCTTTTTGGCATGTACAGGGCACTTCAGTGAGGAAGGGGGAAAGCCCCATTGCCCAAGTGGAATCTTGCTTGCTTCTCTTTGGTTCTAAGCCTTTGTCTTGTATCACTGGCATTGCAGCCATATGCAGTTTTATTGGTATCTTAGGCCTTGCCTTTATTGAGTTATTCTAGGGGTGACTGAAATGATTTAGGTGTATATAGGCATGATTTCCCCCCCCCCTTCATTTCCTTTCTTGATCATTGCACATTCATACGCACAATGGCCTTTCCCCTTGCCTTTGACATCTGAGATGTATAGTTTCAGGGCCCACCCTATTTTTGTGATTACATTTTTTGTAATGGTAAGTTTTAAAAACTGTTTTTAATGTTGTATTTTAAATAGTTGTCACCCACCCTAGGAAGTAAGGGTAAAGGCTGTGTAAAATACTACTACTACTACTGATGATGATGGTGATAATAATAATATACAAAGTTAATGCATTCTTTCTTTTTGTCTTCTGTGTTAATTCTCATTATTGTAGCTGACTAAGCAGATTTTTATGAAATATAAACAATGCGTAATTCCTGTCCCAACAGGCTTCTTTTTTAAAAGTAGGAAGTAGAAAGCGAAGGGTAGATGTAGTGATAAGTACTGTATGTCACAGGCTCCTTTCACAGATAGTAAATTCAATATTTAATATTTGAGTCATGGGAATTGTGCCTCGTGAGAAACTATTCCTAAAACACTGCTGCATTTTAAATACGTTTTAGGACCCACCCTATTCTCTTGACTGCAATTTGTTTTAAGCCGATTTGGCTATTTTCTTTTTAAATGGCTGCAACCTAGAATGGAACCTTATGGTGAAGTTGGGAAGAAATCAATATAAAATAATGTTGATCCCTGCCTTAAAGCACCTGGGGGTCTTTTTATTTTCCCTCTTTTTTAATGGCACGTGTAAACATATTTTTATGTTTGTTTATGGCAGTATTTTGCCTTTACAGCACGGATGCTCCTGGTGAAGTTATCACAAATGGTGTCCTTGTGGTGAGTGTTCGAAGAGCCAGATGTTTGGGAATTGTGTTTTGTGGTGTGCACACTTAGCAGGAGAGCCCTTTCAAAATCAAAGCATTTTCCCTCTCTTTGAAATACTTAGAGCAATTAGTTTTGCCGTTGTGTGTGCGGGTAGAGGATATTCAAGATGAAAGGTGAGGAAGAGACAGGAGCACAGCAGTGACAGACAACACTTCCTTTTCACTGGTGTGATCATCTCTATCTGTTCCCCTTTGGTTGTCTGCTGGGAAAGCTTTGGAAACTGCATTTCGGGGGTGGGGGTGGGGAGTGGAACCAAAACATTTTCCTGGAATTCAGTCTAAACCCTTCACTGTATGAGAAGTCATGCAAAGCACCATATTTCAAAACCAGTATTTTAAAATTTTGTTTTGTTCTATGTAGGCGTACCCTTGCCTTTGCGTGCAAGGGGTTATTAACAAAGATGAAAAGCCACCTCTGAGAGAGCAGGGTAAGTCCAATTTTGGTTTTGTTCCTCTCCCGCTCTGCCCAAATTTCAGAGTAGATAAACTAGGTATTCTTTAATTTGGATGTTTCATGAATTAGTTGAAGAAGAAGAGGAGTTTGGATTTGATATCCCGCTTTATCACTACCCTAAGGAGTCTCAAAGCGGCTAACATTCTCCTTTCCCTTCCTCCCCCACAACAAACACTCTGTGAGGTGAGTGGGGCTGAGAGACTTCAGAGAAGTGTGACTGGCCCAAGGTCACCCAACAGCTGCATGTGGAGGAGCAGGGAAGCGAACCGGGTTCACCAGATTACGAGTCTACTGCTCTTAACCACTACACCACACTGGCTCTCGAGCAAGAAAGTCTATACAAGTTCTCGGCTACAGCTCATGGTTAGCAAGGGGAGAGAGCTTAACCACAATTCTTGGACTGCTAAGTTAAAAGTTGGCTTAGTGTGGTGTAGCACAAAAAGGACTGGGGAGCTGCAAAGCAGCTGCAGGTTCTTCTCGGGGGGCCAGTATGTGTGCATGGTCTTGTCTCAACATGTTGAGTAAGCTGTCTCTTTGTGTCACCACTTCCTTCTTGGCTTTCTGACTCCCAGGCCAATATGCATCCTTGGAAAGACTGTTATGAAATAAGGAGAGTAGAGAAACTCTAAAGCGGCTTGCTTAAAGTGTACATTTGTTAGGAAAGAACGTGGGTGATAGGGTAGATCTAGACACAGGTTAAAAACTCTATAGATAAGTCAGAAGTTAAATCATTACAACAAAAGAAGAAAAAAAAGCCTATGTAAAAATCCATATAAACTCCTTTTTGCTCTCTGTCCCCATTTGGTGTTGGATGTTTATAACGCATCCAAAGCGTATTATTGTGATGAATGTAGCTGAGTCCTTAGTCTTTCCACCCTGTTTTTTTGCCTTTTCGGACGAAAGTGTTAATTTTCATTTTCAAAATGATACAAAAAATCGGGTACAACAATTTGAAGTCTACTTAGTCAGCTTCTTCTTCTTCTTTATTTCATTACCATTAATACCTAAGTGTGGTATATACATGGAGGAGGCAGTAGGCTTCATTGCTTCAGAATCCAGATTTTCCATTAATTTAACCAAATTTCAATCTATTAATATTAGTAACAAAGAGAATTTTTAATATCTTATCCATGATGTAGGAGCTTGGCATTTTGTTATTGATACTTTGGTTGCTCTGCCATCTCTAAGAGTAGTCTCTACTTACATATTGTATAGGATTTCTCTTAGGAATGCATGTCCTAAATGTCTCACTGTCGTTTTTAGGAAGCAGACTGTTCAAGCTCTCGCTTCCAGGTGCCTATGAGAAGCAGTTGTCCATTCCTTGCAAATCGGACTCCGATCAGAATTGTGGAAACTCATTTGTCTTTCATGTAGGCCAAGGGATGTGTTCAGAACTGGATGTGGAGTTAGAGCGAACCATTACCATCCTTCAGGTGAGAAATCACCACACATCCCATTAGAGAATGCTTACAAACTTGTTTTCCTTATGAAATGTATTTATTTATTCTCAGGATGGAGTGAGCCCAGACTTTGAAGAGCATAGTACAATTCTTGGATCAGGGATTGTTCCACTGCAGTCACTTCCTCTGGAAAAGGAAGTTGATATGGCTGTTTCACTAGGAAAGGTAACAGTATGATTTATTTATTTTTTAACTTCATTTTAGCAATTTTGGGTTGGGTTGTTGCGGAAACTCCTCTTGCAAGGTCTTTCAGGTGTAGATTGGGGTGGCTAATCTGTAGGCAGCTAAGCACATCTGGCCCCCATGACCCACCCTCCCCCCTGGAAATTTGTCATTTAAGGGAAGGTTTATTATTATCATTAGCCTTTTGGTATTTGGTTTAGTATCTCACAAGTTATGCAGGCCTGATTTAAAGTATAAATGTATTGTGTTTTCTTTCAAGTTCCCTGCCACCAAAAAGTACCACATGTTTGTCCCTAAACACACACACAGATATTCACTAGGTCAATCTGTTGGCTTGGTTTTAAGGTTTTATTCAGTTAGGCACATGAGATGGTGCTGGGATTGCCTGAAAAGGTATGTTCTGTGTTTATTTGCTCTGTGGGTAAGGTCCTGCAAAACTGACTCAAAGTAAGGTCTTTGGGGTAGAGGTAGCGTGGGGTTAAGGGACCAAAAGGAAGATAACATTGCACTAGCTGGTTAACAAGAAGAGCATGGGTTAATTAATTGGAAAATTCCCCCCGCAACCTCTTTCAGTGTGTGCTGTCTTTCATCTTAGGATTTAAGTGTGGATCTACACGTGAAGGCTGAAAAAATGTGAGTCTTGCACCCAGGAGCTGTTTTAGGGGCATAATTTTAATTTGCTTTTCTGGATTCGTGATTGCCAGCCAAAGAAAACACAGGTGCATATGGGTGAGGATGCTGTGCAACGAGTTAGTGTGCTCTTTGAGCCTTTTCCTGCAGAGGCCTCCCAGTGCAGAAGAGGCGTTACTTAGTTTCAAAAGCTATTTGCCCTGTTGGGTGCTAGAGTTGCAGGGAAAAATACACATGCATTTCCAATGCACTGTATGTTGGATTCTCAACCACTTTCGACTTCCTTCTTTTTCAGCCATGACTTAGCTTAGTTTTTGTTTTTTTTTAAGTCTCCAGTCTGTTGTCTTGAAATTACCCAAGCCTGATTTGATTTTTGAGATGAACTTTTTCAGAATACTGAAACACTTCATACATCTTTCCATTATTTTTTAAGGGAGGGGAAAACTGTATGTGTGTGTGTGGGGGGGGGGAGTATATGTATTTAAGAGGAGGTGAGATGAATATTGGATCTTAGAATCATAGAATCATAGAATCATAGAGTTGGAAGAGACCCAAGGGCCATCGAGTCCAACCCCCTGCCAAGCAGGAAACACCACCATCTTGTCCCACACCTGACACGCATCTCTCACCCCACATCACATGTTGGCCAAAAAAGTTGCCAGGCCATTTATACTGTATATAACCACCATATTTTCTCCTTTAACACTATTTTCTATACTAGGACAAAGGATCTTGATGTACGTCTGGGTTTTGATCTTTGTAAAGAAGAGAAACAGTTTCTGGACCAGAGGAAGGAAATAGTATCTAAGGCACTAAAGAAGACGCTGCAGTTGAGAGAGGACCTTGATAAAGAAGAGGTATGTGACTTGTCAATATGATATGCAGAGCCATTCGTAATTGGCTACAGCTCATAATAAAATAGGGCATCTTGTTGTTCAAGAGTTTATTCATTTAATTTCTTTTATTGCATTTATGTCCCACCTTTCCCCCTCCAAGGACCTCAAGTTGGTATACATGGATCTCTCTCTCTCTCCTCATTTTAATCCTCACAACAGCCCTGTGAGGTAGGTTAGGCTGAGAGGCAGTGAGTGGTCCGGGGTCACCCAGTGAGCTTCATGGCTGGGTAGGGATTCAAACCCTAGTCTCTCAGGTCCTAGTCCATTACTCAAACCACTACACCACACTGGTTATTATATATCCCATATTACATATCTCATTTAAATAGGTGTCTTGGTTTTTTTCTAAATATATATATATATATATAATATCTTTATTAATCAATCTTTATTACGGTCCAGAGACCCAACAGGTCTTCAAGATGGCATCGTTAGTGGTAGCATTAACTTGAGCTCTGCATCAGTTGTGCGGTTTTTATTAGTTTTATCAGTCTTTTATTAGCTTTTATCAGCCTCAGTATTTTAACTCTATCATTTGGCAGCTTTTCCTCAACAAAATTCACAAAGTTTGAGGTAAAAGCTTGAGTTAAAGGTCTTAGAGAAAGTCTTGGAAAGTCTTGGAGAAAGCCTTAATTAGCTCCAGCTCAACTCAACCTACCAACTAAAAATATTTTAAAATGATTCTGTCAGACAAATAGTGGAATAATAGGAATACTCTGTAACATATACAATGCACAATTTTGTTCACCTGCTTTCTCCCCGCCCCCTTTTAAGGTACCTGTTATAGCAGTCCTAGGATCTGGTGGAGGCATCAGAGCACTGACATCATTTTATGGCAGCCTGTTTGGGCTTCAGCAACTAAATCTTCTTGACGCTGTCACATATCTCTCTGGGATCTCAGGCTCTACATGGTATGTGAGCATGAAAATTCTTATTTCTTATCTTGAACCAGAGGAGGGAATAACATTTCTTCTTGCGCTTTTTGGAGTATTGATTAAAATAGTGTTTCATTCTAGCATCTGATGAAGTAAATAATTGCCTACAAAACCTTTCAATAAGCTTAAAAGTGAAACTGCACACTTTTCAATAAGTTTTTTTAAAAAATAGGACAGTCAGTTGATTTCCCAGCAGCCACCCCTCTCCCCCCGCACACACTCTGTCACACTCACATTCATACAAATACACATACAAATAGAATGGATGCATCTGTAGCCCTTAAATAAAACCATGTATTTCTGTACAAAATATGCTTCTTCAGCTTTGGGTTTGTTTCTTAGCGTGCTTAAAAATCATATCATGAACTCTGTCTTGTCCTGTTCATATGTCTCCTACAGCTTATCATTCCCTTTCTAAGCTAGAAAGTCTCCCTTACAGCTTCTTTGTGCTGTAGCCGCAACGGAAGAGAACACTTTCTTCTCAAGTTTATTTAGAGCTCATCTACATTTGGCCCACTGCTTCCCCCCAGGAAAACCAGTGTGGGAAAGGCAAAACTAGTTGGACCTGTGCTTAGAAAGCATGGACAAACATAAAACTGCTCAGACCCTTGCTTTCTAGGCACGGGAGAGCCCTTAGTCTTTTTAAGCAGACAGTGACTTCTAAAATACTCTTACTTTAGAAAAAGTAGCGGATAGTATATAAAAATTAGATTTGATGCAGAAATTTAATATTTTATCTTTGCAGGTGCATGTCAATGCTGTATAAAGATTCTGAGTGGTCCAGTAAAGATCCTGGAGACTTTATCAGCACTGCCCGGGATAAAATGTCAAGCAGTAAAGTAGGAGCTTTTTCTTCAGAGCAGCTGAAGTATTACTTTCAAGAACTGGTTGCAATGGAGAATGCTGGACGGAAAGTGTCTTTCACAGACCTGTGGGGACTTATTGTAGAGTTTTTCCTACAGCAGAAGGTGTGTTTTTGTTTTATTATGCACTTTGTGTTTTTATTTTGTATTTTTATGTTGTGAGCTGCCCTGTGATCTTCGGATATAGGGTTGTATACAAATTTAATAAATCACCACCACCTACAGTCGTACTTTGGAAGTTGAATGGAATCCGTTCCGGAAGTCCGTTCGACTTCCAAAATGTTCGGAAACCAAAGCGCGGCTTCTGATTGGCTGCAGGAAGCGGCGTTTGGGAGCCAAAACGTTTGACTTGCAAGGCGTTCAGGATCCAAGGTACGACTGTATATGTAATATATATGCATTGCAAGTAAATTCTAAATTTGAAACCCTTATTGCCTCTCCTCTATTCAGGAAGACCAGTCAAAGCTGTCTGACCAGCAAGAAGCTGTGAAACGGGGGCAGAATCCCTACCCAATCTATGCATCTGTTAATGTGAGGCCCAATGTTAGTGGTGGTGACTTTGCAGGTATAGTAAGGCAGGTGTATTTCTTTCTCATAAAATCTGTAAGTAGTTTTTTCCCCCTCTAGCATGGGCCATTTACCTGCCATTGCACAGTTGATTATTTCCCTGCCCATTAAGGAGGGTGAAGTGAAAGGATGGGGGTGGTGGCTGGTGATGGAAGAGAAATAGTAAGGATAGAAAAGTGGATGATTAATTGCGATGGGTCAGGAAATACTTTGCGTAAGCCTTAACTCCTCTCATAGTATTTTGCTCTCCCTTTTTTCACTTGTCATGATTTGACAGCACAGTTTCATTATTATAGTGAACATGTGAATGCTAAACACGTGAGCAGCATATAAACTAGCCTTATTACTTTGACTGGGGGGAATACAGCAGCCTTGTTTGCTTACCTGTTTCTGATGTGGTGCTGGTATTTTCCCTGTTAGAATGGTGTGAGTTCACGCCCTATGAGGTTGGATTTCGCAAGTATGGTGCTTTTGTCCGAACAGAAGATTTTGACAGCGAGTTCTTCATGGGGCGACTGATTAAGAAACATTCTGAGCCCAGGATCTGCTACCTGCAGGGTATGAACTTTGTGCTGGTTGTAAGGCAGAGACAATAACTTCATGAAGCATAGTGTCATTACCTTCTGATTCCTCAGTTATAGCCTACAGGGGTTTTGTTGGGTGGGTTTTGTCATGGTCTGTTATTTCAAGTTGAGAAGGAATGTCTTTGCGGGTCACATTAGTAGAGATGTGGGTGAGCAGGGCTGCCATCTCCTGAGGGTTGATCCCATTTCAGGCCTCTCAATATTTTTGGAGTAGGAGCCGCTCCCCCCGCCCCCGTGATGTCCCAAAAGCGTGGAGGCAAAACGCAGAGCCAAGTGTGGCATGGCTAGTTCCTCCTCCTCCTCCTCCTCCTCCTCCTTCTGGAAGGAGAGTCGAGCTAGCCTCCCACCAGCGGCAGTTCCAGGAGGAGTCGCCAGCCAATGGGGTCACCGTGTTCAGCTCCGCCCCCGGCTCCCCCTGACATCCTGATGTTGCACCCCCCTACGCTTACAATCTGGCACATCTGTGGATGAGGATTTGCCTTCTATTGTGGTTTGGCTTGGAGTCATAACAAACCACTTTCCTGACAACACTCTGCTTTACATTTACAGTACAAGCTACACTAAATGTTGTAGGTAGATGTGTTGGTGGGTTGGTAGGCCTGCTATGTTGTATCTTAGGACGGATGGTCCTCTGGCCCCTTCCCACTATCTAATCTCAAACTTTTCATGAGTCGCAGCCTTTAAAAGTACTTGCCACCATATCCTTTGGCTTATATGCCAAAATGCCTTCTGAGCAATGTACAACCAAGAAATCATAATTAAAATATGCAATAACAGTTGCACCTGTGGCAACTTTGCAAAAGTTAGCAATAATGTCCCAGCATATAGCTTTAAGCTGAAAACAGTTGCAGCCTTTGTGTTGCTAATGTCCTGTGCACTCTTTTGAAATAATCTTATTTGAAACACCACTAGAGGAAGCACACACAAAGAACTCCGACCTACCTCTTCATGGGGAGAATCTGAGGTTTAATATTAGCTAACACAAGATAAGGTTGTAGCCTGTACCTTGATCATGTGTATATTTTTGTTTGCCAAAGTGGGGAGAGCCTTTAAATTTGATTTGAAATAATTTCCTAATTACTCTACAGGAATGTGGGGCAGTGCCTTTGCTGCGAGTCTGGATGATGTATTTTTGAAGGTGGTTGGTTCAGGACTGAGCTTTCTAGAATCTCTTGGTGATGTTGTCAAAGTTATTGGTAAGGAACAAAGTTGCTCTGCATTATTTTGCACAATAATATCTTTGCGTGAGAATTTGGTTTGGCAGGCTATGGTACCTTCTTGTTAACATAATGTTGAAACTTTCAAACAATAGCCAGTCAACAGAACAGGCATAAATTTAAAGGGTAGTTGAACTTTTTGTTCTATGAATACCGTCAAAATTGTTCTCAACTGCTAATGGGATGATTTATTCCAACTTTGTTCTTGAGAAAAGTGGAGGAGCTACTTAATTGATTGCAAAATTACTTACAAGGCAGGGAAACATTTGAAAAAACTGCAATTGAAACAAAGCTGTTGAGAAGAATGTGTGACCCTGCCAGGGCCAACCAGGAGTTCCTTGGCAGCACTAGGAATCAGGCCCATATCTTAAGATTGTTTTCCTGATATGCTATTTTTAGTCATCTCTCTTCATTCTAACACATGTTACATTTCTGTAATAGAGTTTTCGATTTGAATTCAGAGCATCTTAAGTTCAGCAATGAGTGTTGTTTGACTTTGGGCCAATCATCATACTCAACTTAACATACAGTTGTTTGTTTGAGGATAAAATGTTTGGGGCCGGGGAGAGAGGGGAAGGTAAATCTATGTATATCGTTCTTGGGAAAAATATGGGATTGTTGCTGGTTAATGACCAGCTTGATCCCGTCCAACTCAGCTGTAGCTCCCATGTACTGCTGAAGGGATCCCAAGACAGTATTACAGAAGCTTATTTCTGTCTACTCCTTGTGCACATCTGAGACACTCAGTGCACCAAGCCGTTACAGTGATAGGAGGTCTGTGGATGCCTCCCATATTCACAGCCAACCTTACCCTCTCCAATTGATCCCGGAATGTAAGTTTGAGCCGATAAGAGGGGCAAATTTGGATAGGAGTGTGGGCGGTGTGCATTGTCTTCCTGTGGCTCCTAACAGCTTGGCACATTGTTTGCCTACGCAATGTGCTGCACTCCAGATGTCATTGAACTACAACTTCCATCAGCCCCAGCCAGCGTGGCCATTGGTCAGGAATGATGGGAACTGCAGTCCAACATCATCTGGGAGACACCACATTGGCTGCCTCTGCCTAGAAAGATGCCTCTACAGATGAATGCTGTACTTAAAGTCAACAGGTTTGAACTCATAACAGTAAGTTCCACATGGTCACAGTGTCTGTGATTTTTCTTATCAGTTACTATTGGCAATACTGTAGGAATGTTTACTGGTCAATGGTGAGAATGGTATATAAAGAGCTATCAGTTGCAGATCACATGGTATCATAGTATTTACACATATGAAAGACAGAAATGGCTGTCTTATATGGGGGGTGAAACCATGAGAGGTACACATAAACTCCAAATCTGAACTTTACCCTTAAATTATTTTACATGTGGTGGAGCAAACTTAACTCTTTTAGTCTTGATACCAGTTTTACCTGGTCTTCTTAATAACTGTTAACGCTGCTTATCATTTAAAATAATTTTATTTATTGTGTTTTTATTTATTGAGGCAGCACAAAGGTGGCATATAAATGAATATTTCAACAGCAGATATACGGCAAAGTGAAATACACAAATCTTGTGCGCATTGTTTCAAGGGCTCACAAAGTGTAAAGAGTGTTCATGCTAATTGAAGTATCTGTTTTCTCAAAACCTAAAGATTGGAGATATATATATATTAAAAACACTGCGTGATTCATGATTGTAGATGACTGTCGACGATCCCATCTCCGGGATCCTATGAGGCTGAAGACTCGTCTGGTTATACCTGGCGGACCTTTGATACAAATTTTCCAGGACTTCTTCAAGTCTCGTGTTACAGCTGGGGAAACTTTCAATTTCATGCAAGGATTGTACCTGCACAAGGATTACATCAGAGTCAATAAATTTGTGCTCGGGAAAGGTAAAATTTCTTTTTGGAATAAAAACCGACCTTCCCTAAAGTTTATAGATTAGCAAATGAAACCTGCATAGTGGGAAAATCCTCTGTTAATAGTGTCAGATCTCCACTAAAATCCAGTCAGGTGCCAAATACAGACATGGCTTTTCCTCTCTTAGTATAAAACATTCAATTATAAATTGAATTTCCATTGAAGGTATTGGCGGTTCTGTTTCACCATTGGTAAAAAAAATTTTTTTAGCATACTGTGTTGCTTTTTTTTAGGTACTCATTTAGACGCTTTCCCTAATAAGTTGACTCCAATGGAAGAAAGTCTGTACCTTGTAGATGGTGGCTTTTCTATCAATTCTCCCTTCCCCTTGGTACTGCAACCAGAGAGAGATGTTGATGTCATCCTATCATTCAATTATTCTTGGGAAGCGCCGTTTGAGGTAAGACAAATCATTGTAGCCTGCCAAGTCAACTTGAGGTTGTTGGGTTTTTTTGGCTTCTTAAGTTTTCTTGGCACTAGTTCAAGTTCAGCTGAAGTTTTTCCAGTATGGTTCCAGTTCAAGCAAATGAGCATAGGGAAAAGGTGCTAATAATTGCCTGACTGTTTTTTATGTCCCTCTAATACTTCAGGTCTTAGAATTGACTCAGAGGTACTGCAAAGAACGGGACATTCCTTTCCCAGAAATCATCTTCACCAAGGAAGATAAAGAAAATCCCAAGGAATGTTACATGTTTATGGATGCTGAGAATCCCAAGGTTCCCATAGTCCTTCACTTCCCTCTCGTTAATGACACCTTCCACAAATACAAAGCACCAGGTAAGCACGTGAGCTTACACAGCCTGCATTTTAAAGTATCTAGTTGTTATTCCCAAGTAGAATGTTGAACTGACTGAACATTTTGAACTTGATTTTGGTGTGGTCATTAAGCTGTTCTGGAGAACAGCAAAAGGTGAGGAAATGAACTGAGTGTCCTCAGAACAGTCTATTTTAAGGAGTAGAACTTGAAAATCTAAATAGAAAATTACTAATTCCTTTATGAATAAGGCTCTACCCTACCAACCAGTTCTGTCACGTATGCTGGTGATCTGGTTTAATATTTCAGTGGCTTATAATTAGCTAGTGGGACAGCATCAATACTGACATATTATGAAGAACTTGGATCATCATTTTTGCTTGGGACTTCCAATAAAAACACACACATCTTAAACATGAATGTTGTTGTTGTTGGTTTTTTAAAATATTTTTTATTGCTCAGTTTCCACATAACAAATTATCAAGCCATATAATCACCTACATAATCCCCCCCCATTTTTTATTCCCCCCCAAGGACTTCCCTCAGCTCCTCTCCCTGATTTCGCTGCACATATTTTCTCTGCATATTATAAAACTGTATATATCCTTACATACCTGTCCATCATGTTATCAACAATAAATTTGTATGTGTTTATTCAAAACCTGCCAAGGAGTCCAGTTCATTTTGTTGTATTTTTAGATAATTTGTATCAAGTTCCCATTCCTCCTTGAAATCACAGTTGTCCTTGTCTCGCAGTTTGTATGAAACATGAATGCTGTTTTTTATAACGCAAGACACACTTTCTTGGAAATTTGGGAGAACAGGGAGCAGTTAATTTAATTGTCATGGTTAGCCAACTATCCCACGCCAGTTGATTAATTATTTGTGCTTGTTTGTAATGTGGTATAGTAAAATACAGTATATAGTAAAATGCAGTCATGTTCATACTCCAATTAGCCCCAGTCAACATGATCAGTTGTCAGGAAGAATGGGAGTTGTGGCCCTCCAGATGTTGTTTGACTACAGACCTCTCATTCCTGCCTCAGAACAAGTTTGAAGGAAGGTATTCACGCAATGTATCTTTTCCCTCTCCTCTGGCTGCAGGAATAGAACGTGAATCAGAAGAGGAGAAATCCTTTGGTGATTTTGTGATTGGAGGAATGGACTCGCCATACTGGACACTAAACTTCACCTATGAACCGGAAGACTTTGACAAACTGCTAGAATTGAGTCGCTATAATGTAGTGAATAACAAGGAAGCTGTTTTTAAAGCATTAAGTATGGCTTTAAGCAGACGAAAGAAGAAAAGAGGATTAGGGTTTCTTTGAAAACTGGGAAGTGAATGGATTGCAGTGCTTTTATGAAAGATCCCAGTAGAAATAAATGAATCTTTGCAGGGTCCTTTTTATGTGAATGGATGTTGCACTGCGAAATTCTCTTCTGATTGCACTGGAAACTTAAGTTTACATACAAAGAAAGCTGTTCTTTCCTTTTTCTGTTCAGTGGATAAAACTTGGCAGTAGGTTTCCAGTGCTACAGGTCCAATATTTAAGAAGTCCATTTCTGAATGTCCACTGGGGTATATATTTCATCTGATATCGGGGTGGGGAAATCTGAGAACTGTTTTATATTTATTTTTATTGTAATCATATTGTAAATAGTCTTAATCAAAGAATATGAAATTAATGTTACATGTTCTGCTGGGTAAAGGGATGCAATTACTACACTTTGAAAGAATACCTTTGAAGAAGAAACACTGATACCGTCAAATTTAACCCTCATCTTGAGTGACTGGCATTCTACATCAGTGCACAAAGAATGTTATTTATTTTAAGAAATCACTGTGTGTTTGAATAATGAGGACAGGAGTCTTCATATCATGGAAATTCACAAGAAAGTGAATTTTTTTTTTTTACAAAACTTTTGTTAATCTTTATTTTGGTAATGAAGCACAACAGTACTTTTATAAATAAAAATATTTTTCTAGTCTCCCTGTCATTCTGAGCATTTGATACATGTGCATTGATTGATTGATTGATTGAATTTATATACCTGGGCGTATAGGGTCCACTGGGCTAACGTACTGCTGGACTTCAGTTGCTTAATAATACAGTGGTACCTCGGGTTAAGTACGTAATTTGTTCTGGAGGTCTGTTCTTAACCTGAAACTGTTCTTAACCTGAAGCACCACTTTAGCTAATAGGGCCTCCTGCCCCTGCGCCGGAGCACAATTTCTGTTCTCATCCTGAAGCAAAGTTCTTAACCCGAGGTACTATTTCTGGGTTAGCGGAGTCTGTAACCTGAAGCGTATGTAACCTGAAGAGTATGTAACCCAAGGTACCACTGTAGTAGAAGTAGTAGCAGTAGTAATAATAATAATAATAGTAATTTATTATTTATACCCAGCCACTATATGACCTTGTGTCATATATTCATTAACAAAGTCCTTCTCCATGAAAATAAGCAATGTTTCACCTTTGACATTTGAACTATGACAGAATACAACCTTTGGTAAAAGTTCTTGTAGAATTTACTGCCCAGTGTCTCTAGGATTTAGTTAACAAGATCTGGATCATCCCAATACCAGTAGCCGCTAAGAGATGTTGTACTTTGAGGTCTAAGCCAAGGTGACTACGAAATATTTTGTTGTTGTTATTGATTTAGATTATGATTGAAATATGAAATGTTAAAGTGAAATGCTTCACGACAGTGGCATGTACCCAAAGACTTTTGTGTGACTGGAAAGCACTTCTGCTCACACAAGGCAGAGAGCTGGTTGAATACTGCAGTTTATTGACATTTTGGTGCCTGGATGAGAATGCTAAGTCCTTAACATGGTAAACCAAAAGAGTTTCTTTTTTAATGAAATATAGTTAGTAGTCATGACAGCCCGTGAACTGATCTTGAACTGCGCAACAGAGACGTTGCTTAAGTGTCCCGTATCAAAAGCTGCTTTTGCACTTCTTAGTGGTCTAATAAGGCAAACAACTTCAAGCCTTTAAAATTGCTTATATTAAGCTTGTGCAGCGGCTTGTTTATGCAGGTTTGGCTCTTTAAGGTCCTCGTCATAAGAAGTGTATATTTTTCAATCTGTGAACCTTTCAACCAGTTCCATTTTTAAAAAATGCATGAACATTGAAAAGGAACATCCAATGCACAAATAATTTAAATGTCACACCAAACAGGAAATTCATAACTGAGGATAGTTCTCCACCCATTTTTACACCTATAGTTAATCATTTCTGCAGCAAAATGATGGGTGGGATAATTTGAGATAGGTGATACTGAATAAAAATAATTTGGAAAAGGAGAGATACTTGCCGTAGCAGAAGAGTAGAATGAAAACACAGGCGGAGAGTTCTTAGCAGAAAGACCATGCACTGTAAATTCACTTTTATACACAGCATGAGGACCACTGAGGATATGTGGTGGGAAGTCAGCAATCCTGTTAAGGTTCTTACTGCAGTTTGGAACACAGAGAAGAGGAGGGCTATTGACAACAGTTGTGCCTGACTGGGCACAGCAGAACTTGGCCAGAGCAAAAGCGACAAAAGGTCTAGTGCATCCTTCGCTTACTCAAGAAGCTGCCCAGAGGAGCTCTTTTGCATGGTCAAAGTTTTAATGAATCTAGAAAATTTAAATATTGCATATGTTTTAATTAAAAGATGAATTGTTGTTGTATGAGTGGGGCATTGTTGCTTTTGGTTGTTCTTAGGGTATTTATTTTTGTGTTTCTATGTTGTAAACTGCCCTGTGATCTTCAGATGAAGGGCGCCATAGAAATTACGGTAATAATAATAATAGTCAGATAAAACAGTCTAGATCATATGACCTGGACCAGGTTACTAAAAGTGATATATGGATTATGTTCTAGTGACTTCTTGTTAAAATTATTTGTAAAACTATCCAGGAAAACGTGTTTTTTGTACAGCTGAATGTGAGTATGATGCTGTGATTGACAATGACGGGGTAGTGCAGTGATCTAATATTACAATTTTGTATTGCTAAATGAAGTGGTTACATGTATTTATATTGGCGATGCCAACGCAATGAATCAAGAGGATGAATGGTTATCCTAAGGCTTTTCTCATGGCTGTTTAAAAATAAGCAAATAAGCAAAAGATTTTTAAAATCATCATCATCATCGCTATGTTTATTTCCTGTATCAACAAGTAGACATTAAGCAAACCTTTAGCGCACATTGGGTTTTGAAATGGACCTTGCTTCACATGCCAATTATAACTGTGAGAGAAACAACCTGAAATGTTAAGGTCAAAGTATGACACCTCCTTTGTGAGGAATTTTGCTTAGCCTACACCCAGGCACCCATGGGCTGGGAGCTTGTGACATCTCTCAGTCGCTGACAACACCAATTCGTAGAATCAGCCACCAGTGTCAGGGACAGTAATTGGGGCACCATTTGTCCTTGCCATTCTGCAGATCGGATGTATAATGATACCTATGTGGTTTGGTATAGTGAGGAAACAGCCTCATAGTGGGGTATTCTGTTAGGTCACCTGCAAGTAGGCAATGCCCTAATGCAGGGGTAGGCAACCCAAGCCCCGTGGCCCGGATGCGGCCCAATTGCTTTCTCAATCCGGCCCATGGACGGTCTGGGAATCAGCATGTTTTTACATGAGTGGAATGTGTCCTTTTATTTAAAATGCATTTCTGGGTTATTTGTGGGGCATAGGAATTTGTTCATATTTTTTTTCAAAATATAGTCCAGCCCACCACATGGTCTGAGGGGCGGTGGACCGGCCCACGGCTGAAAAAGTTTGCTGACCCCTCCCTCATGTATGCAACAGCAACCAGATTCGATGTTTGTATACAAATATATGCAATATTTCTAAGGCTTTTTGAGCAGAGGTGGCTTGTTCTTCAAATGAAAAGCTATTTAGTGTGATAAAACTATATTTGCGTCTACTTAACAGCTGCAGAAGTTGGTTACTATCTTGTATTATAAGCCCTTATGCATCTAAACCTGCACTTTCCTGCCTTCCAGAAAGGGAAGAAAACTTTGCAAGCTATTGTTGCAATTGTACACGCAGCAGGTAAGAGTTTCCTTTGTGAGACACATGAACATAATGCATGACCTTTTTTAAATAATAAGAAAATAGCATGCATACATTTTATAGAACTAGGGAAGCTAAAATGCCTCAAATCATAGTACCATAGTGATGGAAGGTACCCCGAGACTCACCTAGCACAGTCAAACCTCGTTTTTTGAACATCTTGGCTGCCAAATGTTTTGGAAGCCGAATGCCGAAAACCCGGAAGTGAATGCTTCCATTTTCAAATGCGCCTCGGAAGGCGAACGGCTTCTGAGGTGCATTTCTCAATTTCCCCCATTGAACTTGCTGACAACTCTGTGATCCTCGGTTTTTGAACATTTCGGAAGTCGAACAGGCTTCCAGAATGGATTACGTTCGAAAACCAAGGTTCCGCTGTACACAGTATTCCAAGTGTGGTTGCACCAAATATAAGGACATTCTTATATTGGCAGTTTTATTTTTGGATTCCTTTCCTAATGATCCCTAACTTAGAATCCACCTTTTTCACAGCTGTTGCAAACTACATCTTCACTTTCATTGAACTATTCCCCACAATCCAAATAACTCTTTCCTGGTTGGTCACCACTAGTTCAGCCCTTATCGGTTTATATGTGAAGATAGGATTTATTTGTTTATCTAATTAGCCTCTATGTGCATCACATCATATCTGCTTACACTGAATCACATTTGCCTTTTTACAGCGCATTTGCCCAGTTTGGAGAGATCCTCTTGGAGCCCCTTGCAATCTATATTGCCTTTTAGTACTCTGAATAATTTTACCACCCTGAACAACAATAAAGTCCTGGCAGTACTGCAATCTTCAGTCCCCTGCAGTACAGCTAATCTGGGTACTGGCTATTGTACTAGGTAAAAACTGATGGCTACATTGCATGATTTAACAATCTAGGCATGACTTGGTTTAGCATCTGGAGAAGCTCTGAGGTCACATTTGGTAATGGATACCAGGAAAGGAACTCTGGAATTTTGTCAGCTAGTGATGTGCATAACTCAGTTGGCCACACCATAAAAATACAGTGCAAACTTGTTAAAAATAATAATTTTCTATTTATATGTGCACGGAGCACTCTTAAAGTATTTGTTTTTAATCACCGAGGGTGTGGTTGTGTTTCTGCTTATATTACAATGATTTCCAAGTTCTGTCACTTTAAAGGCAGACACAACCAGGACTAGTCCCCTTCAGTCAAGGAACCAGTTCCCTCAAGCACAACCTGACATTTTTCTCATCTGACTGCATGAGGCTTGAGAATACAGGATGTCTGAGGATCCGACTACCAGTTTGCCGGAGGTAAATTTAATAGTACGCTATTCAATATATATATATATATTTGATGCAAAGTATCACCTGGAAGGGGAGGGGGCAAATGGAGGAACACATTTTGGGCTGGGGTGTGTGTGTGTGTGTGTGTGTGTACACATGCACTACAGGGTCAGGACACTTGAGGGCATTCCAGTAAGATTAACATGTGAGGGGTGGAATCTGTACACATATGAAAAACGCTGTGAAAATGCTTTTTTTAAAAAAATGATGAAAATACATTGAATTTTACATAGCTCACTGTTGCCATCTAGTGTCACATATGCAGTGCTTTTTTCTGGGGGTATGCAGGGGTACGTATACCCCTAAACATTTTGTGAATCTTTGTACTTTTATCCATTTACTGTATTTATTTTTCCTGATTTGTACTATAAAATGGTGATTTTCTTGAGTCAAAATGAGAGTACCCCTAAACATTTTTTAAAGAAGAAAAGCACTGCACATTTGTATACTGCATTTTACAATTTGCAACTGTGTAGCTGGGTACAAGGTCTTGAGCTTAAGTAGGTAAAGCATTGTATGAGATTCTATGAGATTGTAACTCATAGAAGGGCTCTTTTAAATATCACCTCCTCATCTGTTTTGAACCTTACCTTCAAATTACTGTTCATGTTCTGGGTTAAAGTACCTCTCAGATATGCTCCTGTCTTATCATGCTACAATTCTGAGATTATCTATTCTGTTTCCTTTTGCTGGTACGTGTGCGTAGTTAAATTCAGTTTTGTGACTTCATCAAATCATACATTTGCTTTGCAGATCCAAACCTTCCCCACTTCTCAGCTCACTGTGAAAATCTTGCAAGCTAGAAATATCACTGCAGCCGACCCACGTAAGTACCATATTTCCTTCACATTTTTGGTTGCCTCTCTTCCATGAAATTAAAAGGACTGGTAACCAGAAAAACAAAACATGAAACATTTTCAACAGATGGTGAGAGTGGAAATCTAAATTCAGGTTTTAACTAGGGATCAAAAATGTTTGGCAAACCTGAAATGCTTTGGCAGGTTTTTGAAGGAACCACAGTCCTACCCTTTTATATGTATAAAGACTCTTTGGACTGAGAACAAACTTGGTGGGATACATAGGTTTGCTTCTGACTCAGTCCTACTCCTCCTGAGGACTCAGTTGTTGTTGTTTAGTCGTTTAGTCGTGTCCGACTCTTCGTGACCCCATGGACCAGAGCACGCCAGGCACTTCTGTCTTCCACTGCCTCCCGCAGTTTGGTCAGACTCATGTTTGTAGCTTCGAAGACACTATCCAACCATCTCGTCCTCTGTCGTCCCCTTCTCCTTGTGCCCTCCATCTTTCCCAACATCAGGGTCTTTTCCAGGGAGTCTTCTCTTCTCATGAGGTGGCCAAAGTATTGGAGCCTCAGCTTCACGATCTGTCCTTCCAGTGAGCACTCAGGGCTGATTTCCTTCAGAATGGATAGGTTTGATCTTCTTGCAGTCCATGGGACTCTCAAGAGTCTCCTCCAGCACCATAATTCAAAAGCATCAATTCTTCGGCGATCAGCCTTCTTTATGGTCCAGCTCTCACTTCCATACATCACTACTGGGAAAACCATAGCTTTTACTATACGGACCTTTGTTGGCAAGGTGATGTCTCTACTTTTAAGATGCTGTCTAGGTTGGTCATTGCTTTCCTCCCAAGAAGCAGGCGTCTCTTAATTTCGTGGCTGCTGTCACCATCTGCAGTGATCATGGAGCCCAAGAAAGTAAAATCTCTCACTGCCTCCATTTCTTCTCCTTCTATTTGCCAGGAGGTGATGGGACCAGTGGCCATGATCTTCGTTTTTGGTGATGAGCTTCAGACCATATTTTGCGCTCTCCTCTTTCACCCTCAATAAAAGGTTCTTTAATTCCTCCTCACTTTCTGCCATCAAGGTTGTGTCATCTGCATATCTGAGGTTGTTGATATTTCTTCCAGCAATCTTAATTCCGGCTAGGGATTCATCCAGCCCAGCCTTTCGCATGATGAATTCTGCATATAAGTTAAATAACCAGGAGACAATATACAGCCTTGTCGTACTCCTTTCCCAATTTTGAACCAATCAGTTGTTCCATATCCAGTTCTAACTGTAGCTTCTTGTCCCACATAGAGATTTCTCAGGAGACAGATGAGGTGATCAGGCACTCCCATTTCTTTAAGAACTTGCCATAGTTTGCTGTGGTCGACACAGTCAAAGGCTTTTGCATAGTCAATGAAGCAGAAGTAGATGTCTTTCTGGAACTCTCTAGCTTTCTCCATAATCCAGCGCATGTTTGCAATTTGGTCTCTGGTTCCTCTGCCTCTTCTAAATCCAGCTTGCACTTCTGGGAGTTCTCGGTCCACATACTGCTTGAGCCTTCCTTGTAGAATTTTAAGCATAACCTTGCTAGCGTGTGAAATGAGTGCAATTGTGCGGTAGTTGGAGCATTCTTTAGCACTGCCCTTCTTTGGGATTGGGATGTAGACTGATCTTCTCCAATCCTCTGGCCACTGCTGAGTTTTCCAAACTTGCTGGCATATTGAGTGTAGCACCTTAACAGCATCATCTTTTAAAATTTTAAATAGTTCAGCTGGAATACCATCACTTCCACTGGCCTTGTTATTTGCAGTGCTTTCTAAGGCCCATTTGACTTCACTCTCCAGGATGTCTGGCTCAAGGTCAGCAACCCCACTACCTGGGGTGTACGAGACATCCATATCTTTCTGGTATAATTCCTCTGTGTATTCTTGCCACCTCTTCTTGATGTCTTCTGCTTCTGTTAGGTCCTTACCACTTTTGTCCTTTATTATGGCAATCTTTGAACGAAATGTTCCTTTCATATCTCCAATTTTCTTGAACAGATCTCTGGTTCTTCCCATTCTGTTGTTTTCCTCTGTTTCTTTGCATTGCTCGTTTAAGAAGGCCTTCTTATCTCTCCTTGCTATTTTTTGGACATCTGCATTCAATTTCCTGTATCTTTCTCTATCTACCTCGCATTTTGCTTGCCTTCTCTCCCCCGCTATTTGTAAGGCCTCATTGGACAGCCACTTTGCTTTCTTGCATTTCCTTTTCATTGGGATGGTTTTCGTTGCTGCCTCCTGTATAATGTTGCGAGCCTCCATCCATAGTTCTTCAGGCACTCTGTCCAGCAAATCTAAATCCTTAAACCTGTTCCTCACTTCCACTGTGTATTCATAAGGGATTTGATTTAGATTGTATCTTACCGGCCCAGTGGTTTTTCCTACTTTCTTCAGTTTAAGCTTGAATTTTGCTATAAGAAGCTGATGATCTGAGCCACAGTCAGCTCCAGGTCTTGTTTTTGCTGACTGTATTGAGCTTCTCCATCTTTGGCTGCAGAGAATATAATCAATCTGATTTCGATGCTGCCCATCTGGTGATGTCCACGTGTAGAGTCGTCTCTTGTGTTGTTGGAAAAGCGTGTTTGTGATGACCAGCTTGTTCTCTTGACAGAACTCTATTAGCCTTTGCCCTGCTTCATTTTGCTCTCCAAGGCCAAACTTGCCAGTTGTTCCTTTTATCTCTTGATTCCCTACTTTAGCATTCCAATCCCCTATAATGAGAAGAACATCCTTCTTTGGTGTCACTTCTATAAGGTGTTGTAAGTCTTCATAGAATTGGTCAATTTCAGTTTCTTCAGCACCAGTAGTTGGTGCATAAACTTGGATTACTGTTATGTTAAAAGGTCTGCCTTGGATTCGTATCGAGATCATTCTATCATTTTTGAGATTGCATCCCAGTACTGCTTTCGCCACTCTTTTGTTGACTATGAGGGCCACTCCATTTCTTTTGCGGGTTTCTTGCCCACAGTAGTAGATATGATGGTCATCCGAACTGAATTCGCCCATTCCCATCCATTTTAGTTCACTGATGCCCAGGATGTCAATATTTATTCTTGCCATCTCATTTTTGACCACATCCAACTTACCCAGGTTCATGGTTCTTACATTCCAGGTTCCTATGCAATATTTTCTTTACAGCATTGGACTTTCCTTTCGCTTCCAGGCATATCCGCAACTGAACGTCCTTTCGGCTTTAGCCCAGCCGCTTCATCAGCTCTGGATCTACTTGTACTTGTCCTCCGCTCTTCCCCAGTAGCATGTTGGACGCCTTCCGACCTGAGGGGCTCATCTTCCAGCGTCATAACTTTTATACGCCTGTTGTCTTTGTCCATGGAGTTTTCTTGGCAGGGATACTGGAGTGGCTTGCCGGTTCCTCCTCCAGGTGGATCACGTTTGGTCCAAACTCTCCACTATGACCTGTTCATCTTGGGTGCCCTGCTCGGCATAGTTCATAGCTTCTCTGAATTCTTCAAGCCCCTTCGCCACAGCAAGGCAGTGATCTATGAAGCGGCAGTGATCCATGAAGGGGACTCAGTTACACAGCTGCAATTCTAACATTATAAGTGTGTTATAAGACTGTGACACCAGACAGCTCTGTAGAGCTCAATGGCAAATTGCATATATATTTTATTGCATCTTTAATAGCATTTGAATAGCGTTTTTAATATCTGTTTAGATCCAGCCTCAGAGAAGTCTCACTGAATTCAATAAGCATGAGTCAGTCATGAGAATGATATCAGTAGGTCTACTCTAAAGTAGAACTTATCTGGATACAGCTCACAGTCATGCCATCTGAAGCTTAAAAAATAATCCCTTTCCAAATATTACACAACACAGAGTACCACCTTATTAGTTTAGGACTCAGAGGTAGCTACGTTTTAGGTATAAATATCATATGTAAGTGAAGACTGGTCTACATGTAAAACTCTACACAGAAGCTGTCCTGGTCATTGATGTGAAAAGCAGGATCACTACACATTTCAGTGGGGAGGACCCATAATTCAGTGGGTAGAGCACACGTTTTCTATGCAAAAGGTTCCAGGTTCAATCCCTGGAAATTTCCAGTTAAAATAAGAATCAGGTAGCACAGGTTTCCTCAGCCTTGGCACTCCAGATGTTTTTGGCCTACGACTCCCATGATCCCTAGCCAGCAGGACCAGTGGTCAGGGATGATGGGAATTGTAGTCTCAAAACATCTGGAGGGCCGAGGTTGAGGAAGCCTGAGGTAGCAGGTAATGGGAAAGACTCCTGCTTGTTTGAAAAGCTGCTGCCAGTCAGAGTAGATAATATTAGGCTAGGTGGAGAGATAGGTTGACCCTTGGTATAAGACAGTCTTCTATGTACTGCCATGTAGATTAAATATGTAAAGCAGCCCTTTATATGTGATTAGTAAAATACCGAGGGTGGTAGTCAACTAAGTGTTACTCAGAGTAGACCCACTGAAATTAACCAACATGACTCAATTATGACAACTGATTTCAGTGGGTCTACTCTGAGTAACACTTAGTTGACTAACACCCCTACTGTTTTGATAAGCTCGGTATGTGTAGTTGGTATGGAGAGGTTTGCAGACAGCTCAGAGATGTGTTGTTTACCTCCATCCTTCTGTGCTAGATGTCTGTCATGTCGTGTCAGGCCAGTCAGTGGGTGTGGATGATGGACAATTTCTCCCTCCCTTTGTTAAAAGGTGTCATCTAGTGCAGGGCTTTACTTTCCCTCACAGAAGCGAATTATTAAGCGCGTTCATTTATATGGTAGAAAAATAAAGGAGTGTACCTGGCGCTAAACTGGCTCCTTATCCCTGCAGATTCTAGCTCCAAAGCTACCTAATTTCTTTATCTGAAAGGTGCCAAACTTAATACAATAGAGTCACAAAGGTTATCAGCGTTGTGATTTTAGTGCTTGGCTTTAGATTCTTACTAAGCAAGTTTTTCTCCCTGCTTTAGTGAGTGGAGCTGACTGCTATGTAACTCTATGGCTGCCAACAGCTTCGCAGGAGGAAGCAAGGACTCAAACAGTCCTGAATTCAAGTGCACCTGTGTGGAACGAAACCTTCTATTTTACAGTACAGAATCAAGTGAAGGTAAGGAAAAGGAGTTTATGGCATTAGTCTCAGAGAATCTGCATTCTAGAATTTCTCTAGTAGCTTAAGATGGGCAAGTTTTTGTTCAGATAGATTTGAGGTCCTAACGTTTATCACAAGCACATACAATTTTTTTAAGGCGCTTCCTTAATTTTCAGAACATCCTGGAACTGAAGATTTACGATGAAGACCTGCTCACCACAGATGACCTTCTCTTTACTGTCCTTTTTGATGTAGCTGAAGTCAGCCCTGGAGAGAGATTCCACACAACCTTCATACTGAATTCAGAGGTACAGAACGAAATACCTTGCTCATATCTTTGCTTTACACTTCAGTGGAGGAGAAATATTTATGTGTGTCTCGTGAACATTTTGATTATGTAAATATATTATCTGACATCATATGCCATGTTTGAAGAAGCCCTGAATGATGCTTACCTGACTTCCTGAGCTAAGTCACTGCTGCTTATCAGGAGGGGCAAGGTGGCAAGGAGAGTAGCGTGGTGCAAATGCTCTGGCAAGAGCACCGGTTTGGTTCTGTCAGTGTGTTCGCACTGCGCTGCACTCCGTCTCCTGGTAAGAGCAGGCACTCAGTTGCTGAGAGGTCAGGTAAGCATCTCTAGCCCACCTGTAACTGGCAAACGTACTTGCTTTGTGTGGATCCTTTATTTAACTGAAGTGACACTGTTCACACATAAGAGGGAGAGGTGTCAGCAAGCAGGAGGTTTGTAGAAGTACCCCCCAAAATCCCCCTTTAAGTGGGGTTTGGCTAATGAGGATTGAGGATGCCTGGTGAGCATGGGATGCTTGCTGAACGTTGGAGGGGCAGGCTGTGGGAACGATGGACAACAGGGATATAAAATGCATACAATTATGCACAGTGTAGAAAAGGTGAATAGGGACATTCTCCCTCACCCCACTAGAACCGGGAATCAGCCAATGAAACCGAATGGAGGACAAACAGAAGGAACTGGATCTTCACACAGTTGAGCTGTGGAATCACTAGCCTAAGGCGTAGTGATGGCTGCCAATTTAGAAAACTTTTAAAGGAGGTGTGAGTCTGGCACTGAGAGGAATTGTAATTCAGCAAAACCTGTAGGGCCAAAAAGAAGAAGACAAATTCATGTAGCACAGGCATGTACAGCATGTCGATCGTGAGCCCCCAGTCGATCGCAGGCCCTTTCTCTGCAACCTCAGATGATGCTGCTGCTGCTGCTGCAGCAGCAGCAGCAGCAGCCCTTGCCGCTGCCGGTCTCCACAGCGATGCAAGCCTGAGCAGAGACGTGAGGGAGCTGGGGAGAGTGTTGTTGGAAGAGTGGGGGCGGGCTTAGCATGGCTTTCCCCATTGGGAAAAGGGAAGGTTGCCGGAGATGGAGGGAGGCGCGAGGAGGAACCGCGTGGGAAGGCTCCCTTTGGCAGGAAGGGAAGGAGGGAGGGATCAGGATCAGTTGCACGCCCCCCTTTGACTGGGGGGAGGAGGAGGGAGGGAGGGCAGATACTATCGGGGTCCACATCAGCTGCGTGGCTCCCTTTGACAGTGGAGGGAGAGAGAGAGATCCCGCTCTGGTTTGCGGGTGGGCGGGAGGAGAAGCGTTGTCCAGGACAGCTCCGCAGTGCCATAGCTGCCAGCTTTTCCCTTCTTTAAAAGGGAAATTCCCTTATTCCGAATAGGATTCCTCGCAAGAAGTCCTCCGCCCAGCTGGTTTGAGGGGAGAGAGAGAGAGAGATGCTTGGGGGGCGGGGGAGAAAGAGCTGGCTTGGGGGAGAAAGAGCTGGCTTGGGGGGGAAAGAGCTGCTTTGGGGGGGAGAGAAAGGGCTGGCTTGGGGGGGGGAGAGCTGGGCAGCCGCCCAGTGGCGTAGCGTGGGGGGTGCAGGGGGGCCGGCCGCACCGGGCGCAACATCTGGGGGGGGCGCTCGCACTCGCAGCTCTCTGCCCCTACCTGGCTCACTCACTCTCTCTCACTGCAGTGCTGGCTGTGCGATCCGATCCGAGCCGCTGGGTCGCCGCCCACTGTGGAGGGGGTGGGTGCCAGGCGTGCGGAGAGAGAGCGAGGGACTATCTGGGGGAGGGACAGTGCAGCGGCCGCCCAGCGCAGCGCTGAGCGCGGGAGAGAACCACACCAGACCAGCCCAGTCAGCAGCAAGAAGAAGCTGGCAGCGGCGGCAGGTTAGGGGTTAGGGGGCGCAAATTACTTGCCTTGCCCCAGGTGCTGACAACCCACGCTACGCCGCTGCAGCCGCCCACCCTGCACCCACCCCTGCGCCATGGGGGAAGCAGCCAGCACCTGCCCGCCCACCCTACACCTATCCCTGGGTGGTAGATCACTGCCAGTTTTTGATATTGGATTGTAGATCACAAGCTACTTGAAGTTGGACATGCGTGTTGTAGGTTAAGGCAATCCGCAGCTGTTATCTGCTGATTATCAGAATAAGGACTGAATGGAGGAACAGGTGGGACTTTGGGTTGTTCCAGCAGGACTCTTCTTATAGTTTTATGGCTGAAATCCTGCAATGTTCTGCTTCACTTGCCATCCATATTCAGTTAATATGAAAAGCATCTCTTTACTTTTTTTTGTTTTTAAGCAGATTTTTTTTATTATGCTGCTGATCCCAGCCATTTTTTTCTTTCCAGAGTAAGGAAGAACTGGATGTAGAGTTCATAATGAAGGAAAAGTATGTAGTAATAATAGGGAAGTATTCTGGATTCATTATAAAATGTGGTTTCAGGGTTGTTGTTTTTAAAAAAATATGGGTTTAAGTTAGTGCATTTATAGATGTCTTTGTTTATAACAAGCTGTGAATTTAATGAGCAGGAGTCATCAAGATAGCACAACTAATTACATATGCTGTCACTTTGAGCATTCAGGGTGCTGAAAGCTTCCAGATGATAGACTTTAGCTTGTCTAGGCATGAATTTAATTGTGCATAATAAATCGAACAATTGATGTGGTTGCTTCTTCTGTTTTTCAGTTAATTACCTTTCACCAAAAGTTCTAGTCTTCCTGAAGTAAGCATGCTCTTCTTAATTTAATTAAATAAAGCCTGCTTTATGCCTTTCCTCCATTCTGGGAGCATGCCGTATGAAATGTGATGCAGGGTGTTTGCTGATCCATAATGTGGAATTCAAACCATTACAGGTAGATTTCAGGGGCTGTTTCACACTTGCCATTTTTTCTACTGGAGAGATAAGGTTGTTCTCTATAATTCAAGTAGTATACATAGTAAAAGCAAAGTATTTTCTTTCATATCATATAAAAAACAAACTGCATTGCTATTGCTTTAAATGTTGTACATTCAAACTGTTGGGGAAGTATCATCTAACAAAGAAAAAGATCTCTATGTTATGGGGAAAGAAAGACTAGCAGGCATGTTGAAGTAGAGACTGAAGTGCCTTTCCCTCAGGAGATAGCTGATCCTTTATTGAACTCCACCTCTCTTTCCTGTTCCTAGGCATGTCCAAAGTCCATTTCGGGGGCCTAATCCAGCCCACCAGTTGGTTTAATCCAGCCCCTGTGGCAGTTTGTTTCCGGGGGGGGGGGGAATCCTAAAAAAAGCCTCAACAACTTCAATCTGAAAAAAAGTTCAACAACTTCAACCCGAAAAAAAGGTTAACAACTTTGGCCGGCCCTTTGGTCAGCCCTCACGGCCTTTCACTTCATCAAATTTGGCCCTCTTTGAAAAAAGTTTGGACACCACTGTAACCCCTGAAGAACCCATAATGTATCACACCACAATTTACCTTTGGAAAGGAATGTGGGAGTGTTCCTAAATACTATCAATTTTTATAAAGTAATAGTTCCAATGGAAGGATTTTTGGAACTTTTTCGTAAAAGCATATAGTGAGTGATTATTAAAACATGTAGGCTTGGATCCAGGGATCATAGAATCAGGGTTGTCTTGCACAAGTAGAAAAGCAAAGTAAAATTAGATTATATCCAGCAAAGGACAGCGATACACACAGAACAAACTAATGTGTACATCTGTAGCAGGCCCAATTTGATTACCATTAAGCACTTTTAAGTGAGCGCTAAAATGAATCACATAGATATTCTCTCCCAACTGAAGCTGAAGAACTTCAGGTTGCAGTCTCCTGAACATGCTTACTGAAAGTTAAGGTGTATTGGCTTGCTCTGAGCAAGTGCTTTAGTTGGTGTTTAGAGTTTGTTGTTGTCTAGCCTGGATGTGAGTGAGGGTGGGATTCCTTTTGCATGCCCTCCAACATTTTTCAGTTGAAAATAGGGATGCCCAGTGCCATTTCCCAAGAAAAAGAGGTGCCAGAACTCACCATGAACGCCTCCCCGTTCTCTTATAATGGCAATGGTACCCACCTGAAAGGTGCTGGAAATGAGTTCCGGTGAGTTCCTGTTGAAAGAAAAAGCCCTGGGGATGTCCTATTCCATACCCTCCAAAACTTTTTCGATGGAATGGGGATGTCCTACTATACTCTCCAACATTTCTCCGATGAAAATTGGGACATCCTAAGGAAAAGTGGGACGTTCTGGGATCAAATCAGAAACCAGGATGGCTTCTGTAAACCCAGGACTGTCGCTGGAAAATAGGGACACTTGGAGGGTCTGCTTTTCTTTATTGCCTGTGGCTCACACTCCTGCCTGTAATCCTGCTTTGCCAGGCCTCAGTTCACTAAATTTGTAAGGCAAGATTGGTTGCTAAGATGGATGTATTCAGTGCAATTATTTTTAAAACTTGCATTTCCCCCCCTTCTAGTTTGGATCGTCTTGAGAATCTCCTCACAAACAACATCATAGTGGTAATCTTAATCCTTTAGATTTTGTGCATCCTTTCATTGTTTCTGGAATGTAGTTTTAGGTGAATTATAATTTAATATACACAAAAGGAACTAAAGGCTGTGGGGTGGAGGACTATGGGAGACGAATGTTAAAGAACTGCCTTTAGAGGCAGCTCTTCATCAGTGCTTGACCATTTCAATAAATTTGAAGCTTCATTACTTGGATTATTGTTCATTTTTCACAGGCCCGTCCAGTTTCTTGTTTGAATGTTTGTGTTTCCAAGGAGAAAAGTGCAAAGTATTTCAAAGGTAATTCCAGGTAGAGATCCTACCCCACCTCAGCAACAATTAACTTTCTCTTTTCTGGGAATCAAGAAAATTGATGCAGATATAAATATTTTTCTTTATTTTGCTGCTGCTGCTGCTGCTGTTTTGTTAAGCAACTGCTTTTGATTCTGCTCCATATTGGATAATAAGATCAGGATGAAAGCATACAAACTGCTTAAATGTTCTTCATGTTGCAATGTCAAGTTGCAGGAGAAAATAAGGTGGCGTATTATGGATGATTACTTGCAAAGTCCAGAATGGACTGAAGGATACTGAGATTGTTAACACTCCTTTATAGCATATCTAGCCTGTTGATTAACTAGCCCTTGGCAAAATTTGAAGTTACCACTAGTATTTAAATTAGAAACAAATGCCAACAAGTTATTAAATATATAACTGCTGTTTGGAAAAGCAATCATTTTACTGGTGCAAATATTTTGGGTGGTGTTTCCTTCTAGCTGTTAAGCAACTATTAGGTGCTGGATTTTTTTTTTGGGGGGGGGGACATTCCTATTAAATCCAGATAGTATAGTGGTATCTTGGTTCTCAAACTTAATCCGTTCTGGAAGTCTGTTCCAAAACCAAAGCGTTCCAAAATCAAGGCATGCTTTTTCATGGAAAGTAATGCAAAACGGATTAATCCGTTCCAGACTTTTAAAAACATCCCCTAAAACAGCAATTTAACATGAATTTTACTATCTAACGAGACCACTGATCCATAAAACGAATGCAAGAATCAATATACGGTACTGTACTATAAAATAAATAAGACAGCATTGTAGATGATAAAAATAAAAATTAAATTTTTTTCTTATCTGCACTGATGATAGTCATTGTTTGGATCGGAGGCTATTATCCATTTCCACAGTCACACAATCAATCAATCAATAGCTGAACTAGGTTCCACACAGTCCCAAAAACAAATTAACCAAAAAAGCCTCAAAAACAAAAATGCAAAAACAAAAGTGTCAAACTTAATCCGTTCCGGAAGTCCGTTTGACTTCCGAAATGTTCGAAAACCAAGGCTCAGCTTCTGAATGGTGCAGGCGCCCTGGAAACAATAGCCGACAGCCAGATCGGACGAAAAATGTTTGCAAACCGGAACACTGACTTCCGGGTTTTCGGTGTTTGGGAACCAAGGTACCACTGTAGCTATAAAGGGCAGTTTGTAGGTAAAATATGTTTTTTACACTCATGTTGATATTGTAATCTGTTTGGGCTTCTCTTTGTAGAAGAAGGTGATCTTGAACTGAGAATGAAGGGATCATATGAAGATACATGCAAAACTGTTTTGGAATCTGGATCGGTAGAATGCTTTTATTTCCACTACCCAATGTATTGGGAACCACAATTAAACGCCCACCTGCAGGTGACCATACTTTCATTGGAAATAATGCATCACACCTAAAAATACAATAGGGATAGAATAATGTACCCCCTCTCAGAGTATTATAAAATACTGACCCAGGAAATCATGGTTTTCTGTTTCCATTATAATAAAGTGCCACAGTGAGCCTCAGATTCCCATGCACCAATCACTTCCTTCCTCCTTAGAGCTAGAGGGGAGGAAGTTAAAAGTTTCCATTTGCAGTGTTGAACAAACTATAGTTTCCTATTGTGTCCTCATATGGGAAACAGTGGTTGTCTAAATTATGGGCAGTTGTACAAAACCAGAATCTGAAAACACAGTTTAATTCTGTTTTGTTATCTCTAACTGTGATTAGATCAAACCACTGTTTCCTGTATTTGAACATAACGGGAAACTATAGTAGCGTGAGATCTTTTCTTTTTCTTTTGTGCTGCGGACCAGTGCAGCTGCTGTTCTGGAAAGCGAGTGAAAGTAACCCCTTTTTTATTTTAGTGTTCTACATGCACATGATCTGAATGGGCAAGAAAGGGGAATATATTGGCAGAAAGGAAGGAACTCTGAAAGGAAGAATGGGGCATCTTCAGAAGGTGGTATAATCTGGAGGGCATCATGTTGACTATCTCTGGTGTAGTCCAAGTTAGCAAAGGATCAGATTGAGAGGCAGAGTGTGGGGAACAGTGTTGAGCAGAAGCTTGGTCTGATGGGATCTTCTCATTTCTCAGTAATATAGACTGAAAAGCAGGCCCTGGATCTGAAACTTCAGCTGACTACATGTTGAATCAGCTGGTGTGTTTCAAAATGCTGTTTGGTTGGCACCTCTGTGTAGACATAATCCAGACCATGACGTCTTTGGTAGACATGCTATTCTGGTGGTACTGGAGGTCAGGTACCAAGAGCCTGGTTTCCAGGAACCCTGGCCTGAAACACCTCGTTCACCAATGACCACCGACTTCAGAGTACATTTAAATGGGACTTGCTTCCAAGTAGATATTTTTAGGAGTGTGCATTTGCACCCAGACTCTCCCTCGACTACTCCCCCAAACCAAAAACAGCAAAGTGTTAGCTCCGTACTACAGTTGGTAACACTCATTGTATTCATGCTTTCAGTCCAATGGTTTGCTCATCTAATGTAATAACCTTGATAAACGTTAATTAAACTGATAATATACATATTGTTTTAGCGTTTCAGTTAACTGATAAGTTATATGCAAAAACTGCAGGGTTCAACCCTAGGATTCTTTAGACTGTCATCCTACTCTGATTGAAATATAACATTATTTTTTGAATAATCAAAATAATCTTTAAACATAGTATTTTCTGATTATTTAACAACATAACTCTCCCCACCCCCATCTAGCATTGCTCAAGTAATGGGGAGCAAGACAAACAGAATTCATCTGCATCCCTGACTATGCCTCTGAAATCACTTTCTGTGGGGCAGGAGGTGAAAGTAATTCTTACTGCATCAGAGGTAAGCACTTTACTCTTTGATAGGTTCCTAAACTTAAGGCAATTAACTGTCCCAGCTTTTTATACAATGGCTGATTTTGGAAAAGTAGACTTTAATGATGCAAACAATATCAAGCTATCTGGAAAGGCTTTCTGAGTGCTTCCACATAATTGGATGTGATAGCTGAAACATACCGTACTTTTCCGTGAATAAGATGCCCCCATGTATAAGACACCCCCTATTTTGGGGGGCTCAAATTTAAGAAAATGGGGGGAGATGGCACAAAGTTGTTGAGATTTTTTGGGGGGAGGGGATGCAGAAAATTGCTCACCCATACGGGTTGCAAAATACACCTCCTGCCTGTCCCATTGCTGGCATAAGCTGCCAATCGCCCACCAGTTGCCGCTGCACCGGCCATTAAAAACCACCTATTGACGCAGCAACCAAGAACACGCACAATAGCCACTGACAGCCGAGGCAGCAACCAATCAAACGTCCACCCATGTATAAGATGATGCCCACTTTTTAGCATTATTTTTAAGGATAAAAACCTAGTCTTACACACGGAAAAGTACGGTAATAAGTTCGTTCCTAAGAGTTGCACATGAAAGGAGCTGTCCCAGATTGTGGTGGTGGATCCTGCCACATAAAGACTTGAACAACGTGGGACCAGGTTACCTGAAGGACTGCCTGCCAATGTATAGATCTGAACAATCACTTAGAATCCAAGTCTTACATCATGGGGGTGGGGATTTTATTTGTGTCATCACCATATCCAACAGAATATTGTAGGGTGGTGAACCTGAAAACGGGCATTTCCCCCATTGCTCTTACGTTCTGGAATGCCTTTCCCTCTACCACAGGGAAAGTTTCTTCAGTTTTTTGCATCTTGTAAAGATATATCTTTTTGCACAGTTTCCCCTGTTCCATAAGATTGGAGCCCATACCATGGGCATTTTTGTATGGAATTTTAAGCTTTGTTTCAGTGTTTTAGTATTGCTCAGCTTTCAATCCGATTCACAGAAAGGTCTGAGATCCAGTAGGGTGAGGGTAGGTAATTTTTCTCCCTTCGCCATGTAGCTGCTGCGCTACCTCTTATGCAAGGGATAAGGGCTGTAGGAAGGAGGAGGAATGGATGAGAAATTGTCTTCCCTTCTTCCTGTGGCACAAGTGGAACTCTGCTGATCACAGGCCTGGGTGTAACTCACAACTCACACAACCTCTATTGTTATACATACTTAGGATAAGCATGTGTGTATATTTATTTAAACCAAGGAATATCACAAGAAACAAAAATGTTCTGCGGTTCTCAGGCATTTCATTTTTATAAATGTGCCTATACTTTATGATGCAGAGACGCAGTCACAGAAAATGCACTGTTTTTCAGAGTTAGAGTGTCATAGGATTTGCTTCACTTGGTGACAGAAACACATAGAAAAACTACCAGGATTTTATTTTTTCCATTTTGTGGCATATTCCAGCAAGTAATTATTATGTGAATAGAATCTAAGAATGCTGAGTTCTGTGGATTATGCATGCGACTTAAAATATTGTTCCTCATTATTCTTCATTTCAGGATACTAATTTGGAAGTTAAATTGCGTACACAGGCTTGGTAATGTATTACTTTTCTGACACCCCCCTCCAAAAATCTCGAGTAGACTTTTAGGGTATCCCAGTCTATTTCTTGTTTTTCTGTATTTTCCTCTTTGCAACTGTTTGGGTTAGCTAGAGGAGTCCGATGTCAATCTCCAGAAGGATAGGCATGTTGATAGTCTGTTGTAAGAAAAACAACAAGTCTTCTGGCACCTTAAAGGCTAACAGTTTTATTATGACATAAACTTTGGTGATGTACAATCCACTTCATCTGATGTGTCATGTATTCTTTAACTGGCAAGCATATATACACATGGGATGGGATGTACATGGGATAGAACATAAGGGTCTGAGATCAGAGAAGAAAAGTAGAGAGAATGATGACTATTTGAAAGCAAGATAGCTATAGTGTCCAGTTAACATGGCAATATTGGGGACAACCCACATTCTGGCTTTGGTCAGCTAATTAATACATGTGTGATTTTTTTTTTTTAAAGAAAGGATTTTTGATTCAAGCCATGAATTGTCTGCCCAAGTGCAAAGTCCTTTATTCTTTTCTCTCATCTAGTGTTTTCAATGGGGTATGGTTATGTGTGTGTGTATACGGGAAATTCAAACAGTTGCTGTCAGGAGTTTAGGGCTGGATTTAGACACATCAAAAAAGCGTTTCAGGAAAACATGTTGTAAACCTCAATGTGGGAAATCACATTGGCAAAAGATGGAACTCCACAGCGCCATCTGGTGTCACAGTGTTATAATGCATATAAAACGCTTTTTCTTAACTAATGTAGCTGGGTCCAAAGTAATGACAGTAATTCTCTCTGTTGCAGTCATTTTATATTCACCTTAAGTATTTGTGATGGGGGAGAAATTCAGTTTGGTTTGGATTTGAATGCCTAATAATAGTTTAGGTTGGACTTTGCCAGTCTGGTGCCCTCGCAGTTGACTTGCAACCTGCATGGGGGTTACTGAAGATGCACAGAACCGAAATCACGTATTCTTGGAACACCCCAATGCGATCATCCTTACCTTTTGGAGCCAGCATGCCAAACAGGTCTTGTGCCCCAAGCAAGGCAGAGAGCTTTGAAGGCTCTATGAGGCTCTTGTGACAGCCTCCCCAATCCCAAAGCAGAGACCTTAAAAGCTATTTTTGTCCTGTGGAACCCTGTGCCAAAAGAACCTTTAAGCTCTCTGCTTTCTGTGCATTTAATTTGTGCGATTTCAGCTGGCTGCATAAAGCTGAAATTAGACAAGTTTAAATGAGAGCCCCACAACATATGGAGCACCTCAGATTCCCCACCCCGCTTTAGAGGAACAGGCTATCTCTAAATGTGGAATGTTGATCCTGTAGTTAGTGGATGATATACTACTGTTTGCTTCCCCTGCCTATGTCCTTAATTTTGTTTCAGCTCAGAGCACCTTGATGTGCGTTTGAGGTTTGACCTATGCGGAGAGGAAAAGACTTTTCTACATAAACGGAAGAAAGTGGTTGCAGCTGGTCTGAAAAGTGTCCTCCAGCTAGAAGAGGATCTGTTGGATCATGAGGTATGCTGGATCTGGAACTGGAGGAAAAGAATGCATATTTTAAAAGGAAGACAACAATTTATATTTGATACATCCCTTTAAAAAAAAAAGATGCCTTTTGTTTTCTACTGGTGTAATGTGCAAGTTGTGGGAAGTTGAACTTCATACTTGGAATTGTTCTTAGCTCACCTTGTTTTCAATGTTCTATTTTACTGATATTTTTAATGTATTTTATTTAGTTTACATAAACCGTTTAGAGGTTTCACAATTAAGTGGCACATTTATTAAATGAATAAAATAAATGTTTGGGGAGGCAACAGTGTTAGCAAAGCAACTGATATTTGGCATGGTTGGCACATGCCAGGCAGAGGGCCTTCTTGGTGGTGGCCCCTACCCTGTGGAATGCCCTCCTATCAGACGTGAAGGAAATAAACAACTATCTTACTTTTTAGAAGACATTTGAAGGCAGTCCTGTTTAGGGGAGTTTTTTATGTTTGATGTTTTATTGTGTTTTTATTTTCTGTTGGGAGCTGTCCAAAGTGGCTGGGGAAACCCAGCCAGGCGGGCGGGGTAGAAATTATTATTATTATTATTATTAACTGCACAACTGCTTAATGGTGTGCTGCTCTGTGACAGAACGGCTATTTGTATCATTGGCATTAGCCTTACAGAGAATAGTTATCTCCTGCTTGGACTACTGCAATGCACTCTACGTGGGGCTACCTTTGAAGGTGACTTGGAAACTGCAGTTAATCCAGAATGTGGCAGCTAGACTGGTGACTGGGAGTGGCCATCGAGACCATATAACACTGGTCCTGAAAGATCTTCATTGGCTCCCAGTACGTTTCTGAGCACAAATCAAAGTGTTGATGCTGACCTTTAAAGCCCTAAACGGCCTCGGTCCTGTATACCTGAAGGAGCGTCTCCACCCCCATCGTTCAGCCCGGATGCTGAGGTCCAGCGCCGACGGCCTTCTGGCGGTTCCCTTGCTGTGAGAAGTGAGGTTACAGGGAACCAGGCAGATGGCCTTCTTGGTAGTGGCACCTGTCCTGTGGAACGCTCTCCCAGCAGATGTCAAGGCAGTAAACAACTATTTTACTTTCAAAAGGCAACTGAAGGCGGGCCTGTGTAATGAAGTTTTTAATGTCTGACGCTGTATTGTTTTTAATATTCGGTTGGAAGCTGCCCAGAGTGGCTGGGGAAACCCAGCCAGATGGGTGGGGTATAAATAAACAACAACAACAACAATTGTTGTTGTTGTTGTTGTTGTTGTTGTTGTTATTATTATTATTATTATTAATTTGTTATTATTATTATTAATTTGTTATTAATTTGTTATTATTAATTTATTATTATTATTATTATTATTATTATTATTATTATTATTATTATTGTTATCCTAGCTGATATTATGCCCTTCAAAAATGCTAATACTCATATTTTAAATCTGTGAACTACCCAGAGGACATTGTTAATTGTGTGCTAATGTACAGGCCAGATATTAATATAAATATACATATGTCTGTGTATTTTAAACAGGTGCCAGTAGTTGCAGTCATGGCCACAGGAGGTGGATGCAGAGCAATGACGTCTCTTTACGGGCAGCTCTCAGGACTTAAGAAGCTTGGCATGCTGGACTGCATAACATATATCAGCGGTACCTCAGGCTCAACTTGGTGAGACTGTCAGCATGAAACTGGGGGAGGGGATTGTGGAATTTTGGAGCTGAAACCAAGGAAAGGTATTAAGAAGTGCATAGTATCTGAACATTATTTGTATACAATCCGCTTTCCCTGAGCCAAGCCATACCAGCAATGAAGTCACAGAGTCAATTAAGGTTTGGCAGACAGCCAGAAGGCAGTCTGAAGGAGTAAGTCTGCCTGGTGATAACAGAGACATGGAGACTGCTCCCTGATTGGTCAAGCTCTCTCAAAGGAGTGATAATTAATGGCCTACTAACTGTTAGTTCGGTGTTCGTGTTCAGAGTTCTGTGTCAGTGTGGGAGTTGTGAGTTGTGTCAGAGAGAGCTAGCAAAAGATCCGTGTTATGTTCCTGTAAATAGTCCACTGTATATAATAAACACCTAACTACAAGTTCCTGGTTCCTGCTTCGTCTATCCTGTCTGCAGCCAATTGCTTCCGTGGATTCTGCGTGTACTCTGCTAGGTCTGGCTAAGGTCCTGCAACAAGTTGTGAAACACCAAATAGGTTTTTCCAATAGGGACAGTCCTGAGACTTATGGTTGCGCTTCCGACACCAGTGTGCAAGAGTGGAAAACTGAAGCAGGACTCATCTTGCCTGTCCTTCCATTTCGTCTGCTTCTGTGTAACATTTATACCAGTCTTCAGGAAAGTGTGTAACATTTATACCAGTCTTCTTTACGTGTGTGTTCTATTGTCCATGCATTTATCCTAATTATTTTATTACAACTGTTTCTTTAGGACCATGTCAAATTTGTATGAAGATTCCAATTGGTCCCAAAAGGATCTGGAGAGGCCAATCCTTGAAGCCAAGAAGCATATGGGAAAGAATAAGATAAGCACCTTTTCTCTGGAGCATTTGATTTATTATCAAGAGGAGCTGAGGCAGAGGGCCAAAGAGGGCATCTCTACTTCTTTTAATGACCTGTGGGCCGTAGCTCTGGAGAATATCTTGCATGATGGGGTATGTAAACAGCTTTAGGCCTCTCCTAATGATCAGTGTCCACATACAGAAATGATTAATGGAGAGCCAATTATCTCCCAAAGCCTCTGTTGGTTGTTTCATCTCTCTGGCATGCAGTGGTGTTGCAACGGGGGTGGTGGTGGTGGTGGTGGTGGGAGACAGTGCGCCCCAGATTCCACATCCGGGCGGGTGACAAGGTGGCACCCCATGGGGTGCTTGCCCTGCTGCCCTGGCCCAGGTGTGGCGGCATGAGCAGCCATCCCGCAGCCGCATGTGGAGGATCCTCCGTTCGCAGCTGCAGCCACGAGCAGAGGATCCCAGCACCGGCGGCAAACCACTATGTATAGCACATGTGCGGCGTCGCACGCATTTGCTGTACATAGCGGTTTGCCAGCGCCGCAGCTCCAGCACCATACAGATGGCGGTGGGATCTTTCCATTGCTGCTACAGCCGTGAACGGAGGATCCCGGCATCGTCTGTACAGCGCCAGAGCGGCAGCGCTGGCAAACCGCTATGTATAGCACATGTGCGGCGTCGCTATGTACAGCGCATGTGTCATACGTAGCGACACTGCACATGTGCCCTACTTAGCAACGCCCCACCCTGGGTGTCACAACGCCTTCGTTTGCCCCTGCTGGCATGCATATATCCAATTAATCATTCAATTAAGGCTTTCAGTGAAGAAAAATATGAGTGACCTTACATGTATCCTTTTGGGTTGTTTGTTGTTGTTGTTGTGTCTGGATAACAACAAAAAAATACATACCAGTACAATGAGCAGCCTAAAAGCAATTGATTTCAAAGCGCAATATAATAATCCAAAGAAACAAACCTGTTTGATAAAACTAGCATTATAACATTTTAAAATTCGTTGCAAAATAGGCCACATCAGTAACTAAAAAACCACATATCAACCAATATTATTTATCCAGAACTGAAAGAGGAAAGCACAGAAAGCATTGATCTCCTTTAATCTGATGAAGTCCTGGTTTTTTGAAAGAGCCATCAGCAGCCTAGTTTCATTCTTTGGAAATTTTGCAGGACCCCCTTTATTCCATATATTCACTCATCCATCTCATTCATACAGTTTATAACTGATTACATTAAACTAGTGATATTGTAAGGGTAGCAAAAGGGACACGGGTGGCTCTGTGGTGTAAACCACTGAGCCTTGGGCTTGCCGATCGGAAGGCCGGCTGTTTGAATCCCCACAACGGGGTGAGCTCCCGTTGCTCTGTCCCAGCTCCTGCCAACCTAGCAGTTCGAAAGCACGTCAAAGTGCAAGTAGATAAATAGGTACCACTCCGGCGGGAAGGTAAACACCATTTCTGGTTTCACCAGAAGTGGCTTAGTCATGCTGGCCACATGACCCGGAAAAACTGTCTGCGGACAAACGTCAGCTCCCTCAGCCAGTAAAGCAAGATGAGTGCTGCAACCTCAGAGTTGTTCGCGACTGGACTTAACTGTCAGGGGTCCTTTACATTTACCTTTAAGGGTAACTAAAGCGCAAGTATGAAGCACTTAAGAGTATATTCACACAATTTTCAGAGATTTGTTTTGCAAAACCTTATTTGTTGCAGTACGCTCTGCACTCTTCTGAGCTCCAAGTCCTTTGCTTGCTTTCTGTTTTTCCTCCTTACTAGGTGAATGATTTTAAACTATCTGATCAGCAACAGGCTGTGAACCAAGGGCAGAATCCCCTACCCCTCTATTTAGCCCTTAATGTGAAAGAAAACCATATTTCTACTTTTGATTTCAAAGGTAATTCTTATAAAATTGTAATTGCAGTACAGAATGGCAGGTGCAAATGTCAGCAATTTTTCTTAGCCTATTCTCCTGTGTAAGCTTTACTATGTAGCAATAATGTGCCAGAAGGGAAATTTCAGAACATCCTTAGGGGTTATTTGATCTGTAGGTAATTTACCTTGCATATTAATTATACAGGTCTATATGACAGTAACTGAAACAGAGATTAGCATGTATGTGCCAGGTTTGGGGCCTTCTCAAGGACACTAAAGGAGCTTATAGACAGCAGCTTAATATTGCTAATGGGTCCTTGAGATATTGCAAATAGCTTAATGGCAACAGGTTGTTGTTGTTGTTTTTTAAGTGGCCATCTCTTCCCCAAGAAGGGAAAATCCAGATTAAATTGCAGGGGTGGGGAATATTTGCTGGCATTTTGATGCCAACACTATTATGTAGATGCTACAAAAAAACCAGCCTGGAAGCATCCAAAGTGTGAGTAAGTATGTGTGCAGAACTGGAGATTCCTTGTAGGTTTCATTGCTGCAAATATGAAATGATCACTTTAAAACTGCACAGTCATTTGTTTCATTGATTGTTGTAAGCACAGCAAATAAATTGGGCTGTTAGTGCAGTTTCTTTACATAGGTATAAATGACTCATTTAGATGATGGTGATGATAATTAATTTTGTATGTGCTGTAAACTGCCTGGCCAGTCTGGGCGGCTTACTGCACAAATTAAAAATGGTAAAACACAAGAAATTTAAAACTTCCCTAAACAGGGCTGCCTTCAGATGTCTTCTAAAAGCCAGATAGTTGTTTATTTCCTTCAAATCTGAAGGGAGGGCATTCCACAAGGCGGGTGCCACCACCAAGCAGGCCCTCTGCCTGGTTCCCTGTAATCTCACTTCTCGCAGTGAGGGAACCACCAGAAGGCCCTTGGAGCTGGACCTCAGTGTCTGGGTTGAATGATGGTCTTGGACCATTGAGCCATGTGCTTGTTTGATGGCTTTGGTGAAGTAACTCTCCTCTTTCAGCTTCACTTCCCCATCAATAAAATGAAAGTAAAAGTGACCTCACTTGTTGTTTCTTGTGAAAATGAATGAGATATGGAAATAATTGTATCCCACAGATCATTTATCAATATTACACAATGCATTTTCCCCTCCATGCTCCTTGGAGGAAAGGTAGAATGATAAACACAATGCATACACAAATTAGTATATTCTCATAGGAGGTTTTAGATGCAGAATTATTATGTTACCAGGCTTCCATCAGCAATAAGATAGCAAGTATGCTTGTTGATTGTCTGTACACAGAATGGTGTGAATTCTCCCCCTATGAAGTTGGTTTTCTGAAATACGGTGCATTCATCCATTCAGAAGATTTTGGAAGTGAATTCTTCATGGGACGGCTAATGAAGAAAAACCTAGAGTCCCGGATCTGTTATTTAGAAGGTAATTGTATTAATTTCCTGTAAAGTGGCATGTTACTCTCTTGAAAGCTGTTGTGAACTGGATTTGCAATTACTAAGATCATCAACCAGATTTGTAGGTTAACTATCATAATTTTTGGGAAATGATTTTGAGGTGTAGGCTAGCCCAAGACAATTATGTGCCTGATGCTGCAATTTTATCACACCCAACATCAGCTGCCTGAGGAGGCCACCTCACTTTAAATATAAAATGCTTTTCTGTTGCAATATGTATGAATAAACAAATGTGTGTTTATGAGCAAATAGTACAACCATTATCTATTAGCACATGAAGTCCTAATATTTCAAAAGACCTAAATAAGGCAGGAGGAGTAATTAATTACTATTGAAGTTTTGATTAATGATAACCAGCTGAATGAGAAAGGATGGATTATGCAAAGAAGAACTGATCTTTCCCTAAATATGCTTGACTTTACAGCATTGTGGAGCAATATTCTTGCTGTGAATCTGCTTGATGTCTGGAATAAGTTGAGCAGTACAGATGAATCTTGGCAGAAACTTATCAGAAGCAAAATAAGAAACATTGGTAGGAATTTTGTTGTTATCTTAAAATAATGTGTACATAACAGCACACATATTCTCGTAAATAAGCCCTGCAGATGTAGCCTAGATGGTTTGCCTCCATTCACATGAACATAGTGATGGCCAGTGTGCAGTTCAGAAACTGGAAGAGATTTAAGGCAGCACAGTGCTGTTCTGTGGTGAGGAGATAAGAAAGCACGTATTTGGGCGTGCGCACACACTTGCATGGACACACATGCTGGGGTAGTGTGGAAGGCCACCTGTGGAAAGTTATGAAATGGTCCATGAAAGCTTACACCGTAACAAACTGGTTAGTTTCAAGGTGCCACAATATTATTTGTTGCTTTCACTAAAAGTGAGCGATATCTAGGTGTTAGCGAATGTAGATTAAAAATCCCTGTTAAAGGGACGTTAAGGGAATTTCCCACTTTTTTGGTATCTAAATGGGGCTACCTGTATCTGTTCCAGGCATATGTATTTGACAGTGTGTCATTATTCATAAACAATGCCATACATCTACTTTAAATTGTGCAGAGGAAGACAATTATATGATTTATGAATAAGCCTTTTCATGGACATTTGCTGTAACGCTATAGTGGCATAAAGTAGCAACACGGACTGCTTCCTCCCCCTCCAATCCCCTTCTCTTCCTTTCCCTTATGCAGAGAGAAATCATATTCCACCAGAAAGCTCTACTTACTTGGGGACCTCTTGGATGTGTCCTGATGGGAAGCTCTTTCAGATTATAAGAAATATTTTAACTGATCGTCCATTGCACCATCACATCCATAACTTCCTCAATGGCTTCCATATGCATAAAGACTATTACCAGGAGAGTCAGTTCTCTACATGGAAAGGTAACTATGTCTACTTAGACGTATGGCCTATTGAATTCAGTGGGGCTTTCTCCAAACCAAAGGATTAGGGTTACAGTTCTAGTTACAAAAAATAAAGGAAAACAGCCCCACCAAAAATAATCATCATACCGTACGGCATTTTAGTGTTGATAATTTATTTACTAAGTTAATAAAATTGCTATCCCACCCTTCATCTGAAAGGACATTTCTGACACACTAGCTATTAAATTCTTCTTTAGAACCTACAAACTTATATCTCCCCATAACTGGGCCTGGGATACTGAACAATAGGTGAAAATGTGGGTTTACTGTGAACATAGTGACTTTGATTTTACTTGTAAACATATGCAAGTGTTGAACAGAGCTCATTTATCACTGTCTCTCTCTTGTCAAGTTGTCTTGCCTTCCTTAGACCTGGAGTGCTGTTTCAAGAACACATTTCATTTTATACACTTTTCTTCTTTTCAAATGGACACATGCAATGTTCCGAATACATACCTAAATATGTAAAATGTGAACATGATAAAAGTGTGTTCACCAACATATGTGTCAGACAGCAAAACTTTATCAGTGAGATGGGATTGGCTGGAACACCAACTTGAATGTACATTCTGATAAACACAACTGTCCTGCCATGTAATGTGTGGCAGAGCCCTGACTCCTTGAAAGTTCCAGGCTCAGGCAGAGGACTGGCTTCAAATAGAACTATAGAATCATGGAAATGTAGAGTTGTAAGGGACCCTAAGAGCCACCTAGACCAATCCCATGACAGATGGCCACCAAACCTCTGCTTAGAAACCTCCGATGAAGAAGAGCCTACCACCTTCTGAAGGAGTCCATTCTACAGTCAAACAGCTCTTACTGTTGGAAAGTTCTTCCTGATGTTTAGTCGGAATCTCCTTTCTTGTAACTTGAAGCCATTGGTTTGGGTCCCAGATCTGAAACATTTTGTGAAAGAAAATGGATGATAAAAATCAGATTAGATTACTAGATTGATTTTTATTGTATAATTTGCATTTCAGACAGCCGACTGGACCACTTTCCTAATCAACTGACACCATCAGAAGAAGGTATCTGCCTGGTCGATGCTGCCTATTTCATCAATACTAGCTGTCCCCCGCTCTTGAGAAAGGAGCGGAAAGTAGATGTCATCTTATCATTTGATTACTCTCTGGACAACCCTTTCCAGGTCAGTGTTAAGGTATTCTTCTGCAAACAGTTTGCTCACAGTAGAGGAAAGAGGAACTCTCTCCTACCCTCCATGCCAGGGTCCCAATAAGATTCCTCCCCCCTCCCAAAAAAATCCTTGCCATTTTGAAAAAAATGCAGTTTAGTATTTTGCTGATGCTTTGATTTGCAACTGTTAATACACATTATATTGTAATAGGCACTTTGCAGGAGTGGGGTGTTGATTACATAAAATCTTGAAGGTTTTGATTCTGTAAACCACCCTGAGATCCCTGGGTATAGGGCTGTATATAAATTCAATCAATAGATAGATAAATAGATAGATAGGAAATGGTACCGTTTTATATCCATCATCACCATCATCCGACTGCAACAAACATAATCAAAGCCTATCATACACTAAATAATATGTGCATTGCATCAGACAAAATACCTTTGAACCAATGTAGTAATGGCTAAGGACCTAGAAACAAAGGAGAGCAAGACATGTCACAAAGATGTAATTTCAATGGGTACTGTTTCTCTCGTGCTTGCCAAAATTTTCCGTTCTACACGGGTATTAAAAGTAAAACTCATTCCAGTCATTCCAAGCTATGGGCACTTGAGTTTCAATCGAATGAGGAGAAACTTGACAACATGAAACTGAACAAAAGTGTATCAGCTTTTTGACTTGTGAACAAAGCTACAATTGTGGGTTTTCAGCGGAAAACAGTTCTTATATCAGGTGCTTCAAAAAGAATTCTCTGTAGAATGTAGAGCAGAAATTAGTCTTAAACAACCCTCTAGATGGAGTATTAAAAAAGTAGCCAGGTATTATTTTCTTTATTGTTGCTCAGCTCCCACACTCTTTCTTTCTCTGTGAGTAGGCACTTGTGGGGTATTTTATTTTAAATGTTGTTCATCAGCATCATCGTTCGAACGTATCCTTAGAATTGTGGCAAGCGATGCTCAAAATGCGCTGAATCCAGTTTGTGTCTCCAATGAATGTCTGCATGGGTGTTTTTTTTAAGGTAAAATCTGCACTCTTTTAAAATGTTATTGACCCACACACTTATGATGTGGTCTGAGAGCTTTCTGGCTCCTTTTTCTTTTAACAAACATTTTCTAGCTGCTTGAAGCCTCATTGGGACATTGTACAGAAAAAAGATGGCTGCCCCCATAAGTACATTGGGGCAACCATCTTTTCCTTGTGCAATTACACAGGGTCACGGCAGGGACTTTTTACTCAAAACATTTCAATGAGCACAGCAAGAGTAGCCACTCCAATCAGCTAGAAATAATTTAAAAACAGAAATGTAGAGGCAGAAAGCCCTACAACTATCTTGGTGTTGTTTTTTTAAAGAAAGTGAACCATACTCAGAAAGGTTCATAGACATGTAGTTGAATCCACACGTCTACATTATGATCTGAGCATGATCCATTGGAATGCGGACTGGAGACCTTAGCTCCAAATGGTGGAGTGAATTGAAATCCTGCCCCAGCCCTAATTATGGCTACGTAATTTAATGCCTGCTGATTTAAAGGACAGCCTTTAAAGTTACCCGAATTTCTTGTGCTACAGTCTATAGAACAAACCAGCGAATACTGCTTGGAGCAGGGAATTCCTTTTCCCAGGATTTCACTGAGTGAGGAAGACAAGAAAAATCCAAGAGAATGTTACCTATTTGTGGACGAGGAGAATAACAAATCCCCCATTGTGCTTCATTTCCCGCTTGTGAATGATACATTCCAGAAATTTAAAGAACCAGGTACATTTCACTTTCAACGTGCAATATTTTGTCTCAAAACAAAACAAAGGCAAGGTAACAGTAGGGGAGGGATGATCAAATGATTGAAAGAGGTCTGAACATGTTCCCAGATCTCCTAAACGATTTAACCGGGGGCATATTTGTTTGTTTTATTTTCAGGTGTGGAACGTAGGCAAACTGAGATGGCAGAAGGCACAGTCCCGCTATCTGGCTATTGCTCACCATACCAGCTGATGAACTTTACATACACTAAGAAAGATTTTGACAAACTCCTGAAACTGACTGACTATAACATCCAGAATAGCAGAGACGTCATTCTTCAGGCTCTCTCCATCGCCATAGAATGGAAAAAATGTGGCTGGAAATGTGCCCAGCCATGTGACTCTTCTTAGGATCCCTTGCCTGCTTTTACCAGCAATGTATGGCTTCCTCCTCCTAGTACATCATCAAGCCTTTTCCTTTGCAGAGTAGGATGATTGGCAGGTCAGTGGAGTTCAACCCCCAAAAAGATGAAGGTTACTATCCTGTACACATTTATTAGAGAGAGCAAGTCATATTATTAAACTCAGCAGGCCTCACTTCTGAGCTAACATCCTTAGGACTTTCACGGTAAGAAATCTAAAAATGGAGATGCCTTGCTTCTTATCTTTACTTGTCCTTCAAGCACTTAAATCAGGTATATGGAGGCTGTGGACCTCGAGATGTAGATTGACTCCCACCAGCCACAGCCAGCAGGACTAATGCAAAGGATGATGAGAGTCTTAGTCCCGCAACATCACGATAATCGCAGGCTCCCCATCCCGGACATTTGAAAGGGATGGGAGAAGAGAGGGCAGGATAAAAGATACCAGCAAATGCCAAAATCAGGAATATTGTAGGGTCAGACACCCAGTGTCAGAACTTGGGGTTACTTCTTTGCTTAATAAATTGAGTACAGTGGTACCTCAGGTTACAGACACTTTAGGTTACAGACGCTTCAGGTCATAGACTCCGCTAACCCAGAAATAGTACCTTGGGTTAAGAACTTTGCTTCAGGATGAGAACAGAAATTGCGCGGCGGCAGCAGGAGGCCCCATTAGCTAAAGTGGTGCTTCAGATTAAGAACAGTTTCAGGTTAAGAACAGACCTCCAGAATGAATTAAGTTCTTAACCCAAGGTACTACGGTAATGATGATTGTTGTCATAAGCTATATGTGACATGAGCTTTGATTTGAGGGGAAATTTTAAGTGTGTGACATAGTTCAAATGTGTCCATCAAAAACCAACAACCCACACGCTAGCCTTGCACTGGTAATTTAGGACCAATTCTCAACGCTTTCTGGGTGTGGCAGCCGCACTCCTTGAAGCCAAGCCAAACTTGATAGTGGGAGCCCTGCCTCTTTAAAAGAATATTTGCTGTTGTCACATACAAAGCAGAATATATGATCTGAGGGCCAAACGACATGGGCTGTTAATGATGTGAGATGCCCCTGAGTGCAGGATTCTACTTGCAGAAGTTGTAAGTGTGGGTCCCTTATCAGGAATGGCACCTTAGCAAGGAGAGGGTGTTTTAGTCCTTTGCCTCCTACTATGGTCCCCATCTGGATTACACCCCCTCCCTCCCCACCCTGACAACTTTAATTTACATGGGATTAAAAAATCCCATTGGAGTTAATGGGGGCTTTTTCTCCAAGCAAATTGTGGGAATGCCCCTCTACCCTCTGATCCAGATTGGGACAACAATGATGAACAAAAGGCTAAACACCCACACCCCCTAACCACCCCAGGAGCACTGTCATGATTGGGAGGGGGTCACTCTATCTTCTTTGGTAAGAAAAATCTTTCAATAAATGGCAAATGTCATAATGAATGTCATGTCTTTTTTGGCCCTGATCTTCAAAGGAAGTGGAGCACTCAAATCCTTCCCCAACACCCTCGGATTGCCTACGCTGTGGGAAGAATAGGGTTTCTGCAATCTTTCATGTACAGATGTACCATAGTTAAAGAAACACACCTGCTGTTATCCTGTTTCCCGTGGGAGTCTTATTCAGGTTGTGATTGTGTGTGAAGCTGATCTGTGATAGTTTCTACATGAGAAAGGAGTATCCATGCAACCAGGTCACTATTCTCTCTAGCTCATGTAATTGGTGTGACCACCACAGACATTCTAATGGGGGAAAGCCCTGAAAATCAGGTTTGTTCCTAAACTTCTTGCAACATTAGAGTGGCCTGAATTAATAGGGCTGGAAATATTATTACTATTACTATTACTATTACTATTACTATTTTATTTTATTATTATTTTATATTATTTATATCCTGCCCATGAGACTGGGTTGCCCTAGCTACTCGTGAGTGGCTTCCAACATAATAAAACAGCAGCAACACATCAAACATTTAAAATTCCCGATACAGGGCTGCCTTCAGATATCTTCTGAAAGTTGTGTAGTTGTTCATCTGTTTGAAATTAGTTGGGAGGGCATTCGAAAGGGTGGGTGTCACTACTGAGATAGCCCTCGGCCTGGTTTCTGGCAGTAGTCACACCTCCGAACAGTAGTAGGATAGTGGTTTTCTGCATGTGGATTCAGCCGGCTACATATTGTTTTGCACACCCCAATTTCCGAGTGGGAAGAGACTCCTACGCTTTCCCAGGGTTCGGTTTCCTTGGAAAGAAGGTCAATGGGGACGATGGGGTCTTTAGGGTACATGGTTTTATTTACATAGGTTGGAGGGCTCACAGCATTAAAACTCCAACAGATCTTCTTTTCCCCATTAGTTTTCCAGGAGAGTCCCATGCCACCATTTTGAGTTCAGCACAGAGCCATGCAAGCCTATGTGTGTCTCCAGCTTCCAGCATCAGCCAAAACTCTCCCACACAAATTCCCCCTTGGCTTACTGTTCCCCATTTTAGGATGATGTGGCCTCCAGCCGGGTGAGGGGTGTGTAGAGAATGCATACCCTCTTCCTGAAGAGCACCATCACTTACTTGCCACTATGGCAACCTAGCTCAGTCTTTGTGGTGCTGATGAGCGCACTTAACTTGCCAGTTATGTCCATTACCTTACAAAGAGAGCCAGTGTGGTGTAGTGGTTAAGAGCGGTAGACTCGTAATCTGGTGAACCGGGTTCGCGTCTCCGCTCCTCCACATGCAGCTGCTGGGTGACCTTGGGCTAGTCACACTTCTCTGAAGTCTCTCAGCCCCACTCACCTCACAGAGTGTTTGTTGTGGGGGAGGAAGGGAAAGGAGAATGTTAGCCGCTTTGAGACTCCTTAGAGTAGTGATAAAGAGGGATATCAAAGCCAAACTCCTCCTCTTCTTCTCTTCAAAGAGACTAGTCTGACCAGTTTGGTATATTTCCCCTCATAGATTCTAACTTCACATACACAAAATCAGGTTTGGAAGGGACGAAAAATTTGGAAGGGATGCATCCAGACTGACTCCACCCCCCAAAACTTGTAACAACAACACCCAATAAACTGTTGCATGGGAATATTCCAAATGCAGCAGCCAAATGCAGGGGATGTTGTGTGTGGAACACTCAGTTCTGAGATGTTGTGTGTGGAACACTCAGTCCTGCCACTCTCTGTCATCTCTCTTTGATCTTTTTTTTTGTGGGGTTTGTAGATTTCTAGATTGGAGCAACTTTGTGTAAACAGAAACGCCCAACCACCTTATCCCGAATCATATATTCAGAACAACTTTGTTAAACCTAAAGACACTGGGAAGTCTTAGACAAACATCATCGAAATCCACTGCATGCACTGTGTTATTTTTACATAACACCCATTCATTTCAGCGGGGTGTAATAAACATTGCTTCTCAGAGGATTATGCCCTTAAGTGCAACCACTACTTCAGTAGAATACAATCTGCTGTTAACTTGGTTATTTTTTTCACTGTGAGATATGGGATCCTCATAACAGAGGGTCCTGGTTGTGCTCGGGACCCAAGAGCTCACCTGACAGGGTTAAAGTGGTGGTGGTGGTGGGGAAAGGAGAGGAAGTCCTGGCCATTCCCCTGGGATCACGCCAGAGAAGAAGAAGAAGAGTTTGGATTTGATATCCCGCCTTTCACTCCCTTTAAGGAGTCTCAAAGCAGCTAACATTCTCCTTTCCCTTCCTCCCCCACAACAAACACTCTGTGAGGTGAGTGGGGCTGAGAGACTTCAAAGAAATGTGACTGGCCCAAGGTCACCCAGCAGCTGCATGTGGAGGAGCGGAGACGCGAACCTGGTTCCCCAGATTACGAGACTACCACTCTTAACCACTACACCACACTGGCTCTGGTGGTTTTAGCCAATAGCCAGTAGGTAGCATGATCCCAGGGGCTTTAAAAATGGTGCAGCCATCACCTGCCCCTCCAGGAACTGAGTATTCTGTTAAAGGAATCTGGGGGTCCTGGATTTCGTCCGAAGTCCGCTTGAGGGGCTAGGGCCATGCTAGGACCACAGGAACCCCGGGGTGAGCTTAGGTTGGTCCTCATTGATCTTGCTCCCTGGTTTGGTTTACCCCATCGGACGATCATCCTGAGAGGTGGAGTCAGTTATAGTGGGGAGTCAATGCCTAAGCCAATACCGCTCACGTGATTGTATTTCAATAAAGTTGTGGACAAAATTTGCCCCAAAACTTAAACTAATGTAAGTGTCCGTGTGTATTTATTTTGGGGGTGGGTCTTGGGGCCTCGAGACGCAAACAAGTATTTTGATGCAGTTCTTTGACCATGTGTATACGCATACTGGGGTAAAGTTTGCATATCAGTGCAATACATTAGTGAAAATAACATCATGGTGTTACCCTACAAAGCGGGTCTGGAAATACGCCAAATAAAGACAGTAGCATCGTGGAAAGAGTTCATATTTATTGCCGACTGCAGCAAGAATAAATGATCCAGAGGAATTCTCCCAATTCTGGACTCGAAATACAAAATTCAAGACACCTTTAGAACGTTCTCTTTACATGGTTAGCTCGTGAACGATCCCTTTCAGCAACATGATTGGATAACAGAACACATGGACAGCTTGTGGACTCCTCATGCTCACTTCTAATTGGTTTATGTACCATGGCAACAAACTTTATAAATTCCCTATTCTTCTGTCTTGTGCAAAATGCTGCATTTTTGGTAGTCTGTTACAGGAAGCGGTCAGTTTGGAGCTTCTAGTCTCTTCAAGGCCACTTCGCCATTCTGGTATGTGAAGCTGATAGGCGAGGCTCCTTGTTAGACAGGTTGAGGTGCATGAAAAATCTCTGCTTAGCTAGGGCAATGGCACAGATACATTGTGGTTGTGCCTGGGAACATGTTTCTGCAGGCTCTGCACTTAGCAGGCTAAGGTCACTTGTGCATTAGAAACGTGCTCTGTGACAGAGGGTGAGAGCATGTCAGTATAGGGGTATTCTGTACTTCATTTTCCAGCTAG